GTGACGGACAAGCGGGTAGAACAACCACCGCCGAGGAAAGTAGACCCGAGTAACCCGACGAAAAAATACAGCTGCGACGACGATACCTGCTACGACCGGGAAAATTGCGACGAGGACTGCTACGCCTGGTGCTGGCACCACTGCTACTTCAACAGCGACTTTTTCGATGTGTGCGACGTGTGTACGTGCGACGAGGACACGTATGGGGTAGGGGAAAGAGCCTGCGACGCCCATGGCGGCATGTGCTGCGCCATCGATCAGACAACACGGTATCAGTGCTTTGTGGACACGGGGGATGCAGAGGGAAGGCACGCGACGGCGGGGCAGTGTTGGGAGAGCCGGGACGACTGCCAGGCGGCGACGGACAAGTGGGGCTATGTGGGGAACGGCAAATTCTACGGCAACTGCGCCCAGGTCGGCGGCGAGGTGCCCTGGTTGTGGAAAGATGACACCGATGGCCGAGACTACCCGCTTGCAAACTCGGATGGTAGTCTCTTGCCGATCACCAAAGACCCGCACAACCGTACGCGAGAACAAAAAAACTGTGTTAAGTGTAAGTCTGTGATGCAGAAAATGCAAAACAGTAACAGTTACGCTTGTCATGCTGCTGCACATGCGTGATAGGCTCGTTTCCTTGTACGTGTTTTCCCGTGGTCCTATCTCCGCATGACAAGTTTTTGCTGTCATGGCAGACAAATTTGTGATGCTGTTTTCCCAAAATAAGACCTACACTAACACAGTTTTTTTCTTGGAGAAACCGCGTCGTTTCCCCTCGTTGGCAACCCTACAGCAACGAGAAATTCCCGAACGAAAACAAAAACGCGGAAGCTATCCTGAGTAAAAACATCCCCACCCCATAGCTGTCGTGCAGATTTGCGATTACAGGAAGATCTGTAATGCGCATCTCCATGAGAGGCATTTCCAATCGCGTGTTGGAATTTGTAATGCTGTAAACAGGATGAACAGATGGATTTGTGACGCGGTTGCCCTTGCTAACATGCACTACACTACGGACTGCAACTTCTCATGCGTGGCTTCCAAAGCTTGTGGATTTGTCTTGCTAGGTTCCCAACTTGACTATGGGGTGGGGACGTTTTTACATAGAATAGAAGCGCCCTGGTGGGAGAGAAATGATATTAAAAGCGCTGCAGCAGCCAGTAGTTCTGACACCCGGATACTCAGACCACCTCCGGAAAAGAAAAACCGGGAACACTCCTACTCTCCGCCCCACGTGACGCCGCGAAACCACCCCGGGGGAATTTTGAGCAGCGAAAGTCGGGTGGCAAAACTCGGCAGGTTTTGCAAAATGAAGGGGGAAAATGATTACTTCCAGATTCGCCGTCGAGAAGTCAAAACTCCTCCGATTGGACCTGGCGCGGCCCCCTGTCCGATATGGATTGCAAAAATGTCTGGGTCGGGAAGATTGCAACTTGTCATGCTAAATCCGAATCATGCAAAAATCTGTGTTGCACGAGTGCCAAAAGCTGTCCACTTTCGACCAAGTTGGGAGGGAGTTTCTCATGTTGGATTGGCATGGCAGAGACCTCACAGAGTCTGTAATGCTAGGCTCCGCATTCCAGACCGCATGGGTCATGAAAGACCTGCATGACAAGTTTACACTCTTCCAGTCCCAGACTCAGCGAATAGTAGTGAGCATGCACCCACGGTGTGCTATTCGCACGGCCATGACACTACTGCGCGAGCACCCACAGGCTCCCAGGTGCCTAGCGCTTTGGCCAGCGTAGCACCTTGGTAGAGCCTGCGGGACCCCGTGGGCAGAAGTTCATTGCACCCAATTTGCATGTTGCGGAAGTGATAGTATAAGTAGCAGTAGTCAGTGCCGCCGGTGGACGTCATAGCATGCTTTTAATCTCTCTCCACATAGTGTATCCACGTAGTTCTCTTTTCTTTTCTTTCTTCAAAATGTTAAAGTCGTTCTCTTCCCTGCGCTGTACCATGGTCTTGCTTCCAGACAAAACACCAGACATTTTTGCATTTGATATCCGACAGGCAAGTGCAACGAGGGGAATGCAACCGGAATTACACGGCCGGAAGACTGCGCAGCCGACGACGTGACCTACTTCGACTATACGGCCTGCTATTGTGAGGAAAAATCCCCCCTCCCCATAGTAATGAAAAGGTATGTTGCTAAAAATTTGTGATGCTGATTTGTGACCACAAATCCTGTCTCTCTTGCAAGAGGGCAAACATATAGAGTGCGCCGCTTTATGCGGGCGATTTGTAATGCTGTTGCGCTGATATGCCAGGGCTCTGCTATGCTAAGCACCTACAGCAAAACACCCCTACGCAGGCTTAGGGTTTGCCTGCAGTGCCTCCCTGCAAGACAGAGCTGATTTGTGTACACAAATCCAGCAACAGAAATTTCCGTTTCAATATGGGGAGGCGGGATTTTTCACTTTGATACCTGCGACCACTTCCCTCCATGTCCTGTTGATTGCATAGTGGGCCAGTGTATCAACTGTAAAAATGTCTGGGTCTGGAAGAATTCATGTTTGTCATGCTTGTCTGGCATGACTCTTAAATCTGTCATGCACGTTACCCAAGAGCCCCGTTATTCTGTGATGCAGAAACGCAGTTTGTCATGCAGAATAGGCAACACCTAGGAGCTCAGAAACTTGTCATGCTGAGCCAGCATTTGTAGCCTCATCATGAGACGCCACCCAGCATCACAAGTTCCCAGACCCGGACATTTTTACTTTTGATACAGTGGTCAGAGTGGGGGACCTGCAAGCTGCGGAACGGCACGGATGTGACATGTGACGACCACTACGACGCTATCCTGATTAAAAACGTCCCCACACGAGGACCAGAGTCAAGATGGAAAATCTGCTAGACAAATCAACCAGCTTTCGCTGTTTCGCATGACAAGTCTGCTCTCGTAGTGTTGTAATCCTGTTTAGCTAGCTCAGAAGCATCACAGATCTAGCACATCATGCTGATTCTTGCATCACAACTCTGTGGCGGGGGCGTTTTTACTCAGGATAGACGACGAAGTGCCGAAGGAAACGCGCACGCGAACCTATCAAAAGGAAAAATCCCCCCTCCCCATATCAAAACGAAAATCTGTGATGCGGGATTTGTGTACGCAAATCACCTTTGTATTGCAGAGAGGCATTGCGGCCAGATCCCCAGGCTAGGAAGGGGCGTATGGGTCTAGTTGTTCATCATGGCAAACGGTTCCCCTTTAGGCTCAACAGCATGGCAAATCGCTTCCGTAGTGGGGCAGGAGGATCTGCCCTGGTTTTCTTGCAAGACAAATTTGATTCGTGGCCTCAAATCAGCAACGCAAATTTTCGGAAACCTACCGTCTCAATATGTGGAGGGGGGATTTTTCCTTACGATAGAACCGCGACCCAGAAGCCGGAGAACGGAGGCTGGCCCTGTCCCCCGCTCGCGCGTGCGTATCGATTGCAAATCTGTCTGGGCCTGGGAAATTGCGAGATTTGTCATGCTAATAAATTTGGCATGACTCTGAACTCTGTATTGCGTGGCCGCAAAGAGCTCCTCTTCCCTGCCATGCAAAAACGCAGTTTCTCTTTCTCATGCGAAATACACAACTCAGAACCATGAAAAAAACTTGTCATGCTTGGCAGCGCATTACAGTGAGCTCACTATTCGTATTCCCCTCCTGGAATCACAAGTTTTCAGATCCAGACATATTTGCATTTGATAAGGAGCGGAATTGCACGATAGACGGGCAGCCACTCAAGACCTGCATTATCGACTGCGTCATGTCCGAGTGGGAACAGGAAGGACAACACTGTTTCGACCCCGCCACGAAGAAGCCCGCAACCTGCCTGGACGACCCGGACCCGGGGTTTCCCTATCCCCCCCCCGCCAATTATCCTGTGCAAAAGTATCTGATACTCGTATTGCAGTCATGCACTACAAGTCTTTTTCTTGAGGTAGATCCGCATTACAAATTTTATTTCTCGTGCTGAGGAAATTTGTATATGCATTCACACGAGTGCGATACTTTATTTGCAGTTCATACCGATGGCGAGCCGCAGCGGCCCAAAGCGGTGCCCATGCGGAAGCTGACGAGAAAAGTGCTGGTGGAGGCCCGCCACGGTGGCAGGGCGTGCCCCACGAATCTTGAGAAGTATGCAATGTAAATTTCCTGTACATGTACAAAATGCATGACAAATTTCGCTAACTTGCAGTGTCCAACTTGTCATGCTAAACTAGGATTGAAGGCAAGTTTTGTCATGCAGAGACTGCATTTGTTTTTGTACGTGTACGGGAAATTTACTGTGGATAAGAAGGAGGTGGAGTGCACCTTTGACAAAGACCCGAAACTACCGAACACGGACGTATGAACTGCAAAAGTATCGTACTCGTATAAATGCATTACAAATTTCCTCAGCATGAGAAGGAAAATTTGTAATGCGGATTTACCTTAAGAAAAAGATTTGTAATGCATGATTGCAATACGAGTGCGATACTTTTGCACAGGATAGGACGGGACGCTGCCCTATTGCAAGATCGACTGCCAAATGGACGAGTGGGGCCCTGCAACGGACCCGGCGTGCAGCAACAACGTGACGCATAAAGTTGATTACAAGCGCAACAAAACAGTAGAGACAGACCAGGGCGCGTGTCGGAAGGATGAGTCCTTTGGGCCCGGGTTTGGCTACTACAAAAACCGAACCCGCAAGGTTTTGCATAGAGAAAAGCACGGTGGTATCCTATGTAAAAACGTCCCCACACCATAGTCAACAAGATGGGGACTCGGCTAGACAAATCCATAAGTTGTGGCTGTTCTGCATGACAAATCTGGACTCATGTTGCACTGCTGTTTGAGCTAGCTCAGCAGTATCACAGATCTAGCGCATCATGCTGATTGGAGCATGACAAATTCCAAAACATGAGTGGAAAATGATTCACATGGGGCTCCGCATGAGAAACCTTGTCAGCATGCGGATTTGCATGACAACTCTCGGGTCGTGGGGACGTTTTTGCACAGGTTAGGCGGGAAGGCGTGTCCGACCGGGATCTGCCCGGAAAACAACTATGCAAAGAAAAAAGTTTTACAGTTACACATTGTGATGCAAAACATGCAAGACTTTCCATGCGTCAAATGCTTACGAGTCTAGTTTCGTGTGTGTTTTGCCTTTATAAACTCTGCATTACAAGTTTTCTTCGTCATGCGAGGCATATTTGTAATGCTGAACTCACTACAAATGTGTCACTGTAACACTTTTTTCGTGGGATAACAACGCCTTGAATTCTACTGCAGAGAACTGCGACGCTTATGCAACCTACCGGGACTTTTCCGACGCTGCGGGGTGCGACGGGATGGAAGTCTGCCCGTTGGATTGCGTTATGGCGGACGAGGGCTGGGAAGACACGGGGCGGTGTGTCCGGAAAGACAATGGGCAGTCCGACTATCCGCATGACGAGGTCCCCGAGGATATCCTGTGCAAAAACGACGTCCCCAAACCAGAGTCAAGATGGGAAACTTGCTAGACAAATCAACCAGCTTTGGTTGCTTCGCATGACAGGTGTGTCCTCGTAGTGTAATGCTGTTTAGGTAGTTCAGCAACATCACAGATGTAGCATATCATGCGGATTCTAGCATCACAAACCTCAAAACACCACTAGAAAATGCTTCTCATGGGTCTCCGCATGAGAAACATTTTCAGCATGCGGATTTGCATTACAACTCTGGGGTGGGGACGTTTTTACTCAGGATAGAGGACCCCGACGCCCCGGGTGCGGCCAAGCCCTGCCGAAAGGAAAACACGTGGTACTACCGACTACGGACGCGGTATGGAAGCGTCAGAATTGAAATCGTCAAAGTTGAAATACTTTGTGATGCATAAAATGCTAGACTCAAAGTGCCTCTCTTGCAGAGCAGGCAACTGAGGCCGATTACAATCCTGTTTGGGGTGTGAGATAGAGCTGCTAAAATAGCATGACAAAAGCATTCTTCTCTGCCCAAACAGCATGCCAAATTGGATCTCCATGCTGCCAAAATTTGTCATGCGCCACTTGCAAACTGGGCTCCAGCTGGTATCGCTTTTTTGCATTACAGATTATTTCAACTTTGACGATTTCGATCCTGACACCCCCATACGCGGAAGAGGCTCGTCGAGCCCAACGCCGCCGGTACCCATATGGCGTTCTCAACTGTTACATTCTCAACTGTTACATGATTTGTAATGCGAAACAAACATCAACACTCACAAGGTGAAGCTACTTCGCATTACAAATTTTGGAAAGGCTAAACAGCGCCTAAATCTGTGCGGAATTTGTAATGCTACTGGTGCAACCTACCTGCTTTCACTTTTGCCATTCTTGCATCACAAATCCATGTAACAGTTGGGAATGTAACAGTTGAGAACGCCATAACCCAGTGCCCGACAGATACCTGCGCGACAGAGGACTTCAACCCCGCCGACGGAAATTATGCCGACGTTTCGGAGGCAGTAAAAGAACTCGACAGAAAGTGTGTAGAGCTGGGCGGCAAATCCTATAAAAACTGGTGGGCCTGCGGGGTGAAGGAGACTGACTGCGTTATCCTGAGTAAAAACGTACCCACCCCAGAGCTGTGATGCAAATCTGCATGCCAAAAAAGTTTCTCATGTGGAGCCGCATGAGAAGCATTTTCTATGCACGTTTTGGAATTTGTGATGCTATAATCAGCATGTTGTGCTAGAGCTGTGATGCTGCTGAACTACCTAAACAGGATTACACTACGAGGGCAAACTTGTCATGCGACACAACCAAAGCTGGCTGATTTGTCTAGCAGATTTCCGATCTTGACTCTGGTGTGGGTACGTTTTTACTCAGGATATGCGCAACGGCCTACTTGGCAACGGGTGACTACGCGCAGGCGGGGACCGGGGGGAGGGGCTCGGTCCGAAACTGCGGCAACCTCCTATCCTGTGCAAAAGTATCGTACTCGTAGTAATTGCATTTATGCATTTACAAATCTCTTTCTCAAGGTAAATCAGCATTACAAATTCAATTTGTAATGCTGGCGGAATTTGTAATGCAATTTATACTAGTACGATGCTTTTGCATTGCATACCTCTATCACGGTTGCAGTATTCTGACGGATCATAATAACGGCATTCCCGTAGTGTTCAAGGGCTGCATATCAAGAAGAAAAATCCCCCCTCCCCATATCAACACGGAAATCTATGTTGCTGTATTTAAGTACACAAATGACAGCTGTCTTGCAGTAAAGGATTGCACGCAGATCGTAAGCCTAGGGGGGGGGCCTCTTGGTGTAGGGGACTAGCATGGCAGACGTCTGCCCTATAGGCTTGGCAGCGTTCTTACAAATCGCCTGCATATCGTGGCGGGGTCTCTGACTTTGTTGCCCTCTTGCAAGAGAGACAGGACCACTTGTGGCCACAAATCAGCAGCGCAAATTCTTAGAAGCATACCTTTGCAGTATGGGGACGAGGGGGGATCTTTCCTTTTGATATTGCAACGTAGACAACGATGGCCACCGCCAGGGTAACACTCTGGCATTATGTCAACAGTGGTGTCAGCAAGATGGGAACTGTGCATGTTGGTCTTTTTGTGGAAAAAACCAGTGTAAGCTAACGACCCCTCTATGCATTGCAAAAGTATCGTACTAGTATAAATCGCATGACAAATTAGCTCAGCATTACAAATGAAATTTGTAATGCTATTTTGCCTTAGGAAAGAGATTTGTAATGCATAAATGCAATTAGTACGAGTACGATACTTTTGCACAGGATACCCTCTGCCCGGCTACAACTGTTGCTGGTTGAAACCTCTCAACGACTATGGAAGCGTCAGGATTGAAATCGTCAAAGTTCTTGAAGTATATAACTTGTAATGCATAAAATCGATACCAGTTGGAAGCCCAATTCCCAAGCCGTGCATGACAAATTTTGGTGGTCCTTAAATCCAGTTTGTCATGCTCTTTAGGCAAAGAAGACTGATTTTCTCATGCTACTTAACCAGCTCGAGCTCTAACCCCAAACAGGCTTTTTACGATCGGCCTCACTTGCCTGCTCTGCAACACACGTACCTCGCGTCATGCATTTTCTGCATTACGAAGTATATTTCACCTTGTCGATTTCAAACTTGACACTTCCATAACGACATCATTGAGTTTAATTTTGACAGGTTTCCCGGTTACACCAGCGGGTGCTGTTACTACGACTCAAGCACCTACTGCTCGAACCAGTGCGTAAACAACGCCGGGCCGTTATCCTGAGTAAAAACGTCCCCACGCCAGAGTTGTCATGCAGATTTGCAATGACAGGAACATTTGTAATGCGCATCGCCAGGAGAGGCATTTTTAGTCGTGTTTTGGAATTTGTAATGCTGTAAACAGGATGAGCAGATGGATTTCTGATGCAGCTGGCCTTGCGAACCTGCACTACACTACGGACTGCAACTTGTGATGCGTGACCCCCAAAAGTTGTAGGCTTGTGTTGCAAAATCCCCATCTTGACTCTGGTGTGGGGATGTTTTTACTCAGGATAGCCGTGCGAGCGGTATTACATGGCAAAAATTGAAACCTACCCAAAAATATGAACTGCAAAAGTATCGTACTCGTATAAATGCATTACAAATTTCCTCATGAGAAAGAAAATTTGTGATGCGGATTTGCTTTCAGAAAAAAACTTGTAATGCATGATCGCAATACGAGTGCGATACTTTTGCACAGGATAAAAAAACGGCGGCAAACTGTGCGGGGAGGGACGGGACCTGTTTCGCTATCCTGAGTAAAAACGTACCCACACCAGAGTTGTAATGCAGATTTGCAAAGACAGGAAGACTTGTAATGCGCATCCCCATAAGAGCCATTTCCAATCGTGTTTTGGAATTTGTGATGCTGTGAACAGGATGAGCAGCTGGATTTGTGATGCGGCTGCACTTGCTAACCTGCACAACACTGCAGAGTGCAACTTGTCATGCGTGACTCACAAAACTCCTAGGTTTGTGTTGCAAAATCCCCATCCTGACTCTGGTGTGGGTACGTTTTTACTCAGGATATTCGCAAGGAGGTATTCACGGTAAACCCGTGGCAAGGCCCCGGGACCGCCGTAACCAATAGCAGCTGCCAGGACGAGGTGCAGCGGTGCGAGCAAGACATGACGGCGGACTGGAGCGCCTGCAGCGTGACCTGCGGGACTGGTGGCAAACAGTACCGAACGCAAAGAATTACCAAGCACCCCTACTTCATCACGTCTGCGGACATGGCCTGCAAGGAGCCCCTGATTGCCGTACGGGACTGCGACCCGGCGCCCGCCGCGTGTCCAGCAGGTGGATTCGAGCTGGACTTTTGTCCGACAGACTGCGAGCTGGGAGGCTTCGACACGAACGACGATCTCGTGAACTTGGAGGACTGCAAGCGGAAGGACTTGGACCTTCCCCCGCACGTCGACCGCACCACCGGCAAGTACTGCAGGGCGGACGAAACGGAGCATTATTACGCGGTGCGCGTCCGGCCGATCACCACGCAGCCGCGCGGGAAGGACCCGACGGCCTGCGGGGAAGACGTGTGCAACAAAAACGCTAAGATATCCCTATGGCGTTCTCAACTGTTACATTCTCCACTGTTACGTGATTTGTCATGCAAAACTACCTTAAGCCGACAGATAATCAAGCTGCTTCGCATGACAAATTTTCGAAGGACTCAACAGAGCCTAAATCTGTGCCAAATCTGTGATGCGAAAGCAGCAAGCTGGCCCCTTTGACTGTTGCCATTCTTGCATCACAAATTCATGTAACAGTTGAGAATGTAACAGTTGGGAACGCCATAATCCCTCACGGGGATGGATCCGAACGGGGGGTGCAAAGCGACCGTATCCTGTGCAAAAGTATCGTACTCGTATAAATGCAAGTCGTGCATTACAAATCTTGTTCCCAAGGCAAATCTGCATTACAAATTTTATTTCTCATGCTGAGGAAATTTGTCATGCATTTATACGAGTGCGATACTTTTGCAGTCCATAGACCGATCGCTTTTACCACGACTACGGTTCCGGCAAGTGCAGCACCCTGCCGATCTGTCCCGTCAACTGCGCAACGACGGAGTGGAACACGACGCAGCCTGGCTTTGCGCGCTGCATCAGAGAAGAAGTATCAAATGTAAAAATGTCTGGGTCTGGAAACTTGTGATGCTGAGTGGCGTAGCATAAGGAGGCCACAAGTGCTGGCTCAGCATGACAAATTTCTGAGCTTGTAGGTGTTGCCTATTCTGCATGACAGACTGCGTCTCCGCATGACAGAAAAAAACGTCTCTTGGGCAATGTGCATGACAGATTTAAGAGTCATGCCAGACAAGCATGACATCAATAAACATGCATTCTTCCAGACCCAGACATTTTTACATTTGATAAGAAGGACCCGAGAACATTTTCGCGGTCGAAGAGATCCACACGAACCGCACGCGGCTCCTCGAGCCACCGCCGTCCGTGCTCGAGCTGCACCAAGAAGCATCGCAGGACCCGAACTGCCCCCGCACGCCGCACGCACACCACCTCGGGTACGAAAAAGATGGCGTATCCTGAGTAAAAACGTCCCCACACCAGAGTCAGGATGGGGATTTTGCAACACAAACCTAGGAGTTTTGGGAGTCACGCATGACAAGTTGCACTCCGCAGTGTAGTGCAGGCTAGCAAGTGCAGCCGCATGACAGATTCATCAGCTCATCCTGTTCACAGCATCACAAATTCCAAAACACGATGGGAAATGGCTATGGCTCTCATGGGGATGCGCATTGCAAGTCTTCCTGTCTTTGCAAATCTGCATTACAACTCTGGCGTGGGTACGTTTTTCCTCAGGATATGGCGTCGGGGCGCGCTACGCTTACGACGCAAGAAGCTATCAGGCCTGCCTCCTTTTGTGCGTCGACAACTCCAGGTGTATCCACAGTAAATTTCCTGTAGTACACGTACAAACGCTGTCTCTGCATGACAAAATTTGCCTTCAATCCTAGTCTAGCATGACAAGTTGGACACTGCAAGTTAGCGAAATTTGTCATGCATTTTGTACATGTACGGGAAATTTACATTGCATAAGGTGCAAGGGCTTTACATACCGAGTTGATGTACCCCCACCAGCATCTTCTTCCTCTACGGGAGAGCAGCTGCCCGGCGCAGCAGATGCTTCCTCGTCCTCTGCCGGACCGGTTACAGAATACCCGATTCCCCGATCGCGGGATGCCACCGAATACTGCGCGAGGCTGGAAAATGTCGACTTTCCCGATAGCGATGAGGATCTGATAGAAGACGACGGTAAGTTGTTCGGGAATAATCTCGGAGAGTTATCGTAAGGAAAAATCCTAATCCCCTTTCCCCATATTGAAAACGTACCCTCCTGAAAATTTGTGTTGCAGATTTGTGACCACAAATCCGGTTTGTCATGCAAGAAGGCAAATCCAGGCTGTCTACCGCGTTATGTAGGCGATTTGTAATGCTGTAAGGCCTACAGGGCAGACGTCTGCCATGCTAGGTGCCTACAGCAAGAGGCCCCTGTCTAGGCTTGCGAACTGCGTGCGTTGCTCTATTGCAGGACAAATTTGATTTGTGCGCAGAAATTCCGCATCACAGATTTCCGTCTTGATATGGGGAGGGGGGATTTTTCATTTTGATAAGAGTGGAAGAAGACTGGCGGGGATAACAAGGACGTGTGGCAGAATGCGATCCGTGGGCACAAAACGTTTCACGAGTGTTGGGCTGCCTGTTTAGACGAAAAAGACTGTATGGCCTTCGTGTATAAGATATCAAATGTAAAAATGTCTGGGTCTGGAAGATTCTGACATTTGTCATGCACGTTTTGCATGAGCCATGATGTCTGTGATGCATACCCTAGCAATACAGATTTTTTGAGGGCTTCTTGATGCCTATTCCGCATGACAAATGCCTCCTCAGCGTAGCAAAAGTTGCATTCTGTTTGCTACTCATGCAATACAGATTTTTTTGGAATCCAAATACAGCATCACAAGTTACATTCTTCCAGACCCAGACATTTTTACATTTGATATAAGAAAAAGCTCACCGTCGACTCCGCGGAAGACAACTGCTTGCTAAAGTCGCGCCTGCGACTCGAGACCGCGACGTACACCAATGACGAATCCGCTTGCTGCGACTCTGTGCTGATGCCCCCCAACTGCAAGGAAAAGGTGAAAGCGGTGAAAGATGTTGACCAGTCGGATGGAGGTCGTGCCTATCAAATGCAAGAATGTCTGGGTCTGGAAGATTGCGAGATTTGTGATGCATATTTCGGATCACGCAAATGGCGTCTGATGCAGGCAAAAGCATGACAGGTTTTGAGCACGCCTCATGATGCCTGTCCCGCATGAGAAACTTCCTACCTGCGTACCAAGAAATGGACAGCTTTTGGCGCTCATGCAACACAAATTTCTGTGTGTTGCAGAGTTTGCATGACAAGTTCCAACTCTTCCAGACCCAGACATTTTTGCATTTGATAGTGCCCCCGCCCAGCCGACGTGTTTTCTTCTCGACGACGCTGACCGTGTATGAAAGTGCACAACTCCCCTCCCCCTCATTTGTCATGCAAAACACCAAATCCACGTCCTGCCTTTGGGCATTATCTGCATGCCAAATTTGGGAACCTCAAACAGCACTACGACCTGTATGCAGATTTGTCATGCGGAAGTCACATGTCTGCGGTTACTTGTGTTGCTGTTCATGCAATACAAATGAGGGGGAGGGGGAGTTGTGCGCCCTTATACCGTAAATTTGCCGTGGAACAGAATGATCCCAGCGCTGATACCTTCGCCGTGGAGATGACCGCCGCCTGTCGGCAGTCAAAACAGACCAAGTGCGATATGACTTGCTCAAGCGTTACAATCTCAAACGTTACAATAGAATCTGGAATTTGTGTTGCATGATGGGCATGACAGACTCGCACAGCGTTCCACCTTTTGCAATACAAATTTCCCCTGATTGTAGTGGGGTTTGGAGCTCCGGAACTTGTCATGCGCAACCCTATGAGAGTTGGCTGGATCATGCTCATCATGCAAGACATCAAATCTCAGATTCTATTGCAACGTTTGAGATTGTAACACCTGAGCGGGTTATATCCGAGGGCTGCCGCACCGAGAGCGACCACGTAAACGATTGTTCGCTTACCTGTGCTGGCCGCGGGGGTAGCGGTAGCAGCAGCTCGGGCGATGATCAAGATTCGGCGAAGGATAGAAACCCCGCCGCGGGCTGGTGCTCGAAGTGCGATTCCCAGGATGGCACGCTGCACGGCGCCGTATGGATTTGTCAGGATCGAAATCGATAAAGTTGAAAGAATTTATGTATGATGCATGAAACGGATGTAAGTTGGCGCCCAGTTTTCAAGTGGCGCATGACAAATTTGGGCGAAACCAAAACCCAGTTTGTTATGCTGCTTGGGTAAGGAAGACGCCTTTTGTCATGCTACTTTAGCAGCTCTATTTCTGCAACCTCTCGGCAGGCTTATAACCTGCCTCACTTGCCAACTCTGCAAGCCAGGCATTTTGTGGACACACGCCCCGGTTCCATAGTCACAAAAATGCACAGTAAAAGTTTGATCTTATCTTAAATGCATTGTAGGTTCAAAAAGGACTTCAAAAAATGACTTGCATAGAGACACACTTAAATTTGTGTGATAGGTCCAATCGGTTTATAAATTTCTACATGCAGAGCGACTTTGTAGTTTTTGGCTCCTTCACACAAATTTAGAACGGAAAATCAAAAAATAAAGATATGATCAAACTGAGGGGGAACGCATACAGCATAGGAATTGCACTGAGAGGATTTTATGCTTGGACTTTATGAACCGCGCACAGGAATCCGAATTCGCCGCACATTAATGGGCTCGACTTTGCGTTGGGTTTAGGCCGGTGCTCAAGGCGAGGAGAAGGAATTTCTTCGTGGATTATCTAAACAACAACGACGAGAACAACACCGATGGGTTGATTACGGTTGGAGTGTAAGTGTTCCGAGTACTTTAAATTACAAGTTTTTCAACTTTGTCAATTTCGATCCTGACGCAACTTCCATACGCGTGCTGTCAGGCGTACAACTACGCCGATCCGAGCGAGTGTCGCCACGACTACAATTTTCTGTTGCAGACCCGGCCCTCGCACGCACGGAAATATCACCAGTGTGTTTTGCCACAGGTGCGGCGCCCGAAGTATTCGGCGGCGGTTCTGTATGGAAGCGTCAGGATTGAAATCGTCAAAGTTGAAATAATTTCTCATGCATAAATTGCAAGGCATGAAGTGCCTCTCTTGCAGGGACGGCAAGTGAGGCCGACTGTCAGCCTGTTTGGGGTCTGCGGTAGAGCTGCTGAAGTAGCGTGACAAAAGACGCCTTCTGTCCCAAAACAGCATGACAAACTGGATTTAGACGTGGCCGAAATTTGTCATGCGCCGCTTGAAAATTGGACTCCCAACTGGTATCGATTTTATGCATTACAAGTTATTTCAACTTTGTCGATTTCAAACCTGACACTCCCATATTCTGGACTCCTCGTCCACCCTGCGTGCTGTTCCGACGCCAGAGAATATCGCAAGAAAAAACTGTTTCACTGGGAACTTGTGATGCAGAAAACGAAACACCAAAGTGTTTGTCTTGCTACACCTGCATAGAGCATTGGAGTTTCTTCACGCGTGTTTTACCCTATAGGAAATGCACGCATGGCAGATTTTCAGTGTTATGTGTAAACAAACTTGTAATGCAGATCTTGCAAAATCACCACAGTGAAGCGGCTTTTTCGTGGGATAGAGAAGTACTGCGGTCCGCCAAACACCTTTTTCCAGAAGATTTTCCTATCCTGTGTAAAAACGTCCCCTCCAGCCCAGAGTTGTCATGCAGATTTGCCATGACAGGAGCATTTGTGATGCGCAACCCCATGACAGGCGTTTTCAATAGTGTTTGGGAATTTGTAATGCTGTAAACAGGAAGATAAGCAGATCGATTTGTAATGCGGCTTTCCTTGCTATCTTTCACTACCTTAACCTTACGGACTGCAACTTGTCATGCGTCACCTCCAAAACTCCTAGGTTTCTGTTGCAAAATCCCCATCTTGACTCTGGGGTAGGGACGTTTTTACTTCGGATATTTCCGCGAGGTGATCCATCCGGCCAAGGGGGAAGGCGCGCTGTCTTGCCCACCCGACGTACGAACTGCAAAAGCATCGCACTTCTAGTAGTAATTGCCTAATACAAATTACCTCAGCATGACAAATGGAATTTGTGATGCTGTTTTAGCTTGGGATGGTGGAGATTTGTAATGCATAACTGCAACTACTACGAGTGCGATACTTTTGCACAGGATACGCCGAGTTAGAGAGCAACACCGCGCCCCTTGGGCCTGGCACCGGATCGACTTACCACCTGTATCGTAATTGGACAGCCTGTATGAAGTGCAAAACAAGCATCGTACCTGTATAAATTGCAATACAAATTGGCTCAGCATTACAAATTGAATTTGTAACGCGGATTTGCCTTGAAACAAAGATTTGTAAATGCATAAAAGCAATTAATAGTACGAGTGCGATACAACTTTTGCACAGGACAGCCTGCGCTGCCGTGCCGGAGTGCCCGGTGGACTGTATCAAATGTCAAAATGTCTGGGTCCTCTGGAAGATTGCCAGGTTTGTCATGCACGTGGTGCATGACGTGTGAGGTCTGTGATGCGTGCCCTAGCATCACAGATTTTGTGAGATCTTTACCATGCCTTTTCCGCATGAGAAAATGCCTCTCGGCCTTCTCAAAAGTGAACAGCTTTATTGGTAATCATGCTGCGTGATTCCCTGGGTCTTACAGTTGCATGATGCAACACAGATTTTTGTATGATTCAGATTTAGCATGACAAGTTGTACTCTTCCAGACCCAGACACTTTTGCAATGCATAGACTGTAAGACTTCGGCGTGGAGGACGGATGAAACTGCGGACGACTGCTTTTATGGATTGTAAAAATGTCTGGGTCTGGAAACTTGTGATGCATGTCAGTGAACGGAAAGCGCCTTGTAATGCACCGCCAAGCATGACAGATTTTCTCGTGGCTCTCTGTTGCGTATTCCGCATGAGAAACATCGTTTTTGCATGACAGACAAGAGGAGGTCTTCGTGGCCACGCAATACAGAGTTCAGAGTCATGCCAAACTAGCATGAGAAATCTCGAAATCTTCCAGACCCAGACATTTTTGCAATCCATAGTTTTAACAACAAAACCAATTTGCCCGACAACTCTCTCGTGGACGGTACCTACCCTGTGTAAAAACTTTTCCAACTATATGCAAGAAAAAAACTATGTGAGTGTAAATCTGTGATGCAGAAAGTGCAAAACTGTTACACTTGTCATGCTGGATCTGCGTCATACGCTACTTTCATACGTGTTTCCACGTACTAGCTGCGCATGACAGATTTTCCCTGTAATGCAAAGGTAATTTGTGATGCTGCTTTTCCTACACAGTTACACTTACACAGTTTTTTTCCTGGATAAACTACCCATAGTTCTTGCCATGCAAATCTGCATTGGAGGTGAAAATGTCTCTCACGCGGAGCCCCATGACACGCATTTTCTACTGCTGTTTGAAGTTTGTGATTTACCTACAATCAGCATGAGAAACAAGATTGGTGATGCTGCTGCGCTAGCTCAAGATCGCGATTACATTTTTGCGAACCCAGCAAATTTGTCATGCGCAACAGCCAAAGCTTGCTAATTTGTCTTGCAGATTTCCCAACTTGTTGACTCTGGGGTCGGGCCGACGTTTTTACATATGATTACACGCCCTGTCTCAAGGACGGGGAGCGGTACTACAGAAGAAAGGTCCGCGACGTGGATATCCTGTGTAAAAACGTCCCCACCCCAGAGTTGTCATGCAAATGTGCAATGACAGGAACATTTGTAATGCGCATCTCCTTGAGAGGCATTTCCAGTTGTGTTTTGGAATTTGTAATGCTGTAATCAGGATGAGCAAATGGCTTTTTCATGCGGCTTTCGTTGCGAACCAGCACTACACTGCAGATGGAAACTTGTCATGCAGAACTCCCAAAGCTTGGAGATTTGTGTTGCAGATTTCCCATCTTGACTATGGTGTGGGGACGTTTTTACATAGGATAGTGGAAACGCCAATGCTTCATGGTGGGAAGGAGTGCCCGAGTGGGTGGTGCAAGGCCGGGGAACTGGAGCAATTGTTCAAATTATTCCATGACAAGCTCGCGGCCCGCCCAACATATCCTGAGTAAAAACATCCCCACACCAGAGTCAAGATGGGGATTTTGCAACACAAACCTAGAACTTTTGGGGGTCACGCATCACAAGTTGCAGTCCGTAGTGTAGTGCAGGCTCGCAAGGCCAGCTGTATCAGGAATCCATCTGCTCATCCTGTTTACAGCATTACAAATTCCAAAACACGACTAAAAATGCCTCTCCTGGCGATGCGCATTACAAATGTTCCTGTCATTGCAAATCTGCATGACAATTCTGGCGTGGGTACGTTTTTACTCAGGATACAACATCGCAGCGGGTCACGTTTGAAGACATCGACTCGGAGGCTATCAAATGTAAAAGTGTCTGGGTCTGGAAGATTGCCAGGTTTGTCATGCACATTTTGCATAACTCCTGATCGATCTGTGACGCATGCCCTAGCATGACAGATTTTGTGAGGGCTTCCTGATACCTACACCGCATGACAAATGCTCTTTCCGTGTAGCAAAAATTGGACTCTCTTTGCTGCTCATGCAATACAGATTTTTTCAGGATCCAAAATCAGCATGACAAGTTGGATTCTTCCAGACCCAGACATTTTTACAGTTGATAGAGGCAGTAACGGACCAACAACTGACCGAGCCTGAGGTGATTACCTTCGTGGACAACGGTGTTGACAATGATGACACCCTGCTGAATATCAAATGTAAAAGTGTCTGGGTCTGGAAGAATGCATGTTTGTCATGCTTGTCTGGCATGACTCGAGAATCTGTCATGCACGTTGCCCAAGAGCCGCATTTTTCTGTCATGCGGAGACGCAGTTTGTCATGCAGAATAGGCAACACCTACAAGCTTAGAAATTTGTCATGCTGAGCCAGCACATGTGGCCCCCTCATGCTACGCCACTCAGCATCACAAGTTTCCAGACCCAGACATTTTTGCAGTTCATACTGAAGACGAAGAAGCAGTTTTTCTCCTGGATCCGAAGGCAGGACCCCGGCCTATCAACTGTAAAAATGTCTGGGTCTGGAACAAAGCAACTTGTCATGCTATATCAATATCTGAATCATGTAAAAATCTGTGTTGCATGATTGCCAAAAGCTGTCCACTTTTGACCTAATCGAGAGGCAGTTTCTCATGCAGGATAGGCATGATAGAACTCTCACAGAATCTGTCATGCTCTGTCCTACATGCCCGACCTCATGGGTCATGGAAAACCTGCATGACAAGTCTAGCACTCTTCCAGACCCAGACATTTTTGCACTTGATACGGCCTTCCTGGTTACCAGAGCCCCGGCGCCGACCCAGGGTTCGAAAACATCGGGAAAGAGGAATGGCTGACAACTTTACATCTGCAGTTTGGCTTGGAGTGGATCGAAAAGAAGGATTTGGACAATCTGAAAAAAGTTTTGACCGGGGGGCCGCAGGTTCAGAACACGGACACCTGCATATGACAGTGCACAACTCCCCCTCCCCTTCCTTTGTCATGCAGAGCCCCAAATGCAAGTGCTTCCCTTTGGCACTGTTTGCATGACAGATTCCGGAAGGAGCCCAAACGCAAACAGTGCTACACGAGGCGCATAAATTTGTCATGCACAGGCTCCACATGTGCTGGTGTTTGTATTGCTGTTTGTGCAACATCAGAAATGAGGGGGAGGGGGAGTTGTGCACATTCATACTGAAAGGATGCGCTTCACTACAAAGATTTCGACGATGACTTTTGTATCAGCAGTAGCGGATACAAAGATAAGCTTCCCCGCTGTCCTATCGCATGCGAAATGACGGTATGAACTGCAAAAGTATCGTACTAGTATGAATCGCATGACAAATTTCCACAGCATGAGAAATAGAATTTGTGATGCGGATTTAACTTGGCAAAAAAATTTGTAATGCATGAATGCGATTAGTACGAGAACGATGCTTTTGCAGAGGATAGACGGACTGGGAGGATGATTTGTCCCATTTTGGACACTATTAAATGCAAAAATGTCTGGGTCTGGAAGAATGCATGTTTGTCATGCTTGTCTGGCATGACTCTTAAATCTGTCATGCACGTTACCCAAGACCTCCATTTTTCTCTGATGCAGAAACGCAGTTTGTCACGCAGAGTAGGCAACACCTAGTAGCTCGGAAACTTGTCATGCTGAGCCAGCACTTGTGGCCTCATCATGAGACGCCACCCAGCATCACAAGTTTCCAGACATCCAGGAATTTTTACATTTGATAGACACAAAGTTTTCCACTTCTCCGAGCTCCGGGAGGTGGAACGACGGCGTATGGATTGCAAAAATGTCTGGGTCTGGAAGGTTGGAACTTGTGATGCTAACTTTGGACTCTAAAAAATTCTGTATTGCATGACCAGCAAGAGGAGTCCGGTTTGTGCTACGCGTGGAGGGCATTTGTCATCGGAGCAGGCATCAGGAAGGCCTCTAAAAATCTGTGATGCTAGGGCTTCCATGACAGACATTCTGTGTCATGCAAAAAAAGCAATAGGCGTGGGCCTGTAGGCCTAAATTCCGGTCGGTTGGTCGGTTGGTTGGTTGGTTTTGGACAGACGACAACTGACCGAACCCGCTGCATTGTGTTTTGTGTTCTTCTGCGATTCGTCTCTTATTACTGTTGAGGCTGCCTACCTACCCACCTACCTGGCGTCTTTTCGATTCATTGTAGTACCGTGATCGCACCGACCCACCTACCTACCTATCCGCTGCCACCCAGAGACAGCTGCCTACTGGTCACGCCTACCGACCCACCTACCCACCCTCATGGTGGGTAGGTGGGGCGAGGGAGCGCGCGCTGCCTATTGGCCACGCCTACCGACCTACCGACCCACCAGCCTGGTGGGTGGGTGGGGCGAGGGTGCGCTGCCTATTGGCCACACCTACCGACCTACCCACCCACCTCGCTGGTGGGTGGGTGGGGCGAGCAAACGTTGCCTATTGGCCACGCCCACCGATCTACCCACCCACCGCGCTGGTGGGTGGGTGGGGCGAGCAAACGCTGCCTATTGGCCATGCCCACCGACCTACCCACCCACCGCACTGGTGGGTGGGTGGGTGGGGCGAGCGTGCGCTGCCCCTTGGCCACGCCTACCGACCTACCCACCCACGAGCCTGGTGGGCGGGTGGGGCGAGCGTGCGCTGCCTATTGGCCACGCCTACCGACCTACCCACCCACGAGCCTGGTGGGCGGGTGGGGCGAGCGTGCGCTGCCTATTGGCCACGCCTACCGACCTACCCACCCACCTCGCTGGTGGGTGGGTGGGGTGAGCGTGTGTTGCCTCTTGGCCACGCCTACCGACCTACCCACCCACCTGCCTGGTGGGTGGGTGGAGCGAGCGCGCGCTGCCTATTGGCCACGCCTGCCGAGCGACCTACCCACCCGCCAGGCAGGTGGGGGTGTGGGGCGAGCGTGCGCTGCCTACTGGCCACGCCTACCGTCCTACCCACCCACCTGCCTGGTGGGGGGCGGGGCGAGCGTGCGTTGCCTGTTGGCTACGCCTACCGACCTACCCACCCAGCTGCCAAGCGGGGGGGGGCGAGCGGGTGTTGGCTATTGGCCACGCCTACCGACCTACCAACCCACCTGCCAAGCGGGGGGGGAGGGGGTCGGGCGAGCGTGCGTTGCCTATGGCGCAATTTACTAGCAGGGGGTTTGCAAGCAAGGGACTCGCGCAGCCAAGGGGTTGCGCAAAAAGCCTCCGCGCGGCATGACCAAGCGGGGGCTGATCCAAATTTATTTTGCGCGAGTTTGTCTCTATTTCCCGAGTGTGTTTTGCTCGGGTTGAGGAAACACAGGTCGAGGCTGGAGAAAAGTGCAGCTCTGGAGCCCCGGCCTCTTTCGATCTCACAGGCGCAAACTCTCACGAGGCCCCCCGGAGCTCCGACTGCGTCCACGCAGCACAGATCTGTGTCTGCAGCGAGCTGCGCGCACCACTGATTTGTGTTGCGCGCGTCACAGATTCGCGCCCACGCAGCGCAGATTTGTGTCTCCGGCGAGCTGCGCGCAACACAGATTCGTGCGCAACACGCAGCACAGATTTGCGCGCAGCGCCGATTTGTGCTGCGCGCACGCAGCGGAGATTTGTGTCTGCGGCGAGCTGCGCGCAGCACAGATTTGTGGTGCGCGCAACACAGAGTTGCGCCCACGCAACACAGATTTGTGTCTGTGTTGCGTGGACACATCGAAGTCTCCTTCTGCCGAGACCTTTCTGCCGCCCTGGCGGAAGTGCCTACTGGGCGGCGATAGGATGCGGCGCTACCAGCCTCGCAGGGGCGGGCTGCAGCCCCGGTAGGGAGGCAGGTGCTCCGCGCGCCCCGACCACCCCCCTATCGTGTTTCGCCCTCCTTGCCGTTGCGGTTATCTTCTAAAGTCAAAACCGATGTGCGTTTTTCCATAATTCGTAAATTCGGTCAGTTGTCGTCTGTCCAAAACCAACCAACCAACCGACCAACCGACCGGAATTTAGGCCTACAGGCCCACGCCTACTCAAAAAAAGCATAAAAAATTTCGGATTCTTCCAGACCCAGACATTTTTACATTTGATACGGCGGGAGGTGGAACAACCAGGCGGCCCTGCTGGTTCCTTTCTGCAACAAAGAACGGAGCCACCACTTCTGTCTGAGCCACGAACTTCTGCCGCTGTTGATTCCTTTCTGCAAGCGGAGCCACGACGGTCTGAACCAGACGCCGGCCTTTTTTCTTTTTTGCAAGCCACCACAGCAGATGGCGATGGCGCTAAGTTTATCTATCTTGACACGTGGCAAAGCAAATACGAGTCCTTTGCTTCAAAAAACGAATGGAAGTGGGACGCAGACAACAAAACCGCGAAAGTGACCTTCTACGCTAGAACACCAAGCAGTTCTTCTCCCACAACAACCCAACTGCAGAAGCATAAAGAAGAGATAGCCAAAATCTTCCGCAAGCTTGACTTTGACAAAGATGAAAAGTTAAGCGAAAAAGAGTACAGCCGGTTTTTACAAGATCCCGCGTGCAAAAATTTTTGCACCGACGATGCAACAAACAAGCCGCGGCAAAAAAAGCAGCTGCGGAGAATCAGGATTCAGCCGCAGTACGACGGAACCGCATGTCCGGCTGAGGAGCGGCCAACTGTTTGTAAAGATCCGTCGACGACTCCCGATTTGCCTGTCGGACCCTGTCCCCACGACTGCGCGTTTATGGCGTGGGGGAGCGATAATCTGTGTTACAACATGACCAATGACAAGGTATCCACTGCAAACATTGATCTGGGTCTGAAAGGTAGTTGCAACTTGTTGTATATGCTGTCTACTTCGGATTATTTTTCTAAAAAAAGTGTGCTGTTTTTGCACGATCAGCAAGAGCAGGAGTCCAGTTTGTGCTACGCGGAGAGGAAATTCAAATTTACTCATGCGGAATAAGCATCAAGAAGATCTCTAAATTTATGCCATTTTTGTTCATTACAGGCAAAGGCATCATGGTCCATGCAAAATATGCATGACAAACCTGGCAATCATCTTCCAGACCCTGACATATCGGCAATGCATACAAGGTGGTGAATTGTAAAACAGACACCGAATACGGCTGTTGGGACAAAGCTCACCCCAACAGGTATCGCAAGAAAAAAACTGTGTAAGTGTAAATCTGCAATGCAGAAGAACATGCAACAGATTTACGCCCGTGGTCATGCCGGACAGCCATGAAGTGCTCTTTTTATCTGTGTTTTCCATTGCAAGAGCAAGACACGCATTTTTTTTGTCATGTAGAGCAAAGTTGTGATGCTATTGCTATCAGCCAAAGATTGTTACACTATTAACACAGGAGTTTTTCTCTCGGATAACACGGGCGCGCAGTGCAAAGACGAGCAAGGGCAGCCGGTGCCCCCGGCGCAGTATTATCGCATATACACGCGGTCGGTCACGGAACAGACGAATGACGGCAAGCCCTGCCCGGCCGAAGATTCCCTGTGCACCGAGCACCATGAACACGACTGTACGAATATCAAAAGGAAAAATCCCCCCTCCCCATATCGAAACGAAATTTCTGATGCTGGATTTGCGTACACAAATCAGGTCTGTCTTGCTGGAGAGGACTGCAGGCATATACCAAGCCTGGGTCGAGAGGTTTTGACGTAGGGGACTAGCATGACAGACGTCGGCCCTGTAAGCCCAACAGCATCACAAACCGCCGGCATAATGCGGCGGACTCTCTGGCTTTGCCTTCTTGCAAGACAGACAGGATTTGTGACCTCAAATCTGCAGCACAAATTTTCAGACGAATGCGTTCTCAATATTATGGGGAGGACGGATTTTTCCTCTCAATAACGAAGCAAAACGTTCGCGTGTACCACAACCATGACCAGTGCACCTCCACCGAACCCGGTGTCCCTTCGCTCGGCTGGTGCGCGATTGACTGCCAGGTTAGTGAGTGGAACCAGACCGACCTGGAAAAGGTGTCCCGGTGCCTGCGCGACGTGACGCAGCCACCCGCCCCTTATCAAATGCAAATATGTGGTCTGGGTCTGGAAGATTCTGAGACTTGTGCTGCACGTTTTGCATGAGCCATGACGTCGATGATGCATATGTCCTAGCATCACAGAGGACTTTTTGAGGGCTTGTTGATGCCGATTCCACACGACAAATACCCCTACTACCGCGTAGCAAAAATTCCTTTCCCTTTGCTGCTCATGCAATACAACTTTTTGTAGAATTTGAATGCAGCACCACAAGATGCATTTCTCCAGACCCAGATGACACATTTGCAATGTATACCCCCCCAAAAGTTGTCGGCCCCCACCGGTTTCCGAAGAACTTTTTCAGCCAACCGAAGGGTGAAAATGAAACATTTTGCATGAAACCCTTTGCGAACCCAGCGGAGGAAGGAACGTACTACCAGAAACTTGTTCGCACGGTGCTGCTATCCCAGAAAAAAAGGCCAGACGGTGTAACTTTGACTTTCTTGGCGGAATAGCATTTTTACAAACATGTGGTCTTCTGGAATGATAGGAAAATCCCGCCATAATCATGCGCAGATTGTGCATTGAAGCGCACTTCTTGAATGGACCCTACAAATACAATGAATTTCCAGCATGTCTACAGGTGCAATCATCTAGCATGTTCTTGCGCATCACAAAGTTCTTACACTAACAATGCTTTTTTCTGGCATGATAGCTGCGGCCCGCGAACCACACTGGCGCCGTTGCGGGTAGGAGTGTGAATCACCTCCCCACCCCTTTGAATCACCTCCCCACGCATCACCCCGCCACCCGGATCACCTACCCACCTCCCCCGCATCACCTCGTGATGCGGCCGCATCACCACCGCAACGGCCGGAGGTGATGCAGAAGCAGAGCCGGCTGCGGCCTTGGTTGTTTAGGGTCTAGGGTTTAGGGCTCGGGGTTTAGGGTCGTCGAGGCCAGCCGGCGCGACGGTGCGCGCCGTCGCGCCGGCTGGCCTCGGCGATTCTCTTCTCCTCGTGTTGTTCCCCCCTTCTCCGCCCTTGGGCGCCACCCTTTTGGTTTCCGCTTCTCCTAGGTCCTTATATATGTTGTTCCATTTTCGTCACCTTAGGGCCGCCGGCCGCCATCTGGCGGCCGCGTACATAGGCGGATCTGTCACGCAGCATGAGGGCTCATGTGCGTTGTGGCAGATACCTGGCTTCATGGCCGCGAGGTAGATCGATGGCACAGAAGCCAAGCAGCAAGCATCCAGACGCAGTCACGTTCTGGTCGACCATCACGGGGAAGTGCAACGCAGTGGGGAAGTGCTGGACGACTGGGAGGTGGGGAGGTGGGGAAGTACCTCCCCACCTTCCCACTACTGGGGAGGTACCTCCCCACACGTGGGGAGGCACCTCCCCAGGGTGGGGAGGTAGGGAGGTGGGGAGGTGATGCGTGGGGAGGTGATTCACACCATAACCTTAGCCGTTGCGTGTCCGACGGGAGAAACGGACAGTCATAACCCTTCGTACCCGTCAGTCGATGCCATCCCCAAGGACGACATGACTTTCAATGTCTACAAGGATTTCAACGCTTGTACTGAGGACCACTTACACTACTGTCCTTTCGATTGCCAGATGAGCGACGACTGGGCGGCGCAGGTGCCCCCTGGAACTCCGGAACCCGTGTGCTACAACAGTGAGACACACCAGCCGGACCACAGCCATAACAAGGCGGACGGAAAGCCATGCGGCATAGAAGGGAAGCGCTACTACAGGAATTACACGCGCAACATCGCCATGTTGCCCGACGGCGTGACGCCGGCCGAGGCCAAGTACGGGGGCAAGGGGTGCCCGACGGGGTTGTGCCCGACCGAATTATTCGACAAGGACGGCCCACCAACCGAGAGGCCGCCCACCGCTTGGGCGAAGTGCAATAAGCAGGATGGGGCGCATATGGAAGTAGCGTCAGGTTTGAAACCGACAAAGTTGAAATAGTTTGTGACGCATGAATGGCAAGGCATGAAGTGCCTCTCTTCTTGCAGGGATTTTTGCAAGTAAGGCCGACTGTCAGCCTGTTCGGGGTCTGCGATAGAGCTGCTAAAGTAGCATGACAAAAGACGCCTTCTATCCCTAAACAGCATGACAAACTGGATTTAGCCGGTTCCGAAATTTGTCATGCGCCGCTTCGAAATTGCGCTTCCAACTGGTATCCATTTTATGCATGGCAAATCATTTCAACTTTGACGATTTCAGTCCTGACGCTTCCATAGCGCAGTCGGATTACGCAGAATACCACGACTTTTTCGAGCCCGCTTGCCAAACGGCGCCGCCAGGTTCGTTGATGCTGTGTCCGGTAGACTGCGTGATGAAGCCGTGGAACGAAACCAAGGCAGCAGATCTTTCCCTCTGCGCCCTCGACGAGAGTCCGGTCCGGCCGAAATTACCGATTTACGGTCCGGACGAAATTAAAACGGAGCGCGTGGTTATAGAGGAACTACCATCTCCAGGGGGGAAGGAGAAGGGCAAGAAGTACTGCAAAAAGGGCCCTTCCGAGCGCTGGTACCAGATTTTGTTCCGGGGAGTAAAGACTGAGGCGAACAAAAGTCCCGAGAGCAAGCAATGCCCAACCGGCGAGGAGACAAGCAATAATGCTGCCTACAACACGGCAGCAAGCTATCGAATGCAAAAGCACCGTAAAAATAGTATAAATTGCATTACAAATTAGCTCAGCATTACAAATAAAATTTGTAATGCTGAATTACCTTGATAAAAAGATTTGTCATGCATAAATGCAATTACTACGAGTACCTACGATACTTTTGCATTGCATAAAAGCTTCAAAGCAAGCAATCCCGACGAGTATCCGGATCCGGAAACAAATCCTGACGCTACCCTGGGTATGAAATGCAAAAATGTCCGGGTCTGGAAGAATGCAACTTGTGATGCTGTATTTGGATTCCAAAAAAACCTGTATTGCATGAGTAGCAAACAGAATGCAATTTTTTCTACGCTGAGAAGATATTTGTCATGCGGAATAGGCATCAAGAAGCCCTCAGAAAATCTGTATTGCTAGGGTATGCATCACAGACATCATGGCTCATGCAAAACGTGCGTGACAACGACAAGTGTCAGAACCTTCCAGACCCAGACACTTTTACAATTGATACTGGGACCGCTGCGCCGCTTCAAAAACTACACAGCCTGTGACCCCCTTCCGATGTGTCCCGTGGACTGTGAGACCACTGCGTGGGAGAACGAAGATCCATCGCAGCCGAACTGTTTCAACGCCAAGACAGACGCCGTGGACACGCGCAGAGACACGGGGGCCCCGTGTCTGCGAGGACAGGTATGAAATGTAAAAATGTCTGGGTCTGGAAGATTCTGAGACTTGTCATGCATGTTTTGCATTGGCCATGATGTCTGTGATGCATGCCCTAGCATCACAGATTTTTTGAGGGCTTCGCGATGCCTATTCCGCATGACAAACACCACTCCGCGTAGCAAAAATTGCATTCCCTTTGCTGCTCATGCAATAAAATAGATTTTTTTGGAATCCAAATTCAGCATCACAAGTTGCATTCTTCCAGACCCAGACACTTTTACATTTGATAACAGGGCGCCCGGTACTACCGCAAGAAGACCAGGAGTGTGAAGACAGAATCTTATCCTGTGCAAAAGTATCGTACTCGTAGTATTTGCAATCATGCATCACAAATTTTTTTCTCAAGGTAAATCCGCATCACAGATTTTATAATTTCTCATGCTGAGAAAATTTGTAATCGTAATGCATTTTTACGAGTACGATACTTTTGCAATTCATAAATCTGCCCACGGCGGCAAGGAGTGCCCGGCACCGGACGGAGTGGAGTGTCAGGCGGGTACCCTGGAGGATGTGTACGAATTGATTAAGGGCAAGCTGGAGAAGTGCACGCCGCCCGAGGGCCCCAACAAAAAAGAACGCTGTACGCCTGTGACGACCGGCATCGCTGCCGACGGCAAAATCACTTTCCAGGACCTGGACTCGGCGAAGGACGACAATCTCGTGGACCCGGAAGTGATGGCGTTCGCGGACCAGAATACAACACTTGGTGGCAGGTTCCGGTCATGGTTTGACACAGAAGACCAGAACTCACAGATAACCCTCGCCGAATGGCGCAGGACGCTTTATCTCCTGTTCCAGAAAGAGTGGATCGAGCTATCAAAAGGAAAAATCCTCCCTCCCCATATCGAAAACGAAATTTGTGGTGCTGTATTTGAGTACACAAATCGACTTGTCATGCTAGAATGCCAAGAGACGCAGCTGTGGCCTCGTTTGCAGGCAATTTGTCATGCTGTATCCCACTTCCAGCTGCCCCCTGTCATGCTGAAGATGCAAGGCTTTCCCACGCCAACCAGCACTACAGTCCGCATATCTACCCTTCTAGCATGACAAAGCTGATTTGTGGTCGCAAATCTGCATCACAAATTTCTAGTTTGAGTATGGGGTGGGAAGATTTTTCACTTTGATACGAGCGCAAGGACCTCCCGCGGCTGAAAGAGATCCTCGCGGGGGGCCGAGAGGTGGCCAGCGAGGCAACGTGCAATGATGTACGCAGATACAGGGACTACAAGGATCCACAGTGTAGTATTGTACCACCTGGCGCTTTACCGCAGGGGCAGGCTGCGGCGGAAAATGAACTGCCCAGGTGCGAGATTGACTGCTCGCTGGGAGTATCAAATGTAAAAATGTCTGGGTCTGGAAGAATTGGAACTTGTGCTGCTAACTCTGGTCTGTAAAAAAATCTGTATTGCATGACCAGCAAAAGGAGTCTAGTTTGTGCTACGCGGCGGGGAGGGCGTTTGTCATGCGGAGCAGCCATCAGGAAGCCCTCTAAAAATCTGTGATGCTACGTCGTGCATTACAGACATCCTGGGTCATGCAAAACATGCATGACAAGTCTCAGAATCTTCCAGACCCAGACACTTTTACATTTGATAGGGAGAGTGGCAAGACGACGAATCCGCTTTCGGAGACATATGGCATTCTCAAGCGTTACGCTCTCAACTGTTACATGAATTTGTCACGCAAGAACAGCAACAGTGAAATCGTCACAACGTGCAAGAACTCTCGCATCACAAATTATTCCGAGCAGATTTTAATGCTGTTTAGCCCTTCCAGAATTTGTCATGCGAAGTAACCGTGGTCGTCTGGCGGCTTATGGTAATTTTGCATGACAAATGATGTAACGCTTGCCAATGTAACATTTGAGAATGCTATAAGACAGAGTGTTCACGTTTGACGAGCTGAAGGACGAGGTCGTAGCCTACATTGTATCCTGTGCAAAACAAGTATCTGATACTCGTATTGCAGTCATGCATTACAAATGTTCTCCTTAAGGTAACTCCGCATCACAAATTTCATTTCACATGCTGGGGAAATTTGTAATGCATTTATACGAGTCTACGACACTTTTGCAATGCATATATTGACCTAAACACCAATAAACCGCAACAGTTTATCACCCGTGCCAACTGGTTCGCGAAGTACGAAATATTAGCGGCCGCTGAGCAGGTATGCAAGAAAAAACTGTGTAAGTGTAAGTGTAACTCTGTAATGCAAAAAATGAAAAACGATTATTTTTTAACGCTTGTCATGCTCCACATGCATGATGCGCTCGCTTCCTACGTGTTTTCATTTCCCGTCCTATCTGCGCATGACAAGTTCTTCCTGTCATGGCAGACAAAGTTGTGTGTGATGCTGTTTTCCCAAAAAACCTACACTAACAAATTTTTTTTGTTGGATAGCAGGGGGCTGTGGCAGGGGGTACTTCTTATCCTGAGTAAAAACGTCCCCACACCAGAGTTGTAATGCAGATTTGCAAAGACGGGAAGACTTGTAATGCGCATCCCCATGAGAGCCATTTCCATTCGTGTATTGGAATTCGTGATGCTCTGAACAGGATGAGCAGATGAATCTGTGATGCGGCTGCACTTGCTAACCTGCACTACACTGCGGAGTGCAGCTTGTCACGCGTGACTCCCAAAACTCCTAGGTTTGTGTTGCAAAATCCCCATCCTGACTCTGGTGTGGGGACGTTTTTACACAGGCTACTTCTCCAGCGACCTTGTCGAGCGTCGAGGACGAGTACAAAAAGGGCCTGCGATATCGCGAGAAAAAACTGTTTCACTGGAAACTTGTGATGCAGAAAATGGATCGCAGAAGTCGTGTGTGTCATGGTACGCGTGCATGACAATGGAACTCTAGCTGTGTTTTCCCTCAGGAGCAGCCCCGCATGGCAAATTTCCGCTGTCATGTAAAGCAAACTTGTGATGCAAAACTTGCAAAATCGTCCTTACAGTGAAACACTTTTTTCGTACGATATGCGAACCCTTTTCGCAAAACTGGACTTCAACAAGGACAATTTGCTCTCTGAGGCAGAATATGACCGATTCTTCCGAGAGCCCGCCTGTGCGGCGTATTGCAGTGAGGAGCCGCGGGTGAAAAATCAGACGAGGGAAATCTTGGTGCACCCGAAGTATGGTGGCTACCCTTGCGATATCAAATGCAAATATCCCTGGATGTCTGGAAACTTGTGATGCAAGGAAGGGAATAATGGGCTCACTGTAAAAATGCGCTGCTTAGCATGACAAGTTTCTTTCATGGTTCAGAGTTGCGTATCGCGCATGAGAAACTGCGTTCTTGCATGACAGGGAGTCGGAGCTCTTCGCGGCCACGCAATACATACTTCAGAGTCATGCCGGACTAGCATGACAAATTTCGGAATCTTCCAGACCCAGACACTTTTGCATTTGATATACGAGGAAGACAAGCAAGCGAATATTCCCTGCGCGACCGGCGCAGACCCGTGCCCGGTGTATCAAAATGAAAAATCCCCCCTCCCCACATCAAAACGAAATTTCTGATGCGGATTTGCGTACGCAAATAAGATTTGTCTTGCAGTAGAGGACCGCAGGCCCATATCATGCAGCCAATGTAGAGAGGTTTTGGGCTAGGCACATAGCACGAGGAGCGTCTATGCTGTAGGCCCAACAGCATTACAAATCGCCTACATAATGGGGCGGAGCCTATGCGTTGCTTTCTTACAAGACAAATGCGATTTGTGGTCACAAATAAGCATCAGAGGCGTGCCAATGCGATATGGGGACGAGGGGGGATTTTTCTTTACGATACGCAAGATTGCAAGGTTAGTTCGTGGAAGGCCTCGTCCGAGGGAGCAGTAGACCCAGTGGAGAATGGAGCTTGCCTCAACGCAGACACGGACCAACCTGACTATCAGGTAGAAGAAGATCTTACCGGAACAACAACTATATCGCAAGAAAATAAGAGTGTTACAGTTACACACATAGTCTATGCAGGCCAAGCAAGACAGACAAGCTCTGTCATGCCGGATAGTACGCAGAGAAGTTTCGTTTCATAGGTGTTTTTCCATTCCCGTAGGATTTCTCCATTACAAGTTTTCTCTCTAAGGCAGAGAAATTTGTGTAGTTGCTGAATTGACTACAAATGTGTAACTGTAACACTTTTTTCGCGGGATAAACTACACCGCAAGAACAGTGTCTGAAGCTCGGAGTCCGGTACTACCGAAAGAAACAGCGCACGGTAGTAACGCAGGTGGCAAACGGGGGGAAACAGTGCCCCGGACCCAGGACGACCGAGAATACAGCGGCGGGGGACAAACCCTGCCTGGCGGGACAACTATTGGACGTGTACGAATGGATTGTTCAGAAGCTGACCGAGGAAAACGACGGAGCAATAAGTTTCGGGGATTTGGACACAGACCGATCGCAAACAATTTCCGAAGCGGAATTTGGTACCTTTGCAGGCACTTCTGCTAAGTCCTTTCTCGACTGGTTGGACACGGAAGACCGCAACAAGGAAGTCACGCTTGCCGAATGGCAGCGCACCTTCCACCTCGTGCTCGGCCTCGAGTGGATCGAGCAAAAGGATCTTCCGCGTTTGAAAAAAGTCCTGACCGGGGGCCCGGCTCGTGCCACGGAAGCCACCTGCGCGGATTCTCTCGCCTTTCACGATTACAACGACCCAAAGTGTAATCTCGGGACGAGCACTTCTTTGCCAGCCTGCAAGGTCGATTGCGAGCTGGGGGAGTGGCAAGAAGAGACACCATGCTCGGCGACGTCCTGCGCGCTGCGTCAGGGCATAACCAAGTATAAGAGAACCATTACGCTCCAAAGTGATGTGAAATTGCGTGGAAAGAAGTGTCCGGAGGTGGGTCGGGAGCAGGACCAAATTCTTGGGCCGTGCATGAAGGTGAAAGGCCAGGCAATCGCTGCACTGGCTGAATTATCATGTGCAAAAGTATCGTACTCGTAGTAGTTGCAGTGTATCATGCATTTTTACAAATCTCTTTTCCAACGTAAAACAGCATCACGAATTGCATTTTTCATGCTGAGCAAACTTGTAATGCGATTTATACTTAGTACGATCATCGATCACGATGTGTGGACTTCCGGCTGGCCACTGGATTGTCCTTCATAGGCCGCCGAGAGATTCGCTCGCCTCGCTCGATTTTTTTCTCCATCCTTCTCTTTTTGCTTTTCTTTTCCAAAAAACTATGCATGTAGGAATCGCACATGACAAGACGGGCGTCCGTCGCGGCCGGATCTCCCAGGGTTTCAGGGTTTAGGTTCGTTTAGGGTTCCTATTTGACTTAGTACGATCATCGATCACGATGCTTTTGCATTGCATATGAACAATTTCCGCTTTACATTCCCGCGTTGTCAAACCGCGGCGGCACCACGAAGACCACCTCGGAGCCCGACTGGGACGGGCTTTTTGGCTTGCTCGGTAGGGGCGAAGAGCGTTACGACCAGCCCGGGGTGCGGTTTACCCAATTTTTGCCGTCCCAATTTTTGTCGTTCGGGTCGGACCCGTGGTACATCACGGAAGAGCAGTGGGTTGAGTTTTTTAGAAATCTGGCGAGCGATATCGTGAGCAAAAAGTGTTACAGTTACACACCCTCTTGCAAGACAAGCAAGACAGACAACCTCTGTCATGCAGGAAACACGTGCCAGCCTCATTCCATTAGTGTTTTCCTTTATAGTCTGCGCATCACAAGTTTTCTTCGCCATGCAGAGCAAATTTGTGATGCAGATACTCCAACAAATGTGTAACTGTAACACTTTTTTCCTTGGATAAACGAGGGTGGAGCATCACCATCAGCCTACGAAGCTGAGGCAGTCGTGCTCTTTCAGCTGCTATCGAACGGAAAAACTGTGTTAGTGTAGGTGTCTTCGGGTGACAGCATGACAAATTTGTTTTGCATGACACAGAAATCCTGTCATGCAGAATTAGTACGGGAAAACACCTGCGCAATAGGACTTCATGACTGGCTAGCATGACAAGTGTAACAGTGTTTCATGCTTTGCATGACAGACTTACACTTACACAGTTTTTTTCTTGCATAGCTGCTCCAGGCGCGTCCGCGGACCAACCCAAAACGAACGCTTATGGATGTGTCAGGATCGAAATCGACAAAATCGAAAAATTTGTGATGCATAAAATGTAGAGCACTGAAGGCCTGTATTGGGGAGCAGGCATACGAGACCGATTGTAAGCCTGTTTAGGGGTATGCAATGTGCTGCCCGAGTAGCATGACAGGAGCAGTCTTCTTTGCCCAAACAGCATGACAAACCGGATTTTGGTGATCCCGAGATTTGTCATGCGCCACATGAAAACTGAGGCTCCAACTGACATCGATCCTGTGCATCACAAATTTTTCGATTTTGTCAATTTCGATTCTGACACTCCCATAACGCTCAACGTCGACCCGAATTGGGCAAACTGGTTCGCAAATGACGGGACGAAGGAATTCCTGTCCGGACCGGATTCTGCTGCGCAACAGAATGGACAAGTCGAATACACCCCATGGCGCGACTGCGATCAGATGCATTTGACAAAACACGAATGGGAAACGGTTGCCAAGGACGAAGCGTGGCAAAATGTATCAAAGGGAAAATGAATCCTTAATCCCCCCTCCCTATATCAAAGGGGCAATCTGTTTTGCGGCATTTTTTGTGCAGTACACAAATCAGCTTTGTCTTGCAGTATACATAGGCACGCAGGCAGATAAAAAGCCTGGAAGGGGCTGGCTAGAGGTGGGCGCTCAGCATGGCAGACGTCTGCCCTGTTGGTGCAGCAGCGTTGCCAATAGCCTGCGTAATAGAGCGGCGATAGCTCTGGCCTTGCTCTCTTGCAAGACCGACCGGATTTTTGGCCACAAAGCAGCATAACAAATTCTCAAAAGGACGCACTTTCGATATGGGCAGGGGGGATTTTTCCTTCTGATAAAATGGAGCGCAGTACCACAGGGTCTACGAGGCGAAAAATGGAGACGACCTTATGAAATGCAAAGACTGCATCGTACTAGTATAAATCGAGTAGGCGTGGGCCTGTAGGCCTAAATTCCGGTCGGTTGGTCGGTTGGTTGGTTGGTTTTGGACAGACGACAATTGACCGAATTTACGAATTATGGAAAAACGCATATCGGTTTTGAATTTAGAAGACAACCACAACGGCAAGGAGGGCGAAACACGATAGGGGGGTGGTCGGGGCGCGCGGCGCACCTGCCTCCCTACCGGGGCTGCAGCCCGCCCCTGCGAGGCTGGTGGCGCCGCATCCTATCGCCGCCCAGTAGGCACTTCCGCCAGGGCGGCAGAAAGGTCTCGGCAGAAGGAGAGTTCGATGCGTCCACGCAACACAGACACAAATCTGTGTTGCGTGGACGCCTATCTGTGTTGCGCGCACCACAAATCTGTGCTGTGCGCACCTCGCCGCAGACACAAATCTCCGCTGCGTGCGCGCAGCACAAATCGGCGCTGCGCACAAATCTGTGCTGCGTGGACGCAAATCTGTGCTGCGCGCAACACTAATCAGCGTTGCGCGCAGCTCGTTGCAGACACAAATCTGTGCTGCGTGGACGCAATCGGAGCTCCGGGGGGCCTCGTGAGAGTTTGCGCATGTGAGATAGAAAGAGGTCGGGGCTCCAGTGCTGCGCTTTTCTCCAGCCACGGCCTGCGTTTCCTCAACCCAAGCAAAACACACTTGGGAAATAGAGACAAACTCGCGCAAAATTTGGAGCAACCCCCGCTGGGTCATGCCGAGCGGGGGCTTTTTGCGCAACCCCGTCGCTGCGCGAGTCCCTTGCTTGCAAGCCCCCTGCTAATAAATTGAGCCATAGGCAACGCACGCTCGCCCCACCCCCTCCCCCCCCCCGCTTGGCAGGTGGGTTGGTAGGTCGGTAGGCGTGGCCAATAGCCACACACGCTCGCCCCCCCCGCTTGGCAGCTGGGTGGGTAGGTCTAGGTCGGTAGGCGTAGCCAATAGGCCACGCACGCTCGCCCCGCCCCCCCCATCAGGCAGGTGGGTGGGTAGGCCGGTACGTAGGCATGGCCAGTAGGCAGCGCACGCTCGCCCCACACCCCCACCTGCCTGGTGGGTGGGTAGGTCGCTCGGCAGGCGTGGCCAATTGGCAGCGCGCGCTCGCCCCACCCACCCACCAGGCACGTGGGTGGGTAGGTCGGTAGGCGTGGCCAAGAGGCAACACACGCTCACCCCACCCACCCACCAACGAGGTGGGTGGGTAGGTCGGTAGGCGTGGTCAAAAATAGGCAGCGCACGCTCGCCCCACCCGCCCACCAGGCTCGTGGGTGGGTAGGTCGGTAGGCGTGGCCAAGGGGCAGCGCACGCTCGCCCCGCCCACCCACCAGCGAGGTGGGAGGGTGGGTAGGTCGGTGGGCGTGGCCAATAGGCAGCGTTTGCTCGCCGCACCCATCAACCAGGCTGGTGGGTGGGTAGGTCGGTAGGCGTGGCCAATACGCAGCGCGCGCTCCCTCGCCCCACCCATTCACCAGCGAGGTGGGTGGGTAGGTCGGTAGGTGTGGCCAATAGGCATCGCGCCCTCCCTCGCCCCACCCACCCACCAGGCTGGTGGGTCGGTAGGTCGGTAGGCGCGGCCAATAGGCAGGGCGCGCTCCCTCGCCCCACCTACCCACCATGTGGGTGGGTAGGTCGGTAGGCGTGATCAGCAGGCAGCTGTCTCTGGGTGGCAAGGGATAGGTAGGTAGGTGGGTCGGTGCGATCACGGTACTACAATGAATCGAAAAGACGCCGGGTAGGTGGGTAGGTAGGCAGCTTCAGCAGTAACAATAGACGAATCTCAGAAAAACACAAAACACAATGCAGCGGGTTCGGTCAATTGTCGTCTGTCCAAAACCAACCAACCAACCGACCGGAATTTAGGCCTACAGGCCCACGCCTATTGTATAAATCGCATGACAGATGTTCTCAGCATGAGAAAGAAAATTTGTAATCATGCGGATTTAACCTGAGGACGAAGTGCATATTTGCAATTAGTACGAGTGCGATATTTTTGCAGTTCATACCCGCACCTAAGGTCGAGGAGAGTACGAACGGTCATAGTGTGCTTGCGCTCCGCGAGGTGAAAGCAATGTGGCAAGAGTACGTAGCCTTCCGTGATGCAAATCCCTGCGTGCGGGTGCTCGCGCGCGCCGAGGAAGAAGACAGGAGCAAGCGCTGTCGTCCCAGCGAAGAAGACACTTTCACGCCAACGTCCGACCAGGTGGCAAAGCAAACAGCTGTTACCCTTGCGGCGCACAAGGCGGAGGTGTGCGAGTTCGAGAATAAAAACAACAAGGTGTGCGGGGACTGCCTATTCGAAGACAAGAAGTGGCGGTACAGCTTCGTGCCCACGCCAGACCTTCTTACTAACTTGCTACAAAGGTCTATCCTGTGCAAAAGTATCGTACTAGTATTGCAGTCATGCATTTACAAATCTTTTTCTTAAGGTAAATCCGCATTACAAATTTTGTTTGTCATGCTGAGGAAATTTGTAGTGCATTTATACGAGTACGATACTTTTGCAGTGCATAAGGTCTCCCGTGGAGCAAGTGGAGCACTTCTTCGGGTCTGCATTTCACCAGAACGGGAACAACCCGAAGGAGATTGACCAATCGACCTGGAAGGAGTATTTTCACCTCCCCGAGACGTACGAACGGCGCGACGAAGAAGGGTATCAAATGCAAAAATGTCTGGGTCTGGACGAGCCAAACTTGTGATGCTGCATTTGGATGCTGAGAAAACCCGTATTGCATGACCAGCAAGAGGTGGATTCAAATTTGGCTAGGCGGAGAGGGCATTTGTCATGCTGGATGCGCACAGATAAGCGCTCAAAAAATCTGTGATTCTATGGCATACATCACAGACATCATGGATCTCATGGAAAATGTGCATGACAAAGTTGTGCTCTTCCAGACCCAGACATTTTTGCATTTGATAAAGGGTCGTCCTTCCCAATTCCAAACGACGCTACGGTCAGAGCGGCCTTTAGCAGGTTGGACAAAAACGACCCGAAAGACGACAAGCTGCAACCAACAGAATACGAAAACCTACCAGCCGGGTTGGAGTGCCCTGTCACCTGCAGGGACGGCACAAATTTCGACCCGATATTCACCAGCAAGTGGAAATACATTGTTGGCCGAGACTACCAACAAGGCAAAGGCAGGGCTTGCGCGGAACTGCTCTCCTCCGAGGACAGAAGCGGGAACCATCGAGAAGTTCTCAAAGACCCCTCGAAACAGTATGAAGAAGACGCGTGGATATCCCGAAGAAAAACGTCCCCTCGTCCCCATAGTCAAGATGGGAAAGTACTTAAATCTGCTACACAAGTCCCGAAGCTTTGGCTGTCGGCGCCAATGATAAATTTGGGCTCGCAGTGTAGTCTTGTTTAGCTAGTGCAGCAGCGTCACAGATCCGGTTTGTCTTTGTCACTCTGATTCGAGCGTGGCAGATCTCAAATCTCCACCAGAAAGCGCCTCTGTCTCATGTGTGGTCTCCGCATGACGAGAAACATTTTAAGCTTGCAGCAGATTTTTTGCATTACAACTCCGGCGGGTGGGGACGTTTTTACACAGGATAGTGGAAGCTGGTTATCTACGGCGTCCCGTGCTTGGGCGCTGAGTCGCTGCCGGAATGCCCCGTCGTATGGGACTCTCAATTCTTACATTCTCAAGTGATGTCACATGAATTTGTAATGGAGGAATAGCAAAAATCAAAGGGGGACGATTGCAGCTCCTCTAGCATTACAAATTCCGCACAGATTTGAATGCTGATTAGCCCTCTGGGAATTTGTCATGCGAAGTCGCTTCCCCCTGTGGATGTTGATGTTGATTTTGCATGACAAATCTATCGTGTAACACTTGAGAATGTAACGTTTGAGAACGCCATACGTCGACTGCGTGCTCTCGGAATGGGTGGAAGGGTCGGACGACGAGTGCACGGACACCTGCGGCGACCTCGGGACCCGAACGGAAGTGAGAACTGTTACACAGCTCGCCAGGAACGGGGGCACCTGTATCGTACGAAAAAAGTGCTTCACTGTATGTAAGGACTTTGCAAGTTTTTATGTAGTTGCATCACAAGTTATTTGTAGTTCTACTTCTACATGAGTGAAAGAAAATATGCCATGCGACAAATTTCTTCCTAAGGGATGAAAACACGTTCGAAATTCCATGTATCTTGCATGTGTAGCAAGACAAACACTTCTGCAATAGAAGTACGCTTTCTGCATCACAAGCTTGGTACTATACAGTGAAGCAGTTTTATCATTTATCGAAGAAAAAAACATTGTTGGTGTAGAATTCTCTGAAATGAGTAAATTTTTTTTTGGCGCAAAGGTGTGAAATTTTTTTCGAGGACGGCACTCCTGTCTATTCTCCGTTTGGTGTTTTGGATTGTCTGTCATGGCTGAATCTAATGGCTACCCCGCTCCGGGCACTACATTAGCTAGCTGGGGAGGCAGGGCAATGCAAAAACCTCTGCAGCGAAGCGGGCCGATGTGTAACCTATCGCTATGGCGGCTTCTGGCCCGGCCTCGCGATAAAGACTCAGCGAAGGGCAGGAAAATCCGGCGCATTCTTGAAAACGTCGAATCTTCCTGCCGGTGAGTGTGTTTGCGCTTGTCTACTGTCAGCCCATGCGGGGTGCCAGCTTGACACTTCGCAGCAAAATTATTCTGGGAAATCATGGGCGTGCGCGCCGCCTTTGGTGCAATGTTGGGCTGCGCGTTCATTCAAAGCACGGGCGGCGAACTCGCTGCTTCGCATGATTCGGATGAGGCTCGTTTGAGGCTTCCAAAAATGAACCAAAGGAAGAAAAATCTCGGAGTGTAGGTTTTTACAAGGGAAAAAAGAGGGGTCAGCAGTAGGGTCAAAAACTTCGCTTATTTTTTTAACAATCTCCGCCGCGGCTAACAATTTACACTACTTCAAAAATTTAAAAAACCATGGGGATTAGAGAAAAGAAAAAACCTAGTGTAGTTTTTAAGGTTCGTGTAGCGGACCCCTTCGAGGTAGGGTCAAAAAGCACACGCATTTTTCCAACAGTCGCCCACCCGCATAAAAATTTACACTCCGAACTTTTTCTTCTGTTTGGGCCAAGAGATCAACAAGAACTGGCAAGATCCGAAAGGGAGCTGCGCAAGTCCCCAAGCGCGCCCATCGCTGACCGGCATGGACGCAAGTCGCTGGCTTTTCGAGATGCGTCCGGAGCTGCGGAGCTCAGAAAGCAGCTACGTGGTGACGGTCGTTTTGCGGAAGGCCTTTGCGTGGTCGCGCGCCCTGTAGCTGGCGGCCGACCCGGTCGGAGGCAGGCCCGGCCTCGGGCATAAGACAGGACCAGCGATCCGCGACTGCGGGTCAGCAGACTTCGCGGCACAGCCCCGCTGATCGTCTCCGCCCCCTCGCGGCATTGGCGAGCAGTCTAGCCTCCTTAACTATTTCACTTCCACAAAAGCAGCCAAAGCAAGTTTGGCCCACTCAGATTTATAACGCAAGCTCCCCGAAGCTGCGCGATGGCCGGGCGGGTTTGCTTTAAAAGTAATTTTGATTGAACTAAGAAAAAAATCCATGCATTTTCGAAAATCCTACACTAACAATGTTTTTTTCTTCGATATCATTTTCCTTGGATAAACTGTCCCGAGGAATGGGAAAGCGAAAGAACGCGGACGGTACCTTGCAAACTAAGGCCCTGTCCAGTGGACTGCGTCTTGAAGCAGTGGGAAACCTGGGAACCGTGCTCGCAAACCTGCACGCCCCGGGACCACGGGGAGCCGATTGAGGACTTCTACGGCAAGCGAACCCGGAGGAGAGGGATACAAATCGACCAGGCGTACGGCGGAAAGAGCTGCGGGCCGCTAACCCAGACGGTATGCATTGCAAATATCGATCTTCTGGGTCTGGAACAGGTTGCAACTTGTGATGCTGTCTCTGCATTCTAAGAAATGAAAATCTGTATTGCATGACCAGCAAGAGGGGTCCAGTTTGTGCTACATGGAGAGGGCATTATTTCTCATGCGGAATAGGCATTAGGAAGCCCTCTAATAATCTGTGAAGATGTTGCTAGGTGATGCATTACAGGCATCATGGGTTTGGGTTATGTAAAATCTGAATGACAAGTCTTGCACTCTTCCAGACCCAGACACATTTGCATTTCATAGACGGGAAAATGCGGCAGCGAGCTGTGTCCCATTCCGGCGATTGACTGTTTGTTGACGGAGTGGACGCGGGAAGACGACAGCTGCGCGAAAACCTGCAGAGACAGTGACTACGAGACTGTGGACGAAAGGTGGCACCGGTCGATAGATCAAGAGCCGTCCGTTATTCTGAGGAAAAACGTCTCCACCTCCCCAGAGTTGTCATGCAAATCTGCAGGCCAAAAAAGTTTCTCACGCGGAGCCCCATGAGAAGGATTTTCTGTTTGTGTTTTGGGATTTGTGATGCTAGAATCAGCATGATATGCTAGAGCTGTGATGCTGCTGACCTACCTAAAACAGGACTACACTACGAGGACAAACTTCTTGTCATGCGAAACAACCAAAGCTGGTTGATTTGTCTAGCAGATTGCCCATCTTGCCTCTGGTGCGGGGACCACGTTTTTACTCAGGATATCCGGAAACGGCAAGCAGTGCGACACACATCGCGAAGAAGTGCGGCGTACTTGCAAGCCCCCTAGGTGCCTATCAACTGTAAAAATGTCTGGGTCCTCTGGAAGAATCCAACTTGTCATGCTGATTTTGGATTCTAAAAAAATCTGTATTTCATGAGCAGCAAATAAGAGAGTCCAAGTTTATTTGCTACACGGAAAGAGCATTTGTGATGCGGTATAGGCATCAGGAAGCCCTCACAAAATCTGTGATGCTAGGGCATGCATCACAGACATCAGGAGTGGTCATGCAAAATGTGCATGACAAACCTGGCAATCTTCCAGACCCAGACATTTTTACATTTGATAGTGCCCGATCGACTGCAAGGTGTCGGCGTGGACCGCGTTTGGGGCTTGTAGTGTGTCTTGTGGCGGTATCCACAGTAAATTTCCCGTACACGTACAGATGCGGTCTCTGCATGACAAAACTTGGCTTCGATCCTAGTTTAGCATGACAAGTTTTACGCTCCAAATTGGGAAAATTTGTGATGCATGTTGTACATGTACGGGAAATTTGTATTGCATAGGCGGTGGGCAAAAGAAGAGAACAAGGACGGTTACGACCAGAGATGCTTTCGGCGGGACGCCTTGCCTATCCTGTGCAAAAGTATCGTACTCGTAGTAATTGCAATCATGCATTACAAATTTTTTTCTGAAGCTAAATCCGCATTACAAATTTGAATTTGTAATGCATTTTTTTATACGAGTGCGATACTTTTGCAATGCATATTGCCCAGAGTTGACCCAAGTGCAAAGTTGCAACACGCAGCCGTGTCCCATCGATATCGATTGCGAGTTTTCTCCCTGGAAAAACGTCGGGGAGTGTAGCACTTCTTGCGGTTCTGGTAAGCAATTGCAGACAAGAATTGTGAGCATACCACCCGAGAACGACGGACTGACCTGTACGGAGGTAGCAACTGCACAAGACTCTTCATTCACCGGAAGGCAGGGGAACGCGCTGTTATCACACCGAATCCTCTGTCCTAACCTTCCGCTGTGCCCCATCGATTGCCAGCTTTCTCCCTGGAAAAACGACGGGAAGTGTAGCACTTCTTGCGGTTCGTCTGGTTCGCAACAGCAGACAAGATTTGTGAGCAGAAACCCGGAGTACAAGGGAAGGAGCTGTGAGGAGGTAGCAAAGGACTTAGAAGCAACTGAGCAAGACCCCGCAATCGCCGGAAGGACTGTGACAAAGGCCGGGCTTTTAGCCCGCTCATTCACCCCCTGTCCTAACCCGGAGGACAACAAGCATTGCCCCGTCGACTGCCAATTGCCGGACTCCTGGACGCTTGGCCAGTGTTCCAAAACCTGTGGCGAGGGTACGCGGACCAAAACGCGGAAGCTATCCTCGATGTAAAAGCGTCTACACGACCCCACACTTGTCATGCAAATCTGCAAGGAGCCCCAAATGTAGTTTCTCATCCGCAGGAGCCCCGGAACGTAAGTAGAGCATATTCTCATGTTATCTGAAGCTGGGGGCCCCATGTCGTGCGCGAATCAGAATAAGATGGCTGTCGATTTGATGTGATCCAGCAGTACTAGCTAGCTGAAACAGGATCATCATCATACAAGCCCAAACTTGTCATGCAAAACGGGCAAGAACACTTGTTAGTTTTTCTTTGTGTAGTACTAGCAAAATGATCCCCGTTTTGAGGACTCTGCGTCGTGGGCCACGTTTTTCCAGAGGATAGAAGCCCACAGTCGAGCCCATGTATGGGGGGAAGGAGTGTGCGGAGACCAGCGCGGTGGAGCAGTGTAACCTGGGGGCCTGTCCACCACCGATCGACTGCAGGCTGTCGCAGTGGACGGATGCTGGTGTGTGTTCAAAGACTTGTGGCGGCGGAATTATTACCAGGACGCGCACGATCGACCAAAAGGCGGAAAACGGCGGGAAGCCCTGCGAAGCCCTGCGGGAGGAGGTGGCTTGCAAAACGCAGCCATGTCCGAAGATCGATTGCGAGCTTTCTGCCTGGACAAAGGACGAGGGGTGCAGCGTCACTTGCGGTCCGGGGGTGCAGAAGTGGACCCGAGTTCAAACGCAGGATGCGCTGAATGGGGGCCGGACATGCGCTATCGAAAGAAAAAATCCCCCCTCCCAATATCAAAACGGACTTTTTGATGCTGGAGCTGTGTACACGACATCAAATGCGCTTTGTATGACAGGAAGGCATTGCAGCGGCCAGATCCCCACCCTAGGTAGGGGCGTTTGGGCCTAGTTGTTCAGCATTGCAAACGGCTGCCCTCTAGGACCAGCAGCATGCCAAATCGCTTCCCTAATGGGGCGGACGCTTCTGCCCTTGTCTTCTTGCAAGACAAATGTGATTGATGGCCACAAATCAGCGAGCGCAAATTTTCGGAAGACTACCTTTTCAACATCGGGAGGGGAAGTTTTTCCTTTCAATATGCGCCCAAGTAGATCCGGAACCAAACGGCTTCGGCGCTTTGACGAAGCGAACCGGCTGCAGCAACACGCAGCCATGTCCTGTCGTTTTTATCGTACGAGAAAGCTGGTCTCCCATGGCTCTAACCTTTATTGTCTCAGTATTACAGATTTCCTCCCCATGACGACACGCAATAGAAATTCAACTTGCGTGATGCGCCACATGCTTGCAATGGAAGAAAACACGTTGTAGCTGTACCCGATATGAAGCGTCCTTTTGTAGTTCCTCTTGGACGTTTTCGTCTATTATGACAAAATACAAACTGTCTCGTCACGAGTGGAATTCCTATGCCTTGCAAGTATGTCTGGGTCTTGGACTTTGTGTTGCTGATACCTGGGTAGTTGCAGATTAGGTGCTTGTAAGGCATACCAGCATGAGAAGCTTTCCGCAGCCTGTTGCGGATTCATGCGCATTTAGCATTACAAACTGCCATCCAGCACGACAAAAAAGCTAACCAGTCGCGTTCACGCGTTGACAGATATTGTTGCCCCTGAAGTGGCTTGTATCACAAAGCCAGACACAGACATATTTGCAGTTGATAACTCTGTAGTAGGTACACGATGGGACTCAGCCAGTTTTATCCAGTGCAAAGATGTCTGGGTCTGAGACGTGGTTCGAACTTGTAATGTTGGTCGCACATAATTCCAGTGAAAGTTGTATCGCATGACCAACAAAAGTCACAGCTTCTCGTGCCAGATAAGAAAAGCGCGGCTACTCATGCGGATTGCGTAATATGCGAAAACGCTCTGCAGCACGCCCTTCATGCTTGGCTGCATTCGGAATTGTTTCCATCATCCACAGTGGCGTATGACAAGTCTATTCCAGATCCAGACATATTTGCAATTCACAAGTTTTTTCTCACGACCACTTGGACGGGGGTGTGCATTCTTGCTTCACAATATCCAAGAAAGAAAGACTGTTTATTAGAAGTCGCGTAGCTCCTTTGTGAATGTGATGCGCAGCATGCAAGGCGATTGCGTCTGTCAAATTCTGGCTATGCATGTTGTTGACAACTTCTACGGTCAATTTAAGCGCGTTGCTCCAACGGAAACGGACACCCTCCTGCGCAAAATGACAACAAATTTTTGCCGTCATCATGCTCCAAATCAGGTCTGTGTCTGTGATGCTGTTCCTCCTGTTCTTACTCCAAAAAACTTACGCCGCCACGATTCTACTTTTTGTTTTCTTGGATAAGGGGGCGAAGACGCGGGCGCCCACGTTGTACCCGGATTGGGTGCCCAATCATTTCGAAGAGTTGTTCAAACCCATCGGCGGCTTTGTTCGTTGGACGCAGTTTAAGACTGCCGGATTCAATCCGTGGGCCAACCCACCGCCACCCTTCATGCCGCACTGGGCCTGGATGTCGTTCTGGCAAGGGCACGGGCAGTGCACAACAAAGGGCACTTGCGACACGGCGAGCCTGGCCTTCCACCTGCTGCAGGCGCGGTGGCATACCCAGTATGCGAAGAACCTATGCATTGCAGCAAAAGTATCGTACTAGTACATATAAATTGCATGACAATTATTATATTTTTTTCAGAAGGAAAAATGGCATCTGTGATGCTGATTGTGGTCGGACAGTAGATTAATTCGACATCGCTTGCCTTCATCCGGGTTCTTGTCCGCACACCTGGACCTTGGTTGTCATGCATAACTGCAATCAGTATGAGTCCGATAGTTTTGCACAGGAGAGAGCCCGTGGGGAGCCATCTGCAAAAAGGTGGACCCTATCGAGAGCAAATATGTACGGGTCTAGAAGAAAGTTGTGCTGCAAGTCTGTGATTGGAGCGCCAGGAGGCCCAGGTAGGCGCGCAGCAATTATAGTTATACGCAGCCACGCATGACAGGTTTTCTTTTGGAACTGCCACTGCGATTTGTTTCGTTTTGCGACTGACAGACAAGAGCAGGCTCATTTATTCCTGCTCATGCATCACAAAAATATAAAAAGTCATGCTATTCGAGCATGGCGAACTGAAACTTGGACTCTTCTAGACCCAGACATCTTTGCAATGGATAGACCCGGCTTGGAATTCATTCCCGGTGGGAAACAAGTGGCTTGCCGTATCGTAACGGAAAATCCCCCCTCCCCATATTGAAAAGGTGCGCGGCCTCTTAAAATTTTCAGTGGTGAATAGATTTGTGTACGCAAATCCTGCGTCAGAGATTTCGTTATGAATATACTGGACAAGGGGGGATTGTTTTTCATTTTGATATGCCAGCGGCCTGCATAACGGTGACCGCGATTGCAAATTGGAAAAACTCACACACTACGAGTGGGAGACGGTGGCGAGTGATTATGCGTGGGATGGTATCAAAGTGAGAAATCCCTTCTCCCCATAGTAAAAACAAAACTTCTGCTGCTATTATTGTAGATTTGCGCACACAAATGAGGCCTGCTGTGCTGTAAACTGCGAGCAGATTCTCAGCCTTGATCTTGGGCGCGTAATGGTCTAGCCGTTGGTTTGGAAGAAAGGGAAACCCCTGCCCTGCAGGCTCGACAGCATGACCAACCGCCTTCATAATGTATGCGGCGCATACAACCTGCTGCTCGGCGCTTGCCTTATTGCGGAAGACAGAATTAAACTTGGGCCACAAATCAGCGTCGCAAACTTTGAGAAGGAAGATGTCGTCTCAATGTGGGCGGGAGAGGGATTTTTCCTCGCCATAATGTGGGGCAACAATCCCGAAAGTCGGCACTGGCAGGGGCAGGAGCCCGAAAGTCAGAATGGGCACAGCCTCCTGACCTACATCGAGCTAACATACGCCTGGGAGGAGTACAAGCTTTGGAAAATAAAGAACCCGTCCAAGATATGCATTGCAAATATGTCTGGATCTGGAAGGTTCGGGGAGTTTGTCATGCAAATTGTAGATGGCTCCCGATCCGATGGATGCCTGTGATGCATTTGCATGCTTTATCGTCACAGCTTTCGCAAAGGTTTGCTCATGCCTATCCTGCATGAGAGATCCCCTCTCCAGATGGCAACACAGTCTGAGTGTCTTTTGCCTCTCTTGCAATACAGATTTTTGCGTGATCGACAGCTAGCAGCACGAGTCCCATTCTTTCCACGACACCCAGACATATTTGCAGTTGATACAAGATGCTTCTTAAAGAAGAGGTTGCAGTCTAGGGCGGAGCTTGGTTGATATATATGCAGAACATAAGCTGGCACAGGAGGTGGTTCATGTGCGCATCGAACTCCAAATCAACAAGAATCCACACAGTAGTGATGAGTGATGTAGTATTAACGCTCCTTCTTCAGAACGCTGTAGCCGCTGGTTAAGTTTTTACACAAGTTATCACCTAATAAAAGATCACGACGTATCAATCTGATACGAAGGGGAAGGTTGGACATCATCATGACCCTGATGTAAAAAGGCAGAGCACGAGTTTTTTTTTTCAAAGGTCGCGATGGGAGCAGGGCGACTAAACAGTCGCAGCTTATCACACTGCCCTTCATGATCCGGAGGTAAAAGACCTAGAGGAAGTTGCTAGTACTACCTACTTTGAAGTTGTGCTTGTGGGTGCCAGTGGTCCAAAGCTGAAATATTATGCGATCAAAGAGTCGAAAACTAACAGAGCAGAAGATGTTAATTGAATATACTATCAGAGACTCCTGGAATTATTCTGCAAACACAGAGACTATACGTAAATTCTATCAAAGACTCCTCGAAAGAATTTTGTCATGTATTCTATCAAAGACTCCTCGAAAGAATTTTGCTATGTGTGTGTTGTGGCATTCCGCAGCTCACGATGAAACTTTACAAAGGATATCCCAAAGCAAATCGAATGAAATTAAAACCAGTGTGTGACGCCAAGTTTTTTTGAAAGCAGTTTAGTATTTTTTTTACGGAAGGAACTTCACAAAGAGAAAGAGTCATATTAGCTAATACGTGCACATAGTCATGTGTTACTTGTACAAATTTGGATGGAGAAATGATATGAGCAGCTAGGTATTCTTTTTTTTACACATGATGGAGCCCGTGAACCTGAAGTTTTAGAATATACTGACGTTGAAGATGATTGCGAGAACTACGAATGGAAAAGAACAGGAAGGCACTCAGTGTCAGTCACTCAAGTAAGATTGTCATTGTTCCTCGCCCTGGCGCTGGTTAGGAGATGTTGGCAGTACTAGATTTTCGATTTGGTCCCACATGCACATGTATTTTGTTTTGTCCCGATCAAGAACAAGATTTCCCGGGCAGGATGAAGTTTTTTCGCTGGTCCTCAGAGCAGCAGCAGATCATTCTGGTTACAGTGTGAAAACCGATTCAACAGGCGCGAGTGCGGTCGAGCAGAAGATCATAGCAATTGACTGGAGGTCGTGTTTTGCATGCCCGACGTTGTGGCCTCGATCATCCTTCTATAGTTCCTTGCGCAAGAGTTCTTGTGCTGTGGATCCACTCTGTTCTGCGTTTTTCCTTTTGGACGATTTTTTCGTTTAATACCTGATAGATGAACACTCGACCTTCTTTTGTTTTTCATCTGGTCCGCGTTTCGGCCTCGAAGGGTAAGCATGATTCCCTGCTACGACGTGCTGCTTAAGCGGAATGCTTCTACTAGTACTCCTCGTCTAGGTCGTCGTGAAATAAAACTGCATCCTGCGTGTGTACCAAAACATTGGAAGATGCCCCACTGTGAGGTTCCGTATCAACATCCGTTGCAGTAGCTGTAGCGCAACTTTTTCTTTTACGCAATAAATATAGAAGATCTTCCAATGTTGGCCGACGCAGACCACCACCGGCACTGGCACACGAACAGAAATGCTCCTGGGTGAGCAGAAGGAGTCATCTTCTACTTCTTTGCGATTTTTTAGCAGGCCAAGCAGTCGTGTAATATTTTCATCATGCTCCTGCACCTGCGCTGCTGCATATTATCCAACGAGCTCCTGCAAGAGAAAGGACGGACCGGGTCAACATCCTTTATTGCGGGGTAAAAATCTGTCATGTCTCGAAGTGGTCTTCCTCTTCGCACGATCGTTCGTCCTTCACTTACCAACCTGCAGATGACGACACCTCCTAGCACGTCGTGCCAGTCAGTTCTTCGCCACACTTCTTGTTCTTTGCCCGCCTCGGCGTCACGCTGTTGCTGGTTCTCATCGCAAGGACTAAGCTGTAGTGGTCGAAATAACCGAAGAACCTCGTGCCAAATAAGGTCATCGCACCCGAGGATCCAGCACCACCACACCAGCGACCGTAAGTTCGCATCTCTCCTTCCACAACGACGACCTCAGGCACCGCAGCTCGAAGAACTACAGCTTAGTTCCTCTAGCCAGTTAGGGAGAGGGCCGCGCGAACATGGTGGCGCAGGACCAGGACCTCCACCCCTGCATCAAGTGGAAACAAGCGCCGGCTATGGAACGACCACGAACACGACTAGTAGGAACAGCAACATTCTTTCCGACAAGAACCTGCAAATTTGGACCGAAAGAGGCGTAGCGAGGGTGCGACAATTGCTGCAAAACGATGGACACAGGGCCGCAGGAGGTGGACATGGCCGTGCTGGTGTGTGGGGATCTTCCGAAAACGACGAGTTCTTATTTCCGGCTAGAGCAACAAAAACCGCGAATGGAAAAAGAACGCAAAATAAGCAACAGCTTGCTGCTGGTCGTCGAGTCATCAATGCTGCGTCGCAGAAAATTAGAATGCCAGCCGACCACTTCCCCCACCTGGTTTCCCAACTCGAAGCCATTGCAACCGCCGATCTGCTATCCTCTGTGAAGATGATAAATAAATCGCCCTTGATCATGCGACGACTTTGAATTCACTTTGTACTGCGCGTTCTACTTTCTACGCATCGCAAATTGAAGTCGAGATCGACAAGAAAGCCAAAGGGCACTTTATCTTTACTTTTCTCAAGCACACCCACCGGCGAACCGCAAGCGAGAGAACCTGTTTGTGCGGGAATTCAGGTTGTTGCTCTTGAAACAGCTGGAACTCAAGAACGGGATCTCGTTTCTTCCTGTCTGCAGCAACTCCGAGCATGTTGAGCAGGAAACCAACGAAGCGAAGGACCACAACCCAGCGGCCGAGGATGAAGATCTGTGTGCATCTGTTTTGCCGACACGACCTTTAGAAGAAGATTCACCCCCACCCCTCTTCCACACCCGGCGAGAGAAATTCGGGCTGACCAACGTGCTTCGCGCCTGGGCGTCGCTGTCGGACCTGAACTATGCATTGCAAATATGTCTGGGTCTGGAAAGTTGTCATGCTAATGTCCGAATGATTCGCAACCTGTATTTTTAGGGAGCTGCGCATGACAAGTTTTTGAGCAGCTTCTATGTCTAGCTCGAAATACCGCATGACAAATCCAAATGGCCTTTTTGCATGACAAACAAGTGGCACTGTAGCGCACCAAGCATGACAAACTTTTCTGTCTTGTCGGCCAAGCATAACAGACTTGCATTCTTCCAGACCCAGACATAATTGCAGTCGATATGAATTTGTGCGACAGGGAACTGGTCACGAAGCTGTATCAAAGAATTTATCCTGAGTAAAAACGTACCCACGCCAGAGTTGTAATGCAGATTTGCAAAGACAGGAAGATTTGTAATGCGCATCCCCATGAGAGCCATTTCCAATCGTGTTTTTTAATTTGTGATGCTGTGAGCAGGATGAGCAGATGAATCTGTGATGCGGCTGCACTTGCTAAGCCGCACTACACTGCAGAGTGCAACTTGTCATGCGTGACTCACAAAACTCCTAGGTTTGTGTTGCAAAATCCCCATCCTGACTCTGGTGTGGGTACGTTTTTACTCAGGATAGAATTTTCGCGGACTTTTCGCTCGTCGGGATGCAAGAAGAGTTATGCAGTGGCGACCGGGAGGACGCGCATTTACCTTTTCGTGGTGGCTTTGACCAGCAAGGCCGCAGCTACGAGCAGAAAGCCCGGAAAATGGGCGTGCGCGTGGACGATTTTACCCAGAAGGAGTATTTGGAGCAAGGAGGTGGAACTATGGGGAGTAACATGAATCAAGAAGTACGAAGAAGATGTTGACATGCTCACGTTCTACTTGCCTCGTCAGTCGTGCAGCACGGTCGGGGTGATGACCCCAATTATCGGCTAGAAGTAGACGACGTATATGTAAAAAATGTACTGAAAAGCTCGGAACAGGAGCTTCATGAACACAGAACGTTGCTTGATCTTTCTGTATTCCGAAGTTCTTGCAACGACCACTGACGCAAGAGAAGTAGAAGTGCTTTAGAACTTTTAATACCACCCACCGACCGCGACCATGTGGAGCACCAGCAGGACGGCGACTGCTCTTTCTCCTCTACTTCCCGCGGCTTCGTTCCAAATGTGGACAAAAAGACCCGCGGTCCCGCTTCTTCCAGCAGTAGCAGCAGCCGTAGGGATAAACTAAAACTCCTGACCACGCACCAGAATAAACTCCGTCCCAAAGCCCACACCCCGACAATCGGAAACCTCAACTTGTCGCAGCTGGTCCTGCTGGCTTCGTGTTTGCGCTTCAGCAACAAGGACGCTTTTCCGAAACAGAAGTTCGCTGAGTTGCGGGACGTGGTAATGAAGAACTTACTCCGCCGGAGAAGAGAATTGTTGGAACGTGGACTGTATGCAACTGTGCAAAACAGGTTTATCGTAAAGAAAATGGTGCTTGCAGTAGACTAAAAGTGTGTCATCAGATGATGAACGAGAAACATGATCTAACTCCTGAGCTCTGATGAACTACAACTTACTGTGATGTGAAGAATAAAGTGCTTCAGCTTTGCTACATGTCTGTACCTGCCGCATGATGATGAAAGAATCTTTGCACACATGCATATCTGGTTTGTCGAAGCGATGCTGAACTTGGGTGGTATGTATGCGAGAGTAAACGCTGCGAGAAGTCGAAGTGGAAGAAGCGGGACAGCTAAAAGTTCTAGGGCCTCGAGTTCTGCGTCGAATTCTCTCAACCTCCGCACGCGGAATTTGATTACCAGGACGATTCTGGAAGATTTTTTTCACGATGATATTTTGAACGAACAAAGTGGAGAAGCTTGTCATGCAGTTTCACCGCAGCTGCAAGGAATTGCGGATCTTCGCCGGCTTCCCCTCGCTTGCGCCGCCTGCCAAATCCAGGAGGAAGAAGTGTTCGAGAAATGGTGGAAACAGATCGCGGCTATTGCTGCTAGGACGAAAGAACGGCTACGGAAGATGAAAAAGGGTGTTGTAGAAGAAATGCCGAGTCGCGATCTTCAGGGGATCACTGCGAGTGCAAGCGCTTCATGTCGAAGAAAATCAGAGGACTCCGCAGGAAATAGTACGGATGTTGAAGTACTACAAAGGGTCACATACGACCGGAAATATAAAGAAGAGCCTCCAAGAACTCTCCTACTTACCACCTCGGAGTCAGAGGTCCGCGAACTCCTGGAAGGCCTGGCGAGTTGGCGCATTGGTCCCGTCGGGCTGCAGAACTCAGCACTGTTTGTTTTCGGAGAGCGGCTGCGGAGGAGTTTGCTGCGGGACGTGTACGGGATAGTAGAACCGACGTTCTATGATGATCCAAGAACTACAACTTCTGCAGGTCGTCGTGGCGATTTACTTTCATCTGCCAGAAATAGTGATAGAGCAGACCAGCTCAGACGGGGAGATCATGAACACCCACCGCATGATGAGAACTTCTACACATCAAAAGGAGCAATCAAACCAGAAAAGGATCTTCAAGATGACCTGTTCACAGAGGCCGAACAGGACGAGCTGTTTCGGGAATTTGTGTTACAGAGTGGGAAAACGACGAACAATAACGACGCCGAGTCCACCTCGCAGATCATGTCGAACCATGGTGAGGTGGAACACCGGCGTCCAGGATTGTTCTCATCTGGTAAAAACAAAATCGGTGGACGGACACGGGAAGAAGTAGATGTAGATGACGAATCTACCTCCATACCAGGATCGGAAGTAGAAGCTCGGGAACAACTACACGAGCAGCAACTTCAGCTCTCACTAGCTATGCGACATCAGGAAACAGCCCTCACAACTTTGCTTCATTGGGTTCGCGCTTTGTCCCGCGAAGGCTCGAAGTGCAGTTTCGACCGGGCGGGTGGTGGTTCGCCTGGGGGATTGCTATCCTGTGCAAAAGTATAGTCGTACTCGTATTGCAATCATGCACTTACAAATCTGTTTCTTAAGGTCAGTCCGCATTACAAATTTTGTTTCTCATGCTGAGGAACTTTGTAATGCATGACCTATACGAGTACGATATTACTTCTGCAATGCATACTTGCTGGTGAGCACCGAAGCAAACAGTGCTAGTGAAGGGGAGGAAACTACTTCTCTCCTTATCCCACAAAAAAACTGTTTCAATGTGATGATTTTGCAAGATCTGCATCACAAGTTGAAGTTTGTTACACCTGATACTAAAAATTTGTCATGCGCACTTCCCAGGGGAAAACACGCTGAAAAATCCAATGCCTTGCATGTGTAGCAAGACAAATAGTTTTGTGTTCCATTTTCTGCATCACAGGTTCACAGTGAGACAGTTTTTTCTTGCGATACTCCTACCGCAGAGACTAATCCAGGTCTTGCTGAAGGACGTGAAGGAGGTTCTAGGAGCGGCGGGCGTATATCAACTGCAAAAATGTCTGGTGGGTCTGGAAGGATGCAACTTGTGATGCTATCTCGGGACACTAAAAAAATCTGTGTTGCCTGACCAGCAAGAGCAGGAGTTCAGTTTGTGCTACGCGGAGAGGACATTTCTCATGCGGTATGAGCATCAGAAAGCCCTCGCAAAATCTCTGATGCTAGGGCATGCATCACAGACCTCATGGGTCATGCAAAGTCTGCAAGACGAAGTCCTGCATTGTTCCAGACCCAGACATTTTTGCAATCCATAGCGTAGGCGCAGAAGGAGGTGTACTAGCAGGTTTTCCTCTAACGAAGCCGAAATCACTATCGCCTTCGTTCAGAACTACCGACATTACCGGGTTGGGGGGGCACGGAGCAGACAATTTTTGGGATTTTCTTCTCGCCGAGCGCTCGCAGTTGATCCTTCTAGGCAACGCGTTTTCTTACCCGGTCTGGACGAAATGCTTGACGAAAGTAGGGGACGAGGTGGGAAAAGTCACAGGAGCTTCTTCTTCACACGACGATTCAGGAATAGGACAGGACGAGGAGGACATTCTACTTGACAGTGTCGGCATCGCTAACCACGCTACCCGGCATGAGGAAGAGCGGCATGAGGAAGATCAGCAAATGAATCCGTTGTTGTTCCTACCACGAGCTGCATCGAGTAGTACCACATCCACGCTGTTCCGCGACGTCTGCGAGCTAATCGGGAAAAGACTGGAAAAGAATTTCAGAAGCACTAGCTGTAGTGATCATCGTGAGAACCTCGACCTCCCGCACGATTCCGCTTTGCAGTCACCACACAACTTTCATGACGTTTCTCTCCACGATGCGCTGACCGTGTTTCGGTTCGGCTGGACCCTGTTTCCGCAGAACTTGGGCTTGCTGGACTGTCTGTTGAAGAGGATAGAGGAACATGAGCACGACAAAGAGTTGGTGTGGCGGGGAAATAAATTACGAAAAAACGAAGGTGCAAGAGCATCTGCGACGCATCCTGAACCGCATCCCGCGACGGAAGATGGAAGCCGGACCAACGCAGCTGCCAGTATCAGCGGAGAGGAGGAACAGTGTTCCTTTGCATCATCGTACGAAGTAGAAGATCTTGCCAATGCCATCGACACCAGGATTGCCGTGTCGGCGAGTCGGTGGCTGCTGAATCTGGATTTTGGCGAAAGAGAAGAACATGAAGCGGAAGACAGGTACTGCGACGAGCACCAGATGGACAGAGACCACGGTGGAAGCTATTACAATGAAAAATGCCCCCACCCCCGAACTTGAAAGCATTTGTATTGCAAATCTTTCCAAATGAAACATTCGCCCTCTTGCGTGTATCAGCATCACAGATTTCCGATCGTGAATAGCAAAAATTTGTATTGCAAAAGATCCCAGCAAGAGCGGTGCTTGTCATGCAAGCGATGCGAAACACGACTAGAATCTGCATCAGAAAGATTCGTACTCCTTTCATGCATGACAAAAAGCTTTCATTTGGAAACTTCGCATCACAGATTCTTGTAATTTCAGGGGTGGGGGGCATTTTTCACTGTGATAGAAGCGCGGAAAAGGTTGATCGTGGTAGCGCACCGGCTGGTCAACATGCTGGAGTGCTGAATACTGAGAAAGAGGAACATGAGCGAGGCACACGACCGAATCAGTCCTCTGATGCGCCCCTGCAGCAGAAAGGTGAACTGCAACTGACGTCGCAAGATCTTCGCGAACGTTTGTACCGCCTCGTGGCTGCGAGATTTACAACTGCATCAAACCACAAACGCAATCTTCCAAAACATCAAAATTGGAGCTCTTCTACTTGCGGCACGGGCATAAACGACATTTTTGCTGAAGAGCAGACAATGCTTTCAAAGGGCCACGCAGCTGCAGCACTCGAGGACGCAGTGAATCAGGTAGAAACAAACGACCATGTGGCCGAGTTGCAGCCCAATTTTAGTGCTTTCCGGTCCTGCGCGGCTCCATCGGAGACGAGGAGCCACCTCCCGACCGCCGATGCACAAGCACCACACGCAGAGGAACTACTAGCAGCCAACAGCCAAGACAGGAAAGGCGACGAGTTGGATGTTTTTCAGCACCATTGGACGAGTTTTGACAATGATCAAGATGAAGAACTAAAAAAAGCAGAAATGGCAGCGGCGCACCGTGCTGTGGCTCTTCTTCCGGTGATGCAAGCGGTTTTGGCGTCCTCGTCACGACCAACACCACGAGGTCGTCGTCCTTCTACTTCTTCATCTCCAGATCCAGAAGTACGATCAATAGAAAACACAATGAAGCTGCAGGGGCCAGCACCTGGTGCAAGCCAGAAGAAACCCTGCTCAAGATCAAGTTCTACTTCGACATCCTCAAGCACGGCCAACTGCATCAGCAACCGTTTGCAGAGAGCGAATTTAAGACCCGAACAGTATGAACTGCAAAAGTATCGTACTCCTACTCGTATAAATGCATTACAAATTTCCCCAGCATGAGATATAAAATTTGCCATGCGGATTTACCTTAAGAAAAAAATTTGTAATGCAAGACGTGCATTTATACGAGTGCGATACTTTTGCACAGGATAAACAGATCTGCGAAACAATTCTGAAACCGGTTTTCGCTGCGGAATTCTTGTGCTTTCTAGACGACAAGGACGATCATGCAGCCAGCGCTGCCGGTTCAGCTTCGAAAATGAATGGAACAACCGTGTCCCGCGGTGGTAAATCGTCGACGGAATTCTTCCTTTTCCTGCGGTGCGCCATCCTGTTTATGTCATCGTCCACCTCCTCTCATGGAAGTTCATCTTATCAGCACAATGATGAGCGTATCAACCTTCCAACTTCTGCCATGAGGCAGCTAGCAAGCGAGCTGATCCGACGGAGGGCTAGGCCGAACAGTATTCACGGGCTGTTCGCCTGGTTTCAAAAAGTGGTGGAGGCGGAGAAGGCGTATGAAGGAAAAATGCAGGATCTACTTCACGTCGTAGCTCGGGATGAACAAGCAGGTAGTACTTCGAATGACGTACAACCAGCAGCTTGTTCAACTTCTGCCACGAGAACAAGTACGATGACATGGAGGAACAACAACAAGGAAGAAGGACACTCAGCCCCCGCAGTTGTCGACCTTTCCACCGCCACCAGAAATCTAACGAGTCTGTGTCGCGTTTTGTTGGAGGAACTTGCGGCGTGGTCCTTTCCTGCGGATCATGCTAGTGGGGATGGCAAGCTGATGGAGGGAGAAGAAGATGAAGAACCACAACCAGGCATCAGTTGCACTGCTACCTCCACCGCAACTTTCTGCGCGACACAAGACGCTATTGAGGACGGACTTTTCTGGTTGAAGTATCACCACGACAAGAAACATAAAGACTTCGAGTTTGGAGGTGTGTGAACGAAACGCATACTTTTTTAGCCGATTACAATGAACCTTGGACATTCAACATGTCTACGTACTTAGTTGATAATGAATCACACGTCCTGACATACACATTCATTTTCATCGCTCGCCACACTTCTCACACGAGTGGACGGACATTCACCTGTCTCGCTCACCTCGTGTTTCAAAGAAGAGAGAGAAAGTATCGCGCAACTGCGTTCGTTTTACAATGTTGAATTCGTTCTTACATTCTCACTTTCGAACCCTCGCTCGCCTCGCTCGTGACATGTTAGTTTTATTTGCAACATCGAAATTACTCGACTTGGGCGCACAGGGACGAGCGTGAGTTCTGTACGAGAGTCATTGTGGATCGTATGTTCAACCTTCGGAGCAATTTCAGTGCCTTCTTCAACAATCGACGAGCTGCCAATTTTCATCTCGCTACCGCTAGGAGCAACAAGGATACGCCAAGAACTTCTGGGCAGCCGCACTAAGTCGAACGAATTTATTCCTCGCACAGTCAGAGAAAGATGGTCGCTTTCAGTCAGGTTTTCGGCTCGGATGTGTTTCACTTTCCTTCCTCCGGGCGGAGTCAGGTACATCAAGGAGACAGTAGGCTCCTGGGTGCAGATCTTGTTTCTTTGCCGGGTTTCGACTCATCTGCAGCAGGAACGCGGCCTGGTGGTAGTCGTCCCTCTACTTCTTCCTTTGTAGGAACCTCGTCAACCTTAACATCGACATCCTCCTCCTCTTCGTCCCCAAAACCCCCAATGATAAGAAGCACTTCCTTTCTGAATCTCCTTCCCCAGTCGGTGGCCAACCTGTTCTCCGGACGGTCCGCGGGGAATCCAGAGGAGAAAAATCTGAACGAGCTGTTCAAAGACGCGCAGGCAGAGGTCGTATGAATGTGCACAACTCTTGTTCCCCTTCATTCGTATAGCCATGAACCGCATTACAAAGACCAGCGATCCTGGAGCCTGTGCATGACAAGTTCTTCATGCGCCGAATCTAGTTTACTGTTTTGGCTCCTTCGAAATTTCTCATGCAAATCGTGCCACAGTGACAATGTTGCACCTCCGACCGCATTTAGTATTTTGCATTTACAAATGAGGGGGATGGCGGAGATTTGTGCACTGTCATAGGTCGACCGCGTGAATCACAAAGTGAAGGACCTGTTCCTGGGAAACTTCAAGCAAACCATCGAAGATCTGCGGGTGGCCGCGAAAGATCGCGAGAATACGTGGAAGGAGTTATCCCCTGTAGAAACGTCCCCACCTCCCCAGAGTTGTAATGCAAACCTGCCTGCTTTAAATGTTTCTCATGCGGAGACCCATGAGATGCATTTTCAAAGTAGTGTTTTCAGACTTGTGATGCTCGAATCAGCATAATGGGCTAAATCTGTGATGCGGCTGCACTAATTAAACACGACTACATTGCGAGCCCAAATTTGTCATGTGCCACAGCCAAAACCTGTTGACTTGTCTAGCACATTTTCCATCTTGTTGACTAAGTATAATGGGGTGTGAACGTTATTCCACAGAATAGGAGTTCATTTCCAACGGAGACCACGGACTGGCCACGTATTGCTCCAAACTGAAGAATATGCATTGGACAAAAGTATGTGCACGTGCTTGTATATGTATGTGGATGTCGCGCTGCATGACTACGCATAATTTGTCATCTAATAGATACCCAATTCTGCATGAGAGACTAAAGCTTTGCCTCTGGAAAAACAACTTGGATATGCATGCACCAAACAGTCGAGTGCGATCCTTTTGCAGTGCATGAAGAAGCTACTGGAAGATGTGGAGACCAACACGGATGGCTGCCGAAAAGCCCAGGAACTGTGGATATGGATTGCAAAACTATCGTACTACTAGTACTAGTACAACTTGCATTACAACTTTTCTCCGCATGACATTTGGAATTTGTAATGCAGATTTACCGTTATGAAAATCATTTGTAAAGCATAAATGCAATCACTACGCGTACGAAACTTTTGCAGAGGATACTGGAAGAAAACCGGTAATCCCACGGGGGACAACTCTCCGGGGAACAAGCAGCTGTTGATCCAGGGGTGTGCGGTATCAAGTGCAAATATGTCTGGGGCTGGCAGATTGCGAGCTTTGTCATGCTAGTCTAGCATCACTCTGAGCTTTGTACTGCGTGGCCGCAAAGAGCTCCTCTTGCCTGTCACGCAAAAACGCAGTTTCTCATGCGGAGTACGCAACTTCAAACCACGGAAAAACTTGTCATGCTTGGCAGCGTATTAGAGTCTGCTCTCTATTTCCTTTCTTGCATTACAAGTTTTCAGACCCAGACATATTTGCAATTGATACGCGGACACGGCGTACAAAAAGCAGTTAAAATCCAAAACCTGCGAAACCACCGACGAGAAACTGCTGTGCACGTGGCTTCGGGAGTCCGTGATCCCGGAAAACCACTGGAAATCCTTCTTCGAGCCGGGATATGCATTGCGAAAGTATCGTACGTAGCGGTAATTGCATCACAAATTTAGCGAGAAAGCAGGAGAAGGAGTTTGTCATGCAGATTCAGGTATGACAGGAGCACATTTGTAATGCAATTAGTGCGAGACGAAGACGAGTACGATACTTTTGCAGTTCACATGGGATCCGGGGCTTGCGTCATCGGGAGCGAAGCGAGTTTCAACCAGCCCTTGCTGAATGAAGCGGATTTGCACTGAGGGAGTAAAAAACTGGAGAAGATGAGACCACAAGCTGTAGAACACGCAAGAGGGACGAGGAGGACGGAGGGAACGAGGAGAAGGATGAAGCATCTATCGGGGTGGCTGCTGGGAGCAGTTTGCCGTGTTTATTTAGTGGTGTTTTTCAAGAAGAACGAGAAGAATACGAGCTTTTGTTTCCGAGAAAACGGCGCACAGTTATTTATCTGACCTGAGCTTCTCTTTAATCAGTTTCTAATCGGATGAAAGAAAATGTACGGCACCACGATTGACGAGCAACAGCATTTCAATCTTTCAGTTCAAGAGAATCTCTTTCAGGGCTTTTCCTGGAGATCAACATCGCAATCCTGGAGTTGTGTCTCGCCGCGCAGTCCGCCAGTTTGTTCAGAAAAAAATATAAAGTGCGTGTCAACAACTACACATTCGTGCGTTCGGTTTTTCTTCTTTTTGTCGCCGAGGAAGTTGTTGAGTCGAGACTTCTTCTGAGACTACACCTAGCAGAGAAAAGACGTTCTTTAACATTACCCACAGCAGTTGTAGTTGAGATAGATGGATTCGGATGCATGGCCGCCCACAATACCCTATATACTATACGGCAAGGAAAGCGATTGGCGTATGGCCCGACTTCTACTAGTAGAATCTTACTAGTAAGGAAAATCCGGAAACTTTACTAGCAAGCTGCGTTACTAGTAATCTTATCCGGACAAGCAAGCAAAAAAACTACTAGTAAGCGTACTAGTAGAGAGTTTACTAGGAGAGAGCTTACTAGTAGAAAACTGCTTCGCGGGCCGGTTCGCCCCGAGCTTCCGCCAAAGAGCTCGCCCGCGCTGCTGGCTTCCCTTGCCCCCTGTGGAGAAACCAGCGCCGAGCAACTAGTACCTGTGTGGTAGCGCGGGACGTGGCGCTCGTCCCGGGGAAGAGGGGGTGCAGCCGTAGGAGGGCGAATTAATACTGAACACGGGTGGCGCGGCGCGTGCTGCTGCGCCCGCAGGTGCAGGCGAGTTGGCTTCTGCCTTGCCACGGTGCCGCGGACGATGGTTTTGCGCTTTGTTTGGGCTACCCCGTTTTGCCTCGCGGGGGAGGCCCCTCTTCGTGCGGATGGCCCCGCCGCCCTGCACAGAGAAGCGGCGCCTTCTCTCGTTGCCCTAAATGGTTACCATACACAGCGCGCCCAGTCTCCCTGTGCTGGTTGCACCTGCCTGGCTGGCCAGGTTTTTTGTCGCGCAGCTTCCGCAGCTGCGGCCCTGTGGGCTCCGTCGAAAGCAGCCCCACCCCCTTGGAGGCGTAACTAGAAATAGAGTGGGGCGTAGCTAGAATGACGAGCAGCCGCCCTTAAGGCTCGCAACTTGGGGGGGTGCTCGCAAATTGGGAACACCCTGGAGGGCTCGTCCCCTCACAGGGTGGGCAGCTCGCCCCGGGTGTTCTTTCGGTTTCCCGGGGCTTCTCCTTCTCCTGGGGCCTGGGGCGGGCCGCTGTCACGCCTTTGTCTTTCTCTAGGGGGCTCCGGCGCACTGAAAAGCCCTGCGCCTCTAGAGTTTTCGCCCCCAGAACCCCCCTCCCCTTCCCCACGAGGACTGCAGCCTTCCTAGTAGAAACCCACAGCAGTTGTAGTTGAGATAGATGGATTCGGATGCATGGCCGCCCACTATTACTTCTGGGCGGCGACCACGGCGGTCATGAATCTTCAACTAAAAAGTCTGCATATTGAAGAAGCAGCTGCCACGACCAGACACGTTAGTACAGTGGTCTACTAGGGTTTTACTACATTGTTCTTGATCCGTCGACGAACATCAAATATGCAGCTACCAGCCACCTGCAGCTGAAGAAGATAGTAGAACCAAAGCAAGAAGAAAACCGTGATGGATTCTTTCTTCATGACGCAGCCCCCTCCGGGGCCCACGGAAACGTGGCTGAAGTGCGTCCAGGCGTTGGAAAAAAAAGCCGCGGCCGCACCGCCGCCCACTGTGAAGTCATCTTCGAGGAAAAAGTTTTACGGCGGGGAAGACAGCGAAAATAAGGCCACAAGGCTTGACGCTGACACCACAAGAAATAATACCGCGTTTGGTGGAATTTTTACTGCATCAGGAGGGCCAGAAACCAAGCCGAAAGACCCAAACGTCCTATCCGAACTGATTCCGCGATTTTACCCGGCGGAACCTACCGATAAGGAACAAAAAGAGAAGGAAAAGCAGAAGGAATTGCTGCAGAAGCAGCAACAGAAGGCTCGGGATGAACATGACCTGACCAGCGCGCTGCTATGCTCTGCAAAAGGATCTGATACTAGTAGAAATCGCATGACAAATTCCCTCTGCATGAACAAGAGCAGTGGAATTTCTAATGCGGATTTACCTTGAGAAAGAGACTTGTCATGCACGGTTGCGATTACTACGAGTTCCGGACGATCAACATACTTTTGCAATTCATAGCTGCCGCACTTCGACGACAGTGACGATGACGAGCTGTTGCAGTATCATCATGAAAAATTTTTCCCGCCTCCCCATATTCAATGTGGAATTTGTGTAGACTGATTTGTGATCACAAATCCATTTGTGATGCTGGTAGGGAAGGGCGGATGCGGACTGTAGTGCTGTCTGGCATGACGGGAAAGCCTTGCCTCCTCTCCAGCATGATAGAGACCCACTGCATTGCCAAGGACAGCATGACAAAGTTCCTGAACAAAATAGGCCGCAGGTGTGTTCGTTTACCTTCCAACAATACAAGTGGATTTGTGTACACAAATCGTGCATCAGAAATCTCCTCTTGATGTGGGGAGGGGGGATTTTTCCTCACAATATGCAGGCGTCCTCTACTGGTGGGGCGACGAGCAATATCAAGTCCTATTTGATCAATACAAACAACCAACAAATCATCATCTCCAGTGAAGAGAAGCGTTTTCGCGGCGTTCTCTCCGTGCGCACGAGGCGGGAAGCCCGGCAGAAGATGTTGCAACGGAAAACGGCGGAATTACTATGCATTGCAAATAAAGTATTGTACTAGTAGTAGTAGCAAAATTGCATCACAAATTTGCGTAGCATTACAAATGAGATTTGTGATGCTGTTTTACCTTCGAACGGAGATTTGTCATGCAAAGCAGCAATCACTACGAACGAGTACGATACTTTTGCACAGGATAGTCACTCAACGAGGATGATTTGCACAAGCTTTTGGAGTATCCTGTGCAAAAGTATCGTACTCGTATGGCAATCATGCATTACAAATTTTTTTCTTAAGAAAATCTGCATTACAAATTTTTTTTTTCATGCTGGGGAAATTTGTGATGCATTTATACAAGTACGATACTTTTGCAATCCATATGGAGCCCTTACGAAAGGCAGCGAAAAAAACGACAAACAGCTCGGTCATTTTGAATAGCAACAGAAACAACAACCCGAATTCGTCCAATTCAACCGAGCAGGAGGTCATCGACTATGCAAGCTTCAAAGCCGTTTTATCCTATGTAAACACGTCCCCACCCCATAGTTGTCATGCAGATATGCGATTACAAGAAGTGAAGATTTGTAATGCGCTTCTCCTTGAGAGGCATTTCCAGTCGTGTTTTGGAATTTGTAATGTAGTAAACAGGATGAGCAAATGGATTGCTCATGCGGCTTTCCATGCTAACCAGCAGTACACTGCAGATGGAAATTTGTCATGTAGAACTCCCAAAACTTGCAGATTTGTCATGTAGAACTCCCAAAACTTGTTCACTATGATGTGGGGACGTTTTTACTCAGGATAGGTTTACAAGCATGTTTTAGAAGAGTGTGTTAAAGCGGCGGAATACAATGCGCAAATGAACGGCGAGGATTTCGACGCCAGTATGACCAAAGCGCTCTACGAAAGGTACTGAATATAAAACTTGTATTGGCTTTTTTCTTTTTGTCATGCGGATCATGGTCCCTCTCCCTATAGTGCGTAGTATTGACTGTCATGTGCAGCAGGGGCAGGTTTCTGATTCGTATCTTCTGGTGTTCATCGCTACGATCATACCATCAACAACATGTACATGTTAAATACCTATCAGGAAATTCGGGCCTTTTTTCACGGCCCGGTCGTTTTTGAAGTTCGGGTCCCTGATTTCGCATATGAAAGTGCACAACTCCCCGTCCCCCACATTTGTATGGCATCAACAGCATTACAAACACCAGTACAGGTGGACCGTGTACATGACAAGTTCATGCGCCGAGTGTAGTACTGTTTGGAGTTCCGAAATTTGTCATGCACGCGGCGCCACAAGGTAGCAACTGGCTTTGGGTTTTGGCATCACAAATGAGGGGGAGGGGGAGTCGTGCGCTGTCATATCGCAAATCGGAATCGTGCCGTTTTTCAGCTACGTGGTGCGGAAGGTAAACAACAAGCAAACACGAATATGCAAGAAAAAAACTGTGTAAGTGTAAATTTGTGATGCGCTACATGGAAGATGATTGCGTCTGTCATGCTTGGCCAGCGTCGTAGGGTCCATTAAAGGGCGTTTTCACGTACTATCTGCGCATGACAGGTTTTTGCTGTCATGCCAGACAAATTTGTAATGCTGTTCCTCCAAAAAAGTTACACCTACAATGTTTTTTTCTTGGATAACGAATTCAGTTGTCCTATTACGACACGATCGGACTGGGGTACCTCCGGGAGAAGGACGTGGAAAATTTCATCTTTGAATTGATACCGACCTTGCCGCAGCTGAGCCAGCTGCAAGAAGAGTTTTACCCGTTTTATGTATAATTTTCTTTTCAGCTGATGTTTGGTTTTGCATGATGAATGTGGATTCGGATTTTTTGTGTGATGTGACGCTGCCGGTGCCGCTACAGGGGTAAAATATAAAACTCTCCAGAAAACAAAGCAATGAGCATCTTCAAAAATAAAAGGTCTTCACTGCGGTCCGGAAATTTTTTTTCTTTCTGGACCAGAAACGCACCGGGAAAATTTGGATCAGGAATCTCCTCGTGAGCTCCATTCTCCCAGAACTCTATGAGCTCCGGAGATATCCCGGGGAAAAAAATGGTACTCGTACTTTCTCTTTCTACTTGCAATCACACAGGACAAACAAGAAATAGCTGTTGCTAGCACCGCAACATGCTGCGCGCAAAATTACCTTTGATAAAATTTGTCATGCCACTTTGACTAGTACGAAGTACCATTTTGCGATGCATAGCGGTAACAGCCACATGAATTCGAGCAGTGACAACAACCCGCACAACTTTAACCCCAACAGTATCGAAATGAAAAATCCCCCCACCCCACATCAAAACGAAGTTTGTCATCCTGGATTTGCGTACACAAATCAGATTTGTCTTGCGTGAGAGGACTGCAGGCCCATAACAAGCCTGAGTAGAGAGGATTTGGACTAGGCTCTTAGCACGAGACACGTCTGCGCTGTAGGCCTAATAGCATCACATTTGCGGCGGAGCCTGTGGAATTGCCTTCTTGCAAGACAGAGATGATTTGTGGTCGCAAATCAGCATTGCAAATTTTCTGCGACGTACTTCTTCGATATGGGGAGGGGGGATTTTTCCTCACAATAAACAGCATGAAAAACTGGTTTTCCGTGGAGTCTGCGCTCCGGGTATGCAAGAAAAAGAAACTGCGTAAGTGTAACTTTCTGGTGGGGGGAACAGCATCTCAAGTTTGCTCTGCAAAGCAGAGAAACACTGTCATGCGTCGCTAGTATGTGAAAACACGTACGAAAAGAGCCTCTGATGCGGGTCCAGCATGACAGTTGTAAGTGTCTACTTGCGTCGTCTGCAACACAAAGTTACACTTACACAGTTTTTTTCTTTGGATATCGGGTGTACGGCATGTACTTGGAGCTGGATTCCGACCAAAACGGCATGTTGAGTCCCCAAGAATATCCACAGAAAAATAAAAACCCATCCCAATCCATTTTTTGCATGACAAACACTGCTTCTGATGTATGTTTTGGATGACAAATTGGATGGGGATCGGTCTTTTTTTGTGGATAAAGAACTCGCAAAGTACACAAATTCCTACTTCTCCAACTACAGCGGAGTATCTGGAAACGCCAATGACATGCTATGGAAGGGAAAATAAAACTCGAGGAGCTGAAAATAATCAACATCTTTGATGCAATTCACAGCTGAGGTGTTTGTTTTTAGTATGCAAGGTGGGACTACGACATGAATTACGTAAGTAAGAAATCACGACTAAGTATTTGTTATTTACCACTATCCACAAAGAACTCCATCGTGCAGAACATGATGCAGCAAGGTGTGCTAGCTTTTTCTCAAACAGTGCATCACTCCGTCCTGAAGAATGTTTTGCACGGTGGGAAAATTGACGGTTATGTTGTGTCTATTCCAAAAGTCATCCATACCCTGCGGGAAAAGATTATCCGCGAGGGAGTTGATGCGATGGCGTCGAGATCAATAGGACAACACAGGTGTCGTTCCTTCGTTTGAATCAAAGCGTCTAAGTAACTTTAGTTCGAAAATGTGAAACGCAAACGCGTGAGACCCAGAGGCTAGCACGACCAGAAGCACAACAATTTATTCTACTTCTGTGAATAGCGTGAAAAATAATTAAGCTCCTACCATTTTTCCCTTCCATACAACCTGCACTTCCACTATTACAGCTCCATCGGTGTCTCAACCACGGGCCAGACCCTGTCGGATATGAGCTGCAAATATGTCTGGGTCTGGAAGAGTGAAACTTGTCATGCTGCCTGTGGATTCTAAAAATATCTGTATTGCATAAGCAACAAGAGGAGTCCAGTTCTTGCTACGCGGAGAGGGCATTTCGATTCCTCATGCGTGATAAGCATCAAGAAGCTTTCAAAAAGTCTGGGATGCTAGGACCTGCATCACAGACCTCGCGGGTCATACAAAATATGCATGACAAACCTGGCAATGTTTCAGACCCAGACACATTTGCAGTTGATATCGGACGAAATTATACAAAGAGTCTTCGAAGAGTACCAGATACGCATTACAAAACTTTTGTGCCACGGAAAAACTGCATCACAAATTTTCAACGAAGAGGTCTACAAGTAAAAACGGAACTTGTCATGCAGAGTCAGGCAAGCAAAAGAATCTGTGATGCAAGATGTCGCACAAAAATATCCCTTTGCCACTGCATATCCGACCTACCGCGACGATTCGGGCAGCCAGGAGATGGACTACAAAACTTTTCTTGATTTCGTCCTCGCCATGCGGCATCTGCGCTACAACTGCGAAAACAACAGCAATTTTGACCACCCCGACGGCCCTAGCGGCTCGAACGGCCGAGAAGGGGGTGGGGGCATATGAACTGCAAAAGTATCGTACTCGTATAAATGCATTACAAATTTCCTCAGCATGAGAAATAAAATTTGTAATGCAGATTTGCCTTGGAAACAGGATTTGTAATGCAAGACTTGCATTAGCATTTGTACGAGTACGATACTTTTGCACAGGATAGGGCAACTACAAGGACAACGTGCGGGAGAAGGAGTATCCTGTGTAAAAACGCCCCCGACCCAAGGGTCAAGATGGGAAATCTGCTAGACAAATCCACGCGGTTTGGTTGTTGCGCATGACAAGGTAGTTCTTGGGATTGCTATGTATTCGCGTTTAGCCATTGTAGCAGAATCACTGATCTAGCATATCATGCTGATTTTTCGAGCACCGCAACTCTCAAACACCACTACAGATGAACGCATCTCCTTCCCATAGGGCTCCTCTGCATGAGAAACGTTTTAAGCATGCCGATTCGCATGACAACTCTGGGATAGGCTCGTTTTTACTCGGGAGAAGGAGTTTTCGGAGTTTGGCAACCAGCAGTCCATCAGATATCTCTGGAAGTTGATCGACGTGAACCAATATCCTGTGCAACAGTATCGTACTCGTATTGCAATCATGCATTACAAATCTTTTTGTTATAGGTAAACTCGCATTGCAAATTTTATTTCTCATGCTGAGAAAATTTGTAATGCATTCATACAAGTACGATAGTGCTTTTGCAGTTCATAACCACGACGACAAGGTCACCGTACCAATCCTGCGCTACTTTCTGCGGGGCACACTGCGCAACTGCCAGCACTACGCGGACACGAATGGGGTGAAGGTAGAAGACGTAATCGACGAGATTTTCGACATGATCCGGCCCAAAAACGCGGGGTTCATCCAGTTAAACGACGTTCTGTACAACAAAATGGGGCCGATCATGCTCGCAATTCTCATCGACTCGGACGAATTCTACCGGCATGACCAGCGCGAAAACTCCATGCAGTCTGGCGGGGGTGGGGGCGGTGGCGGATTCAGCGGCGGTGGGGGTTCTTCCAGCGGCATGCAGATTGAGCACGACCAGCTGGACATTGATCAGTACCACGATGTTGGTCCGCCGACCAGCGGTAGCAGTAGCGGCCGCGGGGTCGTGAACAGCAGTAGTTCATCAGCAGGAAATAACGCAAACCCTTCCTCGTCCGGCGGTTCGTCCCGGAGCAGCAATAATGTCGCGACATCAAGAACGCCGGAAGATGATCACGATGCCACCGCGCAAGGTAATTCTGGCGCGACAGCATCCAGCACTTACGGGAGTGACGGTAATATTAGCCCTGCTGATGTCAATGCCGGTCAAGAAAACGATGCCAGTGGGGTGTCAGCACATCACGGGGGAGGTTCTGCAGGTGTACCCGGTGGAGGACCTTCGGAAACCAGCATGGGCGGCGTTGGCTCGTCTCCGGGTTACAGTCCCACGTCGATGGCTTCGTCCGGTATGGGAAAAGGAACCAAACATAATGATAATCTACTTGCATCGGGTCGTTGTTTTTCTATGAAGTTCATCAAGTTTGTTTTGTTTTCAGTTTCACAAATTGACCTATACATTCATTACGTAGAAGCAGCCGTAAAAAAACATGATCTTGCAACTGACGACGACCTGACGCAGCAAGATGATCTGTCTTCCATGCATACGCCAAGACCACTACCTGCCCGCCGGCGTGGGGATACCCGGGCTCGGCGGTGGATCCGGCGTGCCGGGAATCTCCCCTACCAAAATTAAAAATCCCCCCTCCCCATATCAAAACGGAAATTTGTGATGCTGATTTGTGGCCACAAATCAGCTTTGTATTGCAGAGAGGCATTGCGGCCAGATCCACAGGCTACGTAGGGGCGTATAATGGGTCTAGTTGTTCAGCATGGGAAACGGCTCCCCTTTAGGCCCAGCAGCATGACAAATCGCTTCCATAAGGGGGCGAAAGCTTATGCCCTTGCCTTGTTGCCAGACAGATGTGATTTGTGACCTCAAATCCGCAACGCAAATTTTTGGAAGCATACCTTGTCAATATGGGGAGGGGGAAGCTTTCCTTTCAATATTCCCCCAAGAAGAGCCGGAGGATGAGCCGAATCCGAGCCGACGGTTGTCGCCGCTGTCGTAGATGGTGAAATTCGGGGCGAGCTGAGATCTTGTAGAAATTAAAGTTGCAAAAAATGCGCACTTCTTTACTCCGAGGAGGCCAGCACTACACCTCCTGTTGCAGGATGAATTGTGATAAGATTACTCGAGTATTGTGAGCTGTGAGCCAAGAACAGCAGCTTCAGCGACGATTGAGAACGTCGAAAAATCTACTCGTCCAAAGTGTTTGCACAGACAGGATTTTTCTTGAAGAGATTGAGACGTAGAAGTAGCACAACTGAAGAAAAACCGGAGCTCGCGGATAGGTGTATACAAGTGGTTCGCGTTGATGTTCCTCTTCCTCTTGATCTTGGCACATAGTTCCTGCAGCTGCATTAAAGCCCTGTGAATGAAGACTCTCTAGTCGTTCATGGACATTGTACGTACAAACATGCAAATCTCTGGGTGCGAGTGCGACTAACTTCGGAGAACGTATACGTACGGAAGCCGTAATGTGCAAGCCGTCGTAAGTCGTAAATCTACATTCGTTTTCGTAGCGTTCTTCTACGTGGGTTAATAACTTCGGAAAAACCTTGATGTCGCAAACTTCGTGACACCAAAATTTTCGTCTTCGCCTGATCCTTTATGGAACTCAAAAAGGACAGAAGTATCTATGTCGGTGCCATCGTCAGACTACACGTGAAGTTAGTGTCTCTCCGTCGCTTTTCGCGACTAAATGTGATCGATTTATTCGTAGAAGTGGAACATCAACCACAGGTGTCACAAAGACATCACGAAAAGAGACTCTACTCGAAGGAGGTCCTCCGCACTCCTATTTCTAAAACTGTAGTTTTGGTGTAGAGATAAGTTGTTTTATTTGCAGTTGTCTTAATCTGATACGACCTCGTCCTCGCTGCCCACCTCCTCCTTTCATTATCGTAGTTCACAGAAGTAGAGGCCCCTCGTCGAGATGAAGTTTTTTTTTGATGTTCAATAGTACCGTGATGTAGTAAGAGATGTCTTCCTCAAAGCTGCAGCTGCTCAAGGGCAGCAGCACTAAAAGCTCTTGCAAGCTGCAGAGCAAGCAACCTGCTGCTGATGCAGCTCTAGTACCTGTACCCGCCGCAGAAAAACAAAAACCTTTGCCACAACTACCTTTATTGACCACAAAGCCCATCGTGAACTCCCTGACCTTGAACAAGCCGGAGGGAGTGAACCCGTTGGACCTTTCTTGGGCTGTGAACAAGGGCATTTTGATGGTGTACACCCCGGAAAACTCGGCTTCTGCGAGCAGCTGTGGGTCACCGTCTGATTCGGCCCAGGAACAGGAGGAGGAGGAGGAGGGAGAACGAGAAGCAGGAAATTGTGCAGTAGGACAGCAAATAAACTCATCGGCGGGGAAGAACTCGAACTCCCCTAAGCCGCGGGTAAAGGATATGGAAGCGTCAGGTGTGAAATCGACAAAGTTGAAATAAACTTGTATATGCATGAAATCGATACCAGTTGGAAGCCCAGTTTCCAAGCGGTGCATGACAAATTTCGGCGCCGTCTTCTAAATCCAGTCTGTCATGGTGTTTAGGGACAGAAGGCGTCTTTTGTCATGCTACTTTAGCAGCTCTATCTCAGACCCCAAACAGGCTGACAGTCGGCCTCACTTGCCATCCCTGCAAGGGAGGCACTTCATGCCTTGCAATTTATGCATGAGAAATTATTTCTTCATGCCTTGCAATTTATCTGCCTTGCAAGGGAAGCCTTCATGCCTTGCAATTTCTTCATGCCTTGCAAGGGAAGCACTTCATGCCTTGCAATTTATCTGCGGTGAGGTGCCCTTACAGGTTGTGTAGTGGTTTCGGTCGGTTTAGCATGAGAAATTATTTCAACTTTGACGATTTCAATCCTGACAGTTCCATAAAGGTGAAGGTCGGAAACGTGCAGATGCAGGTGCTGCAGAAGAAGCAAAAGATGAACAAAAAACCAACAACTGGTAAAGGGAAAGCGAAACATCAAGCAGAAGTGCAAAACAAACAGAAGAAAGACCACGTCGCGGGAGCTTTACTTCTTGGAAGCAACAATAGTGGCGGGAAAATGAAGATGATGAAACAAAAAACAAAAACAGCAACAACTCCCGAAAAAAAAAGTGTACCGCCACGGGCCGCTCGGTCCGCGCCGCCGAAATTATCGAAGATCGAACCGCGGCAGTTTTGGGGGCTCGAGACGCACGGGGTGGACGATTTTATGGACGAAGATGAACAGTGGGACATCGAGGAATTTGAAGCTTTGAAAAATGTCGCAAGCGACGCCTATCATGCGGGAAATAACAAAACCGTGGATGACGCGGACGTGGATGCAGTGATGGCAGCAGCGTATGCGGAGGCCGAAGCCGCGACTGGCGGAACAGCCCTTCTTGCACCGTTCAGCACAGGGGGGCAGCAGCCGGGTGGGCAGGCGCAGGGAACAAGCAGCGGCTCCTCTTCATCTTCCGCAAACGGCACAACATCAAACAGTAGCACGACACTAGCCTCCTCCTTCCAAAGTCTTCTGCCCAATTGGATGCGCGACCTGATTACGGGAGGGGGAAACAACAATACGAATAATGCCAGCAGTGGTGGCGATCAACATGGGCCCTCATCCTCATCAGCCAGCTGGAACACGAACAACGACCTGTTTTTTGCGGGACATAACTATCCATCCGAGGAGCTCCTGCATAAAACTAACGACGTTAGTACTCTGCTTGGAGATGATGAACAAGGAGCACAACAACCAGAACCACAAGCACCGACTGGCGGAATGGGAACCGCAAAGAACGAGGATGAAATGGTAATCTCGGCGGCATGGGGATCTTCATCTTCAACATCTTCTTTCGACAAAGCAGGAGCAGCTAAAGCAGAGGTCGTGGGTAAAAATAATGCGAATCTTGTCTCCACGTCTGCCTCTTCCGCGTCCGACGGCGATGGAGAGCAGCTGCCGCTGTTCGGAAAAAACGTAAATGCGAAGACGTTGAACTGCTTCGATAGCAAGAACGGGGACCACGTACTAGGCCGCACAGCAGGCGCTGTCGTGAAGAGCACAACATCGGTTGATGTAGAGCAAAAATTGGGGAACAAGGATCTACTTCTTGGAGTCACCGCTGCTGCTGCTGCTGCAAACGATGAATCAAAGGCGGTGCAACAAGAACTTATGCAGCTGCCTGCGACGTCGAAGGCGATGGCGAAGGAACAGAAAGTGAAACAAGGTAAAGCTATGAAGAAGGCCGCTACTTCGTCAACTTCTGTGGCTGCTGTCATTGAAACGACCACGAGTTCTTGCCTACTTCCCGCGCCGGGAGGAGCTGCAGCAGGCCCAGATGAAGTCGTGTCTAGCAAGGGACGAGGAGCCAAGAGCAAAACAGTAAAAGCTGAAACTATCGGAACTACGAAGAAGCCAGCGGTTGCGATTGTGCGGAAGGGACCGGAAGCGAAAGACGTAGCGAGGAAAATGAGACAGGCGGCGAGTAGTTGTAGCTCTACTACGGGAGCTGCTGCGGCAAAGGAAACACAAACAATGCCGAAGTCGAAATCAAAAACGAAGAACAAGCAGGTGAAGGACGAAATAGCATCTGCAAAACATTACCTCCAAGCTGACTCGGGTCCTGTTGGGCTGCACCAGAAAAAGACGAAGACAAAGTCAACCGCCACTATAAAACCGGCCTCTTCAACATCAGGTGGAACAAAGGGAAACAAGAAGACTTCTCCAGAAGCGGACGGGACTGCAGAGCCAAATACCGGCAGTGGTCCCTGTGCAGCGGCAAAGAAGAGGAAACTGCGGAGCAAGTAAAATAGAATTCGGGAACGAGAAAAACAATAAGTAATAGAAAGTAGTACGGGAACATGTGGATTTCTGGATGGAGCACAAAAGACGTTTACAGTCATTCGAACAACGAACCAGTATCAACAACAAATGACGTCATTTTTTCAATTTACTTTAGATTTTTATCGCTCCCTGTCCCTTCTTGTGTACCGATCAGCATCATCATGCCGAGTTTATAGCTGCAGGTCGAAAAAAAATCTCCATTCGAAACAGTATGACGAGTTTTTCGAGGTTATAAAAATTTCTTCTTGTTTCCTAGCCTGTATTTCTTTTGGCTCTTTGTCATATCATACTCGAAGTGGGAACCAACTCTAAAAATACCTGTAATATCCTTCTTGGGTTTTTAGCATGAAAAAAAAACGCAAGCCGCAACGTCATCGATCGTGCGCGGGCAGCACGTCGAGAGTAGAGTCACGTCTATTTTGGCGCCATGCTCCTCTCGCTACAGAAGAGAGCACTTGAATCATCCGCGAAACAAAAATTGAATCGAATTCGTGTTCACGTCTCCGATCCACTTCGAGAACATTGTCGAAAGAGATTAAATTTTATGTAAATATGAGGAGAGAGCATTGATTTACATTTCGCATCAGGGTCGTGAAGTAGAACACAAAGCAAACAAAACGCATCGAAATCTATGGTGAGGCAAAACTAAATGTGGCTGAAAATTATCCTCGCAGCAGTTCCGATTTATTTATAATGTGCTCCCCTAGTAGTAGTAACTCTAACTAGATCTAGAATCAGCCAAAACAATTGCTCACGTACTTAATATCCCACATAGACCCGCCGCTCAAGAAGTAAGGTCTACTTTAGAGAAAATTTGATATAGTAGAAGGAAGGCTCCTACTGCTTGTTGCGAAAAGTCCATCAATAAGTACAACGTGAGCAGCCATTTCTTTTTGGAACGCAAAAAAGAAACAAAAATACCCCTGCTTCAAAAATCAACCACCCTGATGAAATTGACACGAAAACCCTTATTAATTATGTTGACACAGCGATATGATTTCATTAGTTAACCGCGACCACGATATTTGTCACACATGAAGAATCCTAGGAAGACCCTTTGACTGACCAGAAAGCGCGTGTTTTTTGAAGGTGAAAACAAGTGAAGACCACAAGAAACAAGCGACTCAACAAAATATTAGTTCCTTGTTGTAGCTGCGGGAGAAATCACCTAGGTTGACGAGGTGGATATTACACTCTTTACGTTCACGCTCGCCTCAGTATAGTACAGCAGAAAAAAACATCATGGCGAACAACCTGACAAAACGGGAGCTGATCGAGCTGCTCGATTGCGCGAAAAATATGCATTGCAAAGCACCGTGTTAGTGGTAGTCGCATGACAAATTTTCTCCGCATGAAATCATATGAAGGTCTTTCTTTTTCGGGCATGCCCATGCTGATTCACGACCTATAAATAGTTGTCTTGCGTGAGTACGAGTACGGTATTTTTGCAGTGCATAAGAAACAGCAAGGAGAGAAACAAGGCTGTAAAACTTTTGAAGCGGTTTGACCCGGTGTGGAATTACCAGTGGGACGACCATCACCAGAAGGAAAACTTCCAGGTGAAAGAGTTCAACTACATCATCGCCTTCTGCTGCGCCCGGTGCGGCAAGGTGAAGCAGCAAAAACAGAAGGTCTTCTGGACCGTCCCCAAGGACGAATCTGCCGACAAGACGAAAAAGATCGGGATTTGCTACCAGTGCTTTAACCAACTGCGCGAAATGGAGCACACCAACAAACTCCGGGCGCAGCACCAGAAGCAGGGGCTGGTGCCGAAGGGGATGGGTTTCGGGTTGGTGGATCACGTGAGCACTCTGAACGGAATGGCGAATCAGGGCCAGTACGCCGGGGCGGCAAGCAGTAGTGCTTTCAAAGCGGCGTCGTAGGGAGTGGAGTTTCAGATTGTACTGCAGCTACGTCGAGCCAGATTCTGAATTACACTCTCGTCCTGCTGCGTTATGACCACTGATACAGAACTTTTTTGGGCACAAATAAATTGCTGTGGACCACTTGTTGTCTGTTTTCTGTAGCTTGTTTGGACGATAGTCGTGGCGCAAATCGCTGCAGAACGAAAGTTTTGTGTACTGTTGACTTTGAAGAGTTGTGCTTGGCGAAAATAGAACTGATAGCACTATCGCTCGCCAGTCCACCCGTGGTGCTTCACTGGGTGAACAATTGTTCACAACGGAGGACATGAAGAGTTGTGTTCGCTTAGAAGTACTATGCCGCTCTGTCTTGACAAAAAGTTTTCACGATGCTTTTTGAGATTAAAACGAAACGTACAATAAGAAACGTGGCTGCAAAAATGGCAAGCCCTTGTCGGTTGTGTCTGAAAAAAAAAAACAGCAGCTGTCAACATTTTTCTCGGGAAGAAAATAGTACGAGGGACAATAGGCCGCAGGTGCCCGATTGATAGCAGCTTGATTTGAAATTCGTACCCGAACGCCAGCGCAGTGGTCAAATTTATACTTACCCGTTATTTTCAGAGCCGCGCACCACAAGCGAGGCAATAGATAGGAGTATACGTGCGATACCAAAAAAGCTGTATGAAGTATGTCCATGAAAACGTGAGCGTACGTCGGGAAAAGAATCAAGAAGAAAGAACTCTGTGTCGTCCGTACTTTATTTTCATCAACTTCGAGCGCATACAAAAACAAATTCGGTTTCCGTCCATTTCTTATATGCCGTGCACTGCAGTAGTTGGATAAAAATCTATCGGGGTCGTGCCGTACAAAAGCTAAAGGGCTCAACAATCAACATTTCTCGTCGTGGTCCTGTATGCTAATTGCATTCGTGCATTACAAATCTTTTCATTGAGGTAAATCCGCATTACAAATTCCATTTCAAAATCAGTGGGTACGGGACAACTTGACGATGTGAAATATGAACCCCCTAAGATGACTGCCCACACGGAACTACCTCCACCCCCCCTTTCTTATTCCGCATCACAGTACCTTTTATACTTTTGCTTTTTATGCATCACAGATTGTACTCTTTCTCACTGCTTCTCATTGTAGCTATTTATTTAAAGGGTTTATGCATTACAAACTGCAAAAAATTTGAAAGTACTCGATGTGTTATAAAGCGGTAGTAGTTGGACATTATTTCCTGTCGTTTTTTTGTATTTCACAGATCTTGTTGTAAAACATAATTCAGGCCTTATATTTTTTTTTTCTGCTTTATTTTTCGATACAGTTTCATAGGTGTTGCTGCTGTGAGCTGAATCATTTTCTAGAATTCAAACTATCTCAACAGTAGGAAGCACCGCGCTTGGTCTGTTGTACGCCGGGGAAGTTCTAGAGCCAAGGGACTTCTCCTGTACACCAGACCCAAGTTTTAATTTGTTATTTACCACATCTTTTATCACACTGTAGTTCTACTATTCATCCGGACGTACTGTCCGCTATTTCCTTGCAAAGAGTTCTACTGTACCTATAGTATCAAGTTCTTATTCCGTCTCCTGTCTTCCTAGAAGAAGATTTTTCGGTGTAAAGCATTTGCATTTCACATCATTTTTTTGAAAAAATAAAATGCTCCCAAACTGTCAATTTAGCCAAATGAGCGTTAAATGCGGGAACCTGATTTCTGTACAACTTTTTTTTGGAAGGATAATTTCGAAATAATCTATGCCTACGTTATTTTTAATCTGCGCGTGCTGTTGTCAGTGATGTTTTCACAAACTGCATCGGATTTTTCGGAACAACATCAATGCACTCCGAGTTGTCCGGTGAACGAATATCATCTATAGCCTAGAACAAGCCGACGACCACGCAACAGAAGAAGCTCTAGTACTTTGGTCAGCACTACAAATATAGCAACCGACGTGCAGGAGGACCCGAGCGATCATCCCAGCTGGCAGCAGGTCCTAGTATTAACTAGCAGGACCACAGCATGACAACCGCCACGGCGCCTTCCGCTGCCATGTACCCTCCGGGCTATGTGGACCACGGGCAGCAGGACAACCTCCTGCTCTTCGAGTCCCCCCGGGAGGAGCTATTTTTTGCCGGCACCAGCAGCAGCAGCCCCGACGGGGGAGCAGATCTTCACGACTTCGACCTGATGGCGCAGCTGCGGGACAAGAACCAACAGCACACGACTCGTGTGAAAATGGCAGGAACAGTTGTTCCACCGGCGAACAAGGAAGAGACAGAACCTAGCAGTGTACAACTAGCAGCTCCGACAGGCCAGATCACCCGGGTAAGGCAGGAATCCAAAAACATCTTCTCCTCTTCAAGCAGCTCAAGTAGAAGAAATAGCAAAAACAACACCAGCGAAGGGTCGTCCTCTTCTAGTTCATCCTCTTCGGAACAGGAACCCTTTCAAGAACATCCGGAGCCGAGTGCAACTACTGCGAAGGGCGGGGATCATCATTTTCCGACTGGATTACATGTAATATCCAGAAGGACGCGGAGTAAGTACCGGAGTTGCCAGGAGGAGCTGTCGGAACTACAAGTCGACGTTGATATTTCACCGGGGAAAAGTAAAAACAACAAGATTTCAACATCGAACAAAAATTCCACCTCTACTGCGTCTCTCAGAAGTAGTCGTCATCGAAGCAGGCCCGAAATGAATATCTCATCAATCGGAACTACATCATCTTCAACAACAAATGTCGCGCAGCCTTTCGACCTGCCGTTTGTACGAGTCAGAGCGGATGAGAAGGTGATGAGGATTAAGAATGACGACGCAGCAGGACGAGGAGCAATAAATCAAGAACAACAATCTGCAGCTTCTGGATTCCTCCTCTCAACATCGAGTAGTTCTTCGGGTGCAAACAGCACCAGCTCGAGCACTAGGACCGCGAATGGTGGAGGGGAAGCTACAGCCACGACTTCTGGTGCACCTACAGAAGCAATAAGAAGAACATCATCTGCCACTAGTTCCACTTTTTTCGCGCCCACAGCCCGCGGAGGAGGAGATAGTACTTCCCATCAAGCTTCTGCAGGGCGGAAAATTGAAATAAATCCGCAGGAAGCCCCCGGAGGTGGTGGTGCTCCCGGAGGCAACTACACCAATTCATCCTCCACTTCGCCAGAAAGTCGCATTAATCCGGACGCTGCGCCGCGTGGATTTGTAAAGATGAATCCAGCAGCAGGAACTGCAGCAGCACAGTCACGACAGAAGGAGCCGAACATCAACATCAACAACTTGGTCGTGATTTCTCAACATCCACAAGAACCACACGACTATGGAAAGAAAAAAGTTTGTCACAGTCACTAACTTGCAGGTTTTGCATTACAAATTTTTTTAGCATCACAAGTTTTCCTTGTATTGCAGAAACACTAGGGAAATCCCCTATGAAGCTTGGCTGTCATGCATTTTTACGCATGACAGCCAGTTTTGTATTGCAAAAATGCGCATGAGTGATCGTGACGAACTTTTTTTGTTTGATAACGACCCTCCGGCGTCCAGTAGCACCAAGTCGTCCCCTATCAAATGCAAAAATGTCTGGGTCTGGAAGGTTGGAACTTGTGATGCAAAGCCTGGAACACACAAAAACTTGTGTTGCATGAGCGCCAAAAGCTGTCCATTTCTTGGCACGCAAGTAGGAAGTTTCTCATGCGGGACAGGCATCACGAGGCGTGCTCAAAAACTGTGATGCTTTTGCCTGCTTCAGACGCCATTTGCGTGATCCGAAATATGCATGACAAATCTCGCAATCTTCTTCCAGACCCAGACACTTTTACATTTGATATCCCCTCTCTCCCAGTACGGGCCTGGTTTCCTCAACAACACGTCCTCGACAAACAACCCGCTATCTCAGAATATGTCGATTGTGAACTCTCCGGTGAATTATAACCACAACAACAAATCGGTTTGGTCCTCTCCCAGTTCGAGTAAGAACGAGTCTGTGCGAACCCCTCTCCTCGACGATCTCCACGTAGGGGCGGGAGATTCAACTTCTAGAGCAGACTGGAGTAGTCTGTTCAACCAACTGCCCGACACGCCGACCTTCCCGTCCCGGCAAATTTCCCGGCAGACACCGTCAGTAGCAAGAAGTCGGCAAATGACAAAATCGCTGTCGTTTCCGGAGCACCAGAATAGTACCTCCTCCGAAGATCATCATTATCATCATCCCGCCCAAGCCGCGGCGAACTCGATCCTGACTCACTTTAGCTCTACTGATGCAGGTACTATTTTGGACCACGACCAGCACCAACCCCAGACCAGCTGCTCCTTCAGTTCCAGTGCCAACAGTACCTGGCGCAGTCACACCCATCTGCACCGCGAACACAAAACGTTGAGCTTCCCCTCGCAGCTTTTTGAGTCACTGAAGAAATTGGAATTCGAACAGCAGAACAGTGACAGGAATCATGTTGATCAGAGGGCCCCGTCGGTGGAACAGCAGCAACAGCACACGGTAAACATGAACACCACGTCTCCGGGCTCGGTCGCCACGCAGCACAATAATATCAGCTACACAGGGCAACAAATCACGACGACCGTAGGAACTACTTCTCACTTGGAGAAGCAGCACATGCTCCGTGCGGGGATACTCGCGCCCAGGCTCGTATGGGAGTGTCAGGATTGAAATCGACGAAATTGAAATGAGTTGTCATGCGTAAAATGGATGCCAGTTGGAACACAGGTTCCAAGTGGCGCATGACAAATTTTGGTGGTGCCTAAATCCAGTTTGTCATGCTGTTTGGGTAAGGAGGACGCCTTTTGTGTTTGTGATGCTACTTTAGCAGCTCTGTTTCTACCCCTCAACAGGCTCGCAATCTGCCTCCCTTGCCTACTCTGCAAGATAGGCACTTTGTGGGTTGCACTTTATGCATCACAAACTATTTCAACTCTGACGATTTCAGTCCTGACGCTTCCATAGCTCGGGGCAGCAAACAGTGGCAGCAGTCAGAACTTTCTGATGCAGTTTCGCAAGATGCAAAATCGACTCGAAAGGGAGAAAGCGGCGGAAATACAGGGAGATAAAAACTTTTCCCAGCAGAACGCAAGTAAAAACAGCAGCTTTGGACGAGGCGGAGGTAATCATTTGGTCAACGCGAACAACAATAACAGTGATGAGGAAAACTATGACATCAACGACGAGGAAGAGATGCAGGATGCAAACCTGAAAAGACGGAAACAGGTGAAGAAAACAACTACTACTTCTCATTATGGCGCTCCTGGACGAGGAGGACCCGTTGCCCCGGCGATAGAAGTACAACTTATCAAACGCAAATATGTCTGGGCCTGGAAGCTTGTGATGCCAAAATGTGCATGATGGAAACACTTCCGAGTGCAGCCCAGCATGACAACTTTCCGGAGCGCTTTCTCATAGGCAGTCCGCATGAGAAACTACGTTTTTGCATGACAAAAATGGCTGCGGCTTTTGTCGGTGGGTTATGCAATACAGATTTCCCAGGAATGTAAAGCTAGCATTACAAGTTTGATTTTCCAGACCCAGACATTTTTGCAATCCATACAACTACAGCAGGAACAACAGCATCAAGCTGATCAGGAGCTGAGGAATCTGTTTAACTTACAGGACGAAAGTCAACTCGTCGCAGGCGGAGGGGAGGAGATGCCTTTTGTGGGGAGAAAAAGAAGGTAGAAGCTGCACCAGCTCGCGTTGGACGTTTTAATATCTACTGTGGCAATTATTTTTCAACATCTGAGGACTTCTAAAAACTGGTGTGAGTACTTCTAGCCGTGAAAAGATAGAGTTTTATTTCAAAACAAGAATGCGAGCTTGAAGAACTTTACGTTCTCGTGCGTCGATCGCGTTAATTCATCATGCAAAAAAAAACATGTCAGCACTTACTAGCTTGTCCTCGAGATGAGAAGACCACAAGAAACTACTGTACACATCGATTTTTCGAACACGATACGCATAAAAGCTGTATCGCCACTGGCGACAGCACACGATATTACTAGAGATAACTTTGTCGAAGATCCTCGTGTAGTTCCGTGGTAGTTGTCCACAAGTGACTAGGTAATTTTTCAATTGTCGTGCCACACACATAGAGATGGAGACTCAACATAAGAAACTGCGTGCTGCTCCACTATCTGTACTTTCGAGGTGGTGGAAGAATCAATTCAGATTATAGGCTGCTTCATCTTCGATAACCATCGTTCACTTTTTCTGGGGAATTACTTATTCAGAACAAGCTAGTACTAGTATAGCCGGATGAGTGTTTCTAGTACAACAGCTAAACCTCTTCTTGTCCTACCTACCGCTCTTAGAGCCATAGAAATTCATAGCATTTATTGTGTGTGGACCTGATCTAGTACAACATCAACTCATTGTGTCGTGTTTTATTCGAAGTTAACAAATACGAAGAAAATTATACCGCCCACTTTGTCCCTTCGCGTTCCGCGAGGCAAGGGCTACTATTGCGAAGGTCTTCTCGCTTGTTCGATTGCAGCGAGTTGCTCTTGGTATAAGTAGAAGAATTAGTGTTCCGCTTCATGCTGACGCCGGTGCCTTATGTTGATAAAGGCCAACAACAACTAGAAACACATCATCGATTCGGCGCTTCCTCCTCAGGTTGTTCGAAGCCAGTCGGTTGGTGCAAAGAATTCGGTGTCTTTTTTCGGTACCTACTTAGGAAGACGACTCGAACAGCAAGGGTTGCGCGCAGCTCTACGGCCGTTGCACTCCTGCGCACTTGTTTTACTTTTATTTGGTGGGGTGGGTATGAAGTAAAATTAGGTTGCCTGTGAACAAGAAAGGAAGAAACCAAACGATTTCGCAGTACTTGGTAAGTTGCAGCTCTGTAGCATCGTGGCTCAAATGTTGAATTCGATATCAGTTCAACGCTTCTGTCGTTTAAATGCAAACTTCGTCCCCAGGCTCCCATCGATTGATCATACCTATTTTTGCTATTCACTGTTGATCTGACCCATAGTCTAGTACCTCTAGATGGCAGTTTTATTTGACTTTGATCGCTAGGAAACGAAACCTTTTAAGGGCTAACGTTTTGTGCAGCATAGAGTTTCAGTAAGGAAAAGACCTAAAAAGCAGTACAGCTAGTACTTCGCTTGTGTAGCGACATAACAGAAGTAAAAAAGAAACGCACAACTTTCTAAAGAAATCTTTTTTTTGCTTGATGTCCATTGATTATGTTATGGCGCCACACATCAACGCCTGGAGTTCATCTTCGCTTTCTCTCTATAATTGTGTTGACGACCACTCTTCGTGGCCGCGCTGGTGTAGCACTGTCAGCAAACCAAAGACCAAATCATGTCCAACATGCGTCCTCGTCGAGCAAGAACCACTAGTAGAGTTCTTGTTTTTGGTTCTCGTCCCGAGATCAATATAACCAGGTCGCCGCGGTGGGTCCTCTTAGCAGGCCGCTTCCACGCTGCAGCAGCCCTGCTGTTCTGGTCGACAATTTCGTTTACCACAACGCCGTCTCGTCCTTTGTGCTCTTCCAGAACCACTTATGTGGGTCCGAAACCAAGATGCTACAATCGTTAGAATAGGAAAAAAAATTTTCGATCTCGCGGCCCAACCTTCGCAGACAACACTCGGCCGGCGACGGAGCCGCGTTTCGGGAAGAGTCTGCACTTGCACCGTGGGCCTGCGCTGACATATCGACACGATGTAGCTCCCACGGAATCGCGTGCGCGTTTTTCGCAGGCCCTTCTGCTTCGCTCTCGGATGTGGGCATCTCGTTTAGTAGTATGGGGAGAGAAATTGTGGGTGGGATTTTTCCTATGGCCGCGGGCTCGCCAAAAACGCATGACAAAATCAGGCGTGTCGTTTTCGAAAAATTCTAACGATTCTAACGATTCTAACGATTCTAAAAATAAAAAAATCACACCGGGCCGCACACGGGGGCGGCTTTTTTTTGAAATTCGGCGCAAACAGGTTCTAACGGTTCTAGTGATTCTAAATTAGAATCGTTAGAATCGTTAGAACCTGCTATAAGCGAAATCGCATTGAAAATTCCCACCTGGCCAACGCGGCCGCTTTCCGGTCGGCTTTTTTGTGAATTCTAACGATTCTAATGGTTCTAACGATTCTAATTCCGCCCTGCGACTTTTTTTTTTCCTGTTCTAACGATTCTAATTCTGCCGTGGCTCACTCTGGCGCGCGCAAAAGTTGCCTCGAGTCTGTTTCTTTCCGTTTCGTTTTCTGTAGCGTTCGATCTCGCTTTGTCGATTTCGTGATGTGATTTGGGCAATCGATTACATAGCGGGAAGCGGCGGCCGGTATGGGGAATGCCTTCGCGCTCCGACTTTTCTCTGCGTGCAGGACTCCCCGGCGGGCGACAGCCTGCGCTAGCGCTGCAAAGCCAGCCAAGGTTTCTGCCATGGCGCCGCGACCCTGCGGCGCCATATCCGGACGCCCGGCCGGTTCGGCGCGAACCCTTCGGGACGGGGACGAACCTCCGTCGCGGATTTCCCATTTTGCTGCCGAGCCTGGGCTGCCCTCTGGGTGAGATATTGGGAAGCCCTCCGCACCTGAACATCTTTTTTTTTAATTCCTATTCTAACGATTTCAGCATCTTAGTAAACGGCCCCACTTGACACCACAACGCCGTCTCGTCCTTTGTGCTCTTCCAGAACCACATTTTTGACGCCACCGGAACAGCGCCCTCCACCTGACCGCGCCGTAGTACTAGTCGCCGCCTTCCCCAGCTACCGCAGGCGACTGCCGTTACGCCCCGTGTCCGAAGCAACCGGCGGTTTAAACAACGCCTCCACGGTTTCTATCGAGGCCCAGCTATCAGAACTCCACGGGACGAGTGGGTCGTCAACAACATCCACCGGGTCAACAGCAACATCTTCCCCATACTACCGCTGGTGTCCCACGTTGGGGCATGTGACCTGCAACGGCTACCCCTTGGAAAGCTTACAGGACTTGCAGGGGGTGCAGCAGCTCCTCGGCCGTCGAGGGGACCACGCGGCGCTGTCAGCCGATAGTACAAACACCGTGTCACAGTCAGGTGGAGCAGCCTCGTCGACAAATAAAATTCCGCACCAGTTTCACCTGAATGTCTTCGGCCACGATTTTCTGACCGTTGGAAAACTCCGCTGGACCAAAGCGCTTTGCGACCTGGACTCCGACGGCGACGGATTTTCCAATGGGTTTGAACTGGGTGACCCCTGTTGTCAGGGACAGGTCCAGGTCGGGGAAAGCGTGCCGCTTTCGCATCCCGGTATCGGGAGTGATCGCCCAAGTTTGGTGTTGCAAACAGCGGTTGCGGAGGTGCAGTGTGGAGTTTTTCCAGCAGGGACGACTGGTGGAAATGGTAATCAAACCGAAAATGGCGTCGCCGCAACAAGAAATAACATCACAACCCAAACGGCAACAATTTTGTTCCAATCCACGAAAGAGTCGCTGGATGACGTAATCTTGAAGCATGGCGCTGTTCTTCCAAGTGTACTAGCGGGCACCACGGCTGAAGATGATGTTAGTATCACTGCGGTATCCTGTGCAAAAGTATCGCACTCGTATTGCAATCATGCATTACAAATCCTTTTGTTAAGGTAAATCCGCATTATCTCATACTGAGGAAATTTGTAGTGCATTAGCATTTACTTATACGAGTGCGATGCTTATGCAGTTCATATGCGGCAAGAGACAGGATCCGGACGATGTATCTCAATTACGGAGTGAATTTATATTTACCCGTGGCGATGGCAATAGCTCCTGCAGAAATAAATGATACGTGGAACAACGCGACGGCCGTTGAAGATGCGGACGAGGACGCAAGTAGAAGTGGTAATACACCCGCTGGTAAAAACAATATCTTCAAGCTCGTCGGTGCAGACACTGCATTCCAGACTCTGGTCCTGAAGCTGACGAACCAGGCTTTGACCATACCAGCTGGTGGGGCGGGCGGGTCTGCTTCATCTCCTGCAAGAACTTTTGGCCTGGTTACGTTGAAGAACGGAACAAATTCCTCAAACGAGATTTTTTCCACTGGCGGAGAGCAGGACACACGCCTTATCAAGATCCTGCCGAAAGACTACCAGTTTGACTGGAATTTCGTGCTGTATCACACCGAGTTTCTCCAGTATCTGGAAAAGTTACAGCAGCAGGAGCAAGCAGAAGCACGGGCGGAAGCGGATTCAAATAATAGTGATCAAAATAATTCCACCACACTGACGACGAGAAGCATGGTTACCGGCTTCAACATTGAATTTCAAAACCCGGAGAATTTGCACCACCTGGACATTTATGCAGTGCAAAAGAAGTATCGTACTCTGGTATAAATGCATATACAAATTTCCTCAGCATGAGAAATCGAATTTGTAATGCTGATCTACCTCAAGAAAAAGATTTGTGATGCATGAATGCAATACGAGTGCGATACTTTTGCCCAGGATCACACTTTCTGCAACTCCTACCGCCTCCCCCAACCGGAGGTTGAGTATGCGAAGAAAAAAGTGTTTAGTAAAGTCACACATCACATGGAGGTCTATGCAGAACAAGCAAGACATAGACAGATAAAAGGTCTGTCATGCCTGGTATGCTTAGCAGCTTAGTTTCTAACGTGTTGTGGTTTTCCTTAAATATGAGCTGTTCATAGCAGGTGCAGGTTTACCGTCGGTCATGCAGTAGAACAAGTTTGTATTGCTGATTGCCCAAAAACGAAGGTGTATACTGTATGTAACACTTTTTTCCTTGCATAATGAGCTAGTTTGGAACACTAGCGATCAGACGCTGCAGTTTGTCACCGCGGGCATATCACATGCAAATATGTCTGGGTCTGGAAAAGTGTGATGCTGTTTGTGCATGACACATAAGGTCGAGCATGCAAGTCCTAGCAACACAGGTTTTGAGCAGGTTAGGCGATGCCTAATCCGCATGACAAGTGCCCTCTTTTGGTGGCAAGAAATGAGCAACTTTTGCGGTCCATGCACGACAGATTTTTTTCTGGTCTCAAATACGCATCAGAAGTTTACATGTTTCCAGACCCAGACATATTTGCAATCCATAGGGCATGATTTTCAATGAAGAAAAGAGTAGTGCTGATAAAAGCGGTAACACAAACAGTACAATAACCAGTAATTCTGGTGCGACGTCGGTATTAAAAGGAATTCCTGCCACTCCTCCCGTCCTGCTTTACTCTGAGCGCCCGCAAGCACTACCAAGCGCAGCTCCCGTCCTGGAATTTCACGACGCCTATCGGTTTAACTGGACGAAAACCGTGGCTAGCTTCACCCCGGGCGGTATCAAAAGGAAAAATGCCGCCTCCCCATATCGAAAACGAGATTTCTGATGCTGCATTTGAGTACACAAATCGACTTGTATTGCTAGAAGCCCAAGAGACGCAGTTGTGGCCTGACTTGCAGGCAGTTTGTCATGCTGCTTCCCAATTCCAGTTGCCTCCTGTCATGCTGAAGATGCAAGGCTTTCCCACCACGCCAGCCAGCACTACAGTGTCTACATCTTTTGCCTTCTAGCATGACAAAGCTGATTTGTGGCCACAAACCTGCATCACAGATTTCCGTTTTGATATGGGGAGGCTTGATTTTTCCTTTTGATAGGCGGTCCGGGAATGGTGTACCGGAAAAACGCAGCGGCCGTGCACTTGGACCTAGTATGCATTGCAGAAGTATCGTACTAGTAGTAATTTTTGCATTACAAATTACCTCAGCATTACAAATTGAATTTGTAATGCTGATTTCCCTTGAGAAAAAGATTTGTAATGCATAAATGCAATTTTTCTACGAGTACGATACTTTTGCACAGGATACCTAGAAACCAGCTGCAAGAGCCTCTTTGTGAACCTGCATTACGTTCGGAGAAGCAGTGGCGCTGCTGCATTTAGTGCAACAACTCTCCAAGGCGGCACGATGACGTCGACACCACCACCAAGCAGCAACAGCATGACAAATCATTCCACGACTCCTGCTTCCGGAATGATTGCCGGAAGCGGCCCTAGCAGTTCATATTCACAGGAGCTGCATTGGCTACAACAACTGAAACCTGGGGACGGGTTTCGCATGACTATAGAAACGACCACGACGAGAAGAGCTTCAGTTGATGATGTTGCACCTCTAGTACCAGCGCCTTTGAATCAAACTACGGCCACACCAGCTGCACAGGGTTCATCTACAATTTCGCCAGAACAGCAACAGAGGTCTGAAGAAGATATCGGGATGTTTTCGCCTCTTCTCTTAAAAAATGACCCGCGGGCCACCCTCAAGAAGGTGAATCCGCGAGGTGGAGCAGGGGACGAACAGAACAATGACCAAAGGCGGCGAAAGAATCGTGGCTATTTCTTGAGTAAAACCTGCAAAATCCAGCTGACTTGCGGAGGGGGGCACAGTGGCGGTGTAGTTTCTAGCGGGAACAATGCCACAGCGATATCCTAAGTAAAAACGTCCCAACACCAGAGTCAAGATGAGAAATCCGCTAGACAAATCAGCCACCTCTGGTTGTTTCGCATGACAAGTTTATCCTCGTAGTGTAATCCTGTTTAGCTAGTTACGAAGCATCAACACAGATGTAGCACATGAGGCGGATTCTAGCATCACAACTTCCGAAACAGGATTAGAAAATGGCTCACATGGGGCTCCGCATGAGAAACTTTTTTGGCATGCAGATTTGCAGGACAACTCTGGGGTGGGGACATTTTTACTCAGGATAAGCGAACTCGTGTCCATTCAAGCTCCAGTGGGTGAACTACCACGGGCACTTATCGTACGCAAAAAGTGTTCTTTCACTGCAGCGATTTTGCATCACAAGTCCGGTCTAGATGACACAGGAAATTTGCGACGCGAGGTTCCTATAGGGAACACACGGCTAAAGATGCACTTTCCTGCATGTCGTGTAGCAAGACAGGCAGTTCTAAGATGCCTTCTCATCTGCATATAAAGGTTTACAGTGAAAGAACAGTTTTTTCTTGCGATAACACTACACGAGTTCCGAAATGTATGCCCGCCGAATAAGACCGATGGAGCCAGCTGCTGCTCCAAGAACTACTACAACCGTAGGTACAGCTAGAAGTAATGCTAATGCCGGTACAAGAACGTCGACGAGCAGTCAAAGTCAAACTCAAATAACGCAAGAATCCTTCACCTACACGGATCTGCTCTCCATGCCCTGGTTCAATTTCAACGACCAAGCATACTTTATGGCATTCTCAACTGTTACATTCTAAACTGTTACACGGATTTGTCATGCAGAGTTGCCATCAGCCTCCACTCGATCAAAGTGTTTAGCATGACAAATTTTCGCAGGGCTATGCGGCATGATAATCTGTGGCAAATCTGTAATGCGAAAGCTGCAATATTCCCACTTTTACTGTTGCTGTTCTTGCATTGCATACAGATCCATGTAACGATTGAGAATGTAACGTTTGAGAACGCCATATACTTGCCGAACTTCTTGTCCAAGGACACTGCTGCTACGACGACATCTCTACTTGCGTCAACAAATGCGAGTCTGACGAGTAATACAACCAGTACGAGGACAACATCCTCGTCAGAAGTTAGTATCGAGATCAAAGACGGAGTACGAAAAATTGCAAAAGTACCGTACTAGGTTGTAGTAGAACAAATCGCATGACAAATTTCCCTGCGCATGAGAAGTTATGGAATTCGTAATGCGGACTGACCTTAACAAAAAGATTTGTGATGCCTGGCTTCAATTAGTACGAGTGCAAGATTATACTTTTGCAATGCATACGGAGACATCATTCAGGCGGTGTGTGTTTGGGACACGCGTATCGTGAGGAAAAACGGCCTCCCCCAGCACACCAGATTTGTGATGCGTACGTGCATGTTGTTGTTGCCCAAGCAAGAGCATCATGATCTCTCATGCGGGGGCCGCTGCGCACGACAAACCACTAAGTCGTGCTTGTAAATCAAAACGTGTCAACATGCGATATTATCAGGATTAGAGAGGGGAAGCGGATTTGTGTTGACGCCTTCTGGACTAGATAGCAAGCACGAAAGAACTGTGTCACGGCTTGTCATGCGGTTGTACTCCCCAAACAAGTTCTGAACTTGTCTCGACCCTGGGGTAGCGGGGACCAGGTCCTTCCTCAGGATACCGTGACTAGGTTATAATTTCGCCCAGAGCGCCGCGAATGCAACAGCAACTCTCGAGCAAACCCAGCAGAATCTGCTCCCATTTGGATTTCAGGAAGGAGCGGAAATGTGTATCCACTTATGGCTCTACACACCAAGGTCGACGGCAGTAACGTGTGAACCAATAGAGAATGTGCACGCGACGAGCAGCACCGTAGGAACAGCTTTGTCACCACTTACACTTCCTCCTACGTCGTATGGAAGCCTCAGAATGGAAATCCTCAAAGTGGAAATGATTTGCGATGCATGAAATGCGAGAACGCAATGGAGGCCGACTATTGTGCTTCTACGGGCCCAGAATTGGGTTGGTGCTTAGACGGGCACCCCTTTGCCTAACTAGCATTACAGACGCGTTTTGAGTGCTCGGGAAATTTGTCATGCCCCGACTAGAAATGGTGCTTCGACTGGAGGCGTCTTTTTGCATCACAAACTATTTCCACTTTGAGGATTTCCATTCTGAGGTTGTCATACGTCGCTGAAAAACCAGGACCTCTACCTTTTCGGGGAGCTGCCGGCGCGGCGGTGGCCCCGCGATATGGCCTGATCAAATCGGTTACCATCTCAAACGATGCAATGAATAGAATCTGGATTTTGTATTGCATGGTGAGCATGACAGAGTCAGGCAGCATTCCACGTTCTGCAATACAAATTTCGCCAGATTGTAGTGCGGATTGGAACTCCAGAACTTGTCATGCGCAATCCTATGGGAGTCGGCTAGATCATGCAGTTCTTGCATCACAGATTTCTAGACTCTATTGGAACGCTTGAGATTGCAACTACAGCTGAGCAGACTATACGCGAAGGTGATGTTTTTTCGGAAGTACTAGATGACATTTGGAATACCATTCCGGCTGCACGGGTAGTAGTAGATAATTCTCGAACTACGGGTAATAGTAGTACTGTGGAGGTACTATTAGCCACGCCGCCGTCGCAAGGAGCTCCTGCCACTTCTGGTGGAAAAAGTCTAAGTGAAGCGCTTACCGCTTACCCCTTCGTGCGTGAGGTTTGGCGGGAAATCAAGAAAAGAAGTGGTGGTAGTACAGCCAGCAACTATGCATCGTTTTGTAAAAGTCTTGTGTCGCACTAGCTGCAGTAGGACAGATTGCATCACAAATTTTATCAAATGAAAAACTGGAAGTTGCCATGCAGATTCACCTCACAGAATCAGGAGGAAGTGAAAGTACTAGAAGTAGATTCATCTGTCGTCGATGCATAACTGCAATTTCGTTATTTCATTTAGTCCGACCATGACACGTTAAGGTTTGCAATGCATAGCGACAACTCGTCAACGTCAACGAATGATCCCGGCGCTACAGCGACCTGCATCCCAGTGACTGGCAACTACGACCGGGCATGTGCGTTGGAGCCTGTGCTGATTCGCCGGAATTACGAAATTTTTGCCTCCAGTGGTGACGAGGCTTTTTCTACTTCGGGAGACGAGGCGCTGTTGACCTCCTCCGCTGCCCGGGCAGCCAGCGGACGCGCGGCGCGACATTCTTTATTTCAAGATGCCGTTCCGTTTGTTCTGATTTTTCTGGCGCTATCAATATTTATTCCCTCGCAGGAGCCTGTGAAAATCGCAGAAAATAAGATTAAGCAGCCTCAAGGATCATGAGAAGTTTGTACACATACTCAAGGGCAAAGAGGAAGGTGAAAATATTTATCAACACACTCATATACGTTTTTCTTCACAATAAAAGTGGAATCAGGAGGTCAGTTCCAGTTGTCTCCGAAGGCGATTTCGGAAACGACGCTCGCTAGAAGTACAACTACACTGTGTTCCTTTTTCAGCCACAAACGCCCGCGACACAAAAATTGTGGCGCGCGCGAGGTGGATTCATCTTCTTTTACTATCTACGGTTCCTGCCTCAAGAAAACTGCAAAGTGCCGTGTTCCGTGGTGGCTCTGCTGATGCTCGTAGTTCCGGTCCACTATACCACGCGGCATAATATTATCCACGAGGGTATGGTTGGACGCACAGAGCATCATCGCAGAGATTCTGGGTTCTTCGTTCCTCGGCTGTTCATCGTTCTCTTCCAGTTGGCCTTTCAGTGAGTGTGTATTTTCCAAGTTGATGCTCTGAATGTGATAAAAATAAAATTTTGAATTTTCGCGGATTTGGGAAGACGATAAAAATAAAATTTTAAAATTTCGCGGATTTTGAAAATCCATAAAAGCGAAAATCTTGGTCGAACATGTGGTGAAGGGTTGAAATTGAAGGCGATAAAAATAAAATTTTAAGATTTCGCGGATTTGTTATTTAACCTTTTTGAAAAGAATGCTTTGAAACAAGCAGAGCACTGCAGCCGCGTGATATGATATGAGAAAAAGCAAGTTCCTTAGTTCTTGTGTTAGCCATGCTTGCTCGTTCTCGGTGTTTTCTCATTGGTGTTGCAATAAAAATAAAATTTTGAATTTTCGCGGATTCGGATTCGCGAACTCAATTGAAGATGATAAAATAAGTTTGAACAAAATGCATCTGGTGTCGTGGTGCTCTTGCTCCGTACATGATCTTCGATCGCGCAATTATAGTCTGCTTCTCCTATCTCGACTAAGTTCAACCTGCATCAGTATCGTTCTATGGCGGGGAAAATTCAAATTTGTGTCGTACAGCCACGAGTAGAGCTATCGTTGAGGGAGAGAGAATCAGAAGGATTTATTGCAAAGAAGGTGCGCTTCGTGCTCGTCGATTTGGCATCGTCGGCGGCTCCTCGGCCGCCAGGCATGACAGGAGAGGACTCGCAAATTTCCATACGCAAAAAGTAAAAGACGACCTCTAGCTCTCTTTGCTTCATTGTTATTCATCGAAAATTTGAAGATTTTTGATCAAAAAAAGGTGTATGATGTAAAAACGTGTAGCCTTTTAGTAGTTCCCGGTAGAAGTGCTGCTTGCGTTGCCTTTTAATCTACTTCTCTTTCACAACAAGAAGCAAAGCATGGCCTCCGCAATTCTGAATGATTTTTTGAATGGACCGCTCCGGTCTGTTTCCGAAGCGTTGTTGGCGCCCCAGCCCTTCTACGGCCGCAAGTACTACTACGACGAGTGCAAATGGGGTAAGGCGACCAGCAACGGGCAGTTTTACCAGCAGTGCAACGAGCGGGCGGGTCCGGAGCCAAGGTTCGTGCCCACTATGCATTGCAAATATCGATCTGGGTCTGGAAAGCTGTAACTTGTGATGCTGCACTTGCATACTGCAAAAATCTGTATTGCATGAACATCAAAAGAGGTTCAGTTTTTGCCACGGCGAGGGCGCATTTCTCATGCAGTGTAGGCATCAGGAAGCTGTCACAAAATCTGTGATGCTGGGGCATGCATCACAGCCGTCAGGAGTCACGCAAAACGTGCATGACAAACCTTGCATCCTTCCAGAAATCCAGGGATATTTGCATTTGATACCCACCGACAAGGACGAAGCGACGTTTTTCAAGAAGATCAATGGAGACATATGCAATTGGTGGAAAAGTACAACCGTTTACTAGCTATAAAAAATCGCATGACAAATTCCCTCAGCATGAAGAGCGAAATTTGTAATGCGGATTTATTACCGTGAGAGTGCAAGTTGTAATTATTATGCATGTCTACGATTAGGATTACTACGAAAACGAATGCGGTGCTTTTGCATTGCATAAGACAAAGTGTCCAACGACCGGAAACTCGCGCTGCTGATGGAGCCTGGCTATGAATTGCAAGAGTATCGTACTAGTATAAGTCGCATGACAAACTTCGATTTCCTCAGCATGAGAAGTAAAATTTGTAATGCGGATTCAACTCAACATGGAAATTTGTAATGCACAAATGCGATTAGTACGAGTGCGATACCTTTGCAATGCATACTGGCCAGGGCGACGCGGTCGAGGCGGCGGCGAAACTGGGGCTGAAGCTCCCAAAGCACGTGTCCGCGGCGTACTATCACGACCGGGTGGAGGAGTACGCCAGCGCGCTGCGGTCCAGCGTGACCAGCCACAACGGGAAGAATTCCCGGCTGTACCCGCCAACAGCGGGGATGCAGGACGCGGGAAACTTGGAGCAGCCCATCTTGGTGGTGGACGAGATCTCTCCTACGATTGAATCCACGGACCTCATGGACTTTAACGCGAGCGTCGATTCTGGGTATTTCTGCAAGTCCCCCAACCGCATCGCCGACGACGTTATCTATCCGGAGGCTAACGGCGCGGGTAACGACAGCACGACCACCTCATGGCTAGCGCAGAAACTGCACAAGGTGAAGAATTTCTTCCACCCGGCCGGCAGCAAAGCGGTCGCTTTTCACCCGACGTTCACGTTTCGCGACCCGATCCCGGGGCTGCTCCACGTCAAGATGCGGGATCTCACCACTGGCGCAGTGCACTGGGATCAAATTTTATGCATTGCGAAAGTTTCGTACTCCTACTCCTAGTGTTCGTATTGCAATACAACTTAGGTCAGCATGACAAATGGAATTTCTCATGCTGATTTAGCTTGAGGAAAATATTTGTCTTGCATGACTGCGATCAGAAGCACGAGTGCGATACTTTTGCACACGATAAATTTTCAAGATGAACTACTCCACGGTGCTGGACGAAACCACGGAACCACTTGCGCCGGGGGAACACGAAGAAGCCGGCGAAAGCGATCTGCCACCGCTGACCGGAAACAACCGCCCCTTCTATCCGGTTTATCAAATGCAAATACGTCTGGATCTGGAACCGATTGTTGAGGTTTGTGCTGCTGCGTCTGCTTGACACAGAAGGCGTGGTATGGAACGCCTAGCATCACAGGTTTCGAGACGGTGTCCCGATGCCTGATCCGCATGACAAGCGCCTTCTTTCGGCGAGAGGACAAAAAGCTCCTTTTACTGTCCAAGCATGACAGATTTTTGTGTGAAGATCCAAGTATGCATCACAAGTTCGCATCCTTCCAGACCCAGACATTTTTGCATTTGATACGGTTTGCCCGGACGCGAAATCCCTGAACACCTTTCACCAGTTATCAAAATGAAAAATCCCCCCTCCCCATATTGAAACGGAAACTTCTGTTGCTGGATTTGTGTACACAAGTCAGCCCTGTCTTGCAGCGAGGCACTACAGGCAAAGCCTCAGCCTGCGTAGGGGTGTTTTGTGGTAGGCTCTTGGCACCAGAGAGGCCTGCCATGTAGGTGAAACAGCATTACAAATCGCCCCCATAAGGCGGCGGATTCTTTGGGTTTGCCTTCTTGCAAGACAGATGTGATTTGTGACCTCAAATCCGCAACGCAAATTTTTGGACACATTCTTTTTCGATATGGGGAGGGGGGATTTTTCCTCTCAATACCAGTACGAGATCACGTTCAAACAGGTGAAACCCTACCGGCGCCAGTACACGGACGCACAGTGTTATGGGGGTGTCAGGATTGAAATCGTCAAAGTTGAAATAGTTTGCCATGCATGAATTGGATGCCAGTCGGAACCCAGTTTCCAAGTGGCGCACGACAAATTCCGGCGTTACCGCAATCCAGTTTGTCATGCTGTTTAGGCAAAGAGGACTGATTTTCTCATGCTACTTTAGCAGCTCAACCTCTAACCCCAAACAGGCTTACAATCGGTCTCACTTGGTTGCTCTGCAACACACGTAAGTCGCGTCATGCATTTTATGCATGACAAATCATTTCAACTTTGTCGATTTCAAACCTGACGCTTCCATAAGTGTCGGCAAGCGGCGCTGAAGCAGGAGTTTCAAAATTACCATGCTGAAATATGAAATGCAAAAGCATCGTACTCGTACTAATCGCATTTTTCCTGCATTACAAATTTTTTTCTCAAGTTCAATCCGCATTACAAATTTCATTTCTCATGCTGGGGAAATTTGTGATGCGATCCATACTAGTACGATACTTTTGCAGTGCATATGAAAAACCGAAAGCTGATGAGGATGCTGTCGAGGATAAAGTTTCTCGCGGGCCGGCGGTGCCGTGGCTTCTGGACTCCCGCAGGAGCAAGGGTGCAAATAAAACCTCCTCGTCCGACGATGAAGATGTTGACGCAAAGTCTTTCTTGGAGCTTAGCAAGGAGAAGTTGTTGTTCCCCCACGACGGAGGATACCCAGCCGCGACAGATACTTCTAGCAGGACGGGGACATCGGGCGGTAGAACTTCTCCAACTGCTTTGCTACCTCCTTCCGCGGGCGGCGGAAAACTACATCAAAATGGAAGTAACCACAGCGCGGCTGCCGGCTTCGGAGAAGATGAAGATGACAAAATGAATCTCGGTACAACTAAAACAACATCAATTACAACTCCGCCTGATGTTGAAATGAAATACGGCAATAAAGGCAAACCAGCACGAATACAGCAAGAAGAACATCAGCCAGAGCTCGTCCAGCAGCCCGGGCAGGGCTTGGTCGTCGTTGAAAATGGGTTCTACAAAATCGGAAGATTTCTGTTTGGTAGACGACCAGGAGGCGGGGACGAGCAGATAATGAAAACTGCACTCGACGATGGCAACAACTCGGTTGGCGGGGACGAAGTTGTAACTGCGAATGAAAAGACGAGTTTTGAAAATAGCACTAGAAGAAATAATACAACCGATGTTCTTGCACCACTTCCATCATCGGCTGCATCTTCTTCAGCCACGTCCTCTACTTCTAAATCATCTTCCCGCCCACCACCCGAAGTCGATTCGTTCTTCCTGGTTCCGTCGGAAAGGAAAAACCAAATCTTGCGCAACGCGGGACGGAATATCCAGCTTTTGGCGCCGCCGGGGGCACCTCCGACGGTGAACTTCGCGACAGCACCTCCTCTCGCGGGGGACAAAAAAACCGCTTTCGGCGTTTTCCAGAACGTGCTCGACTTGAGCGGGAAGCTCACGGAGGGCATGTATCATATGTAAAAACGTCCCCACCCCATAGTCAACTTGGGAACTTAGCAACACAAATCCAGAAGTTTTGAGAGCCACGCATGACAAGCTGCAGTCCGTAGTGTAGTGCATGTCAGCAAGGACAACCGCATCACAAATCCATCTGCTTATGATCCTGTTTTCTGCATTACAAATTCCAGAGCGCGATTGGAAATGCCCCTCATCATGGAGATGCGCATTACAAACCTTCTTGTAATCGCAAAGCTGCATGACAACTATGGGGTGGGGATGTTTTTACTCACGATAGCATGGCCGGAACAGCCGGGGGAGGGGGCGGGGTCAATGGCGAAGATCTCGAGGATATGGATTGCAACTGTGTCTGAATCTGGAAGAGTGCAACTTGTGATGCTGCATTTGGATTCTAGAAAAATCTGTGTTGCAGCATGAGCAGCAATGGGAATGTAATTTTTGCTACGTAGAGAGCATTTTTTGTCATGCGGAATAGGCATCAACATCAAGAAGCCCGGAAAAAATCTGTGATTCCAGGGCATGCGTCACAGACCGTGTTTATAAAAGTTTCGTTCCATGTCTATTTCGCATCACAAAGTATCCAGACCCAGACGTACTATTTGCATTGTCGATACAGGAGACCTGCGGAGAAAAGGGGGGTTGGACCAGTGACGCCAATGAGTATACGGACTTAGTCGGCCGGGTGCTGCTATCCTGTGCAAAAGTATCTGATAGATACTCGTATTGCAATCATGCATTACAAAGTTCCTTTTTTTAAAAGGTAAATCCGCATTACAAATTTCACTTCTCATGCTGCGGAAATTTGTAATGCATTTATACGAGTACGATACAGCTTTTGCACTGCATAGCTGCTCACGGAAGCGCATTCCACCGCCCTTCCCTTCGATCACACCATGATGTGAAATATGGCGTTCTCAACTGTTACATTCTCAACTGTTACATGAATTTGTGACGCAAGACTGGCAAAAGTGAAAGGAGGAAGATTGCGCCTTTTGCATTACAAGCCTGGCGCAGATTCAGATGCTGTCTAGCCCTTGCGAAATTTGTCATGCGAAGCAGCTCGATCATCTGCCGGCTTAAGGTGCTTTTGCATCACAAATCCATGTAACGGTTGAGAATGTAACGTTTGAGAACGCCATGGGCTAAAACGGAAAAGAGCTGTGATGTTGAGGCTGTTCTGTGAAAAGATATTTTTCTTGCTCACGACACTGACAATGTTCTGACACAGACACAGCACGCAGATTGCTGTTAGCCACGCCTTCAATAGCTGTAGCAGCTCGGGAGGAGCAAAAATGTTGACCGGGCGGGAGCTTTTTTTCACAGTCGAATGAGAAGTTGTTGAAAAGTGTAGAATTTTAGCTGGTAGAATTGTTTGAATTGTATGATCCTGCGCAGCTCGTCGCTTCAGGAACAAGGACCATTGTTGTACGCATCTGCAAATCTCGAAGAGTTTTGTGATTCTTGTCCGTAACAGGCTACATCTTAGGAGCGAACTTCCTTTGATGCGAACACTGCGCGACAACACGAGTTGTTCTGCCGTATGCAGCATATTTGTCTTGTGTGCTAGGTGAATCGACTGCGAGGACCTGCTCCAAATGCAACCAGCAAACAAAAGAATGCAGATTCTCAACAATACGGCGCTAAGAACCACCACGAACTCGGTTTTGTGCGGTATTAGTGTGTTTGTTTTCGGTGTAATCACGAAGCAAGAATGTATTCGCAGGATCTTGTTGCTCTCAGTCTCAGACTCAGTCAACAGACAGGGAGGTTATTTTGTTCGTCGACGTGTCACAAGAACTTTCAACATGTTCACTGTTGTTCTGTGGGCGTACTACAACTAAATCATTTGTCAACGTCGCAGAGGACCGCGCATGACGACGAGGCAAGCCTGCTAGACATGCTCTTACTATGAGGAGAGGCTACGGCTAGAAGCATAGAGCATTCGTCGCTTACAACAAGGGTATACTAGAACAACAAGAACCGAAAGAGCGTCGTCGAAGCGTATAGTATTCTTGAACAAGTAGAAACTACTTCATGTCGTGAAAACTGTGGTCGTGGTGGGGTATTCAGTGATGCACTAAGGAGATCATAGTGAAACAAATCACGAAAAAAAACTTGTCCTGCACTTGCTTCTACGTGGTACAACTAGTGATCGTAGCGAGTGTTGATGAGCGAAGCAACGGTCAGTCGTGCCTGTATTTGAATATTCATTGACCTCGTCCGATCAAGTTGTAGTTCTAGCTCTACGTAGTCGTAAAACCACCTTCAGTCGGAGAGACGAGTAGGTAAATACTTCTAGAGAACAAGCACTTTGATAAATTTTTGCATGGAAGCTGTTTATCATAGATGAAGTATGGCGTCTTAGGCACAGTTTTATTTGAAGTTCTTGTACATGCTACTTGTCTACTTCATGACAACATCCACATCAGAATAAGACAGGGACCGACTGTTGTTTTTTTTGACCGGAACTACTACAGTGCTGGGTCATCAACAAATATATGGCGGGGAGAAAGAAAAGAAAACTCAAACAAAACCGACCACAGGGTGACGAGAAAAAGATGGATTTGCTTTTACAAATCTAGTAGGGAACCAGAGCAGTAGAAACACGACCTTATCGTGAATAAGATTGATCATGCCGGAGCAGCTGCAGCAGCAGTCTTCCGCAGCGTCCAGTGCTGCTGCTGCGCATCACCAAAACAGCAATCCAAATACACCCTATATCCCGGAGAGCGAGACGCCGCGGTTCAAGAATCTCGGGTTTCAGGGGCTGTTGCAGTTGGCGCAGAAGGCAAATCCGGTGCTGCTCGACACTGCGGTTACGAGGATAAGTGACGGGGATGGGTACGACGTTTTGCTCGAGGACGGTTTCGATATCCTTTGTAAAAGTATTGTACCCGTATTGCAATCATGCATTACAAATCTTTTTCTTAAGGTAAATCAGCACTACAAATTTTATTTCTCATGCTGAGGTGGACGAAATTTGTAATGCATCTATCGCAGTTGTACAAATTTGTCTTTGTCATGCGACTTTTCCTCTACTAGTACGATTTACTTTTGCAATGCATATTCGACCGGACCCTACAACACTCCACAAGCCAGCTTATCAGCGAGGGTATTAGTCGCGTAGTTGTAGTTCAACATCACTTCACCATGCGTTTGCATTTATTTTTTCATATTTTATTTCAACGTAAAGTCGTTTGTCATGCAGTTGCAGATTGAACATCAACACTTATACATGGCAAAAGTATCGTACTCGTAGTAACAATTGCAATACAAATTAGCTCAGCATGACAAAGGAAATTTCTCATGCTGATTTAGCTTGAAAAAGAAATTTGTCTTGCATGGCTGCGATTTTTCTTGCTAAAATCACTTTAAAATTCTGATCAGGTGACCCTTCCTCCCCGAAGTCTGCTTCGGGTACCAAGAAGAAGCTCCGACACGGAAAATCCTCTGGTGACGTCGGGAAGTTGGAACGGCAAGTATCCCAACTCGAGGCGAAGCAGAAAGCCACCGACAAGAAGCTGAAGGAAGAAAAACGACGAGCGGTGGCGCTGGAAAAAGAGTTGGCGAAACTGCGGGTGGACAAAACCGAATATGAGAATCAGCTGTTCCAGAAAACCATCGACCTGTCGGCGTTGAAGAAGGAACGAGAGCTGGACCGACGGGCTTTCGACGCGGACTGCAAGAAGAAAGAGGTGTTTCTGAAGAAGCTGCTGCTCATATGAAATTGCACAAGTCCCCGTCCCCCTCATTTGTATGGCATCAACAGCATTGCAAACACCAGCACAAGTGCACCCTGTGCATGACAAGTTCATGATGCGCCGATTGTACTACTGTTTGGATCATTTCCGGAATTTGTCATGCACGCGGTGAAACAAGGTAGCAAGTGGATTTGGGTTTTTGCATGACAAATGAGGGGGAGGGCGGGGAGTTGTGCAGTGCCATAGCTCACGAAGAAGGAAATTTTGAAGGACCTGAAATTGAAGATCCGCCCAAAAACCGCCTTATCCTGTGCAAAAGTATCGTACTTTCGTATTGCAATCATGCATTACAAATCTTTTTGTTAAGTCAAATCCGCATTACAAATTCTATTTCTCATCATGCTGAGGAAATAATTTGTAATGCATTTATACAAGAATCGGATAGGATACTTTTGCAGTGCATACGCCTCCTTGAAAGACGCCGGAGGGGTCCACATAGATGAGTTAGCACTGGAGCGCCGATATCAAGTGCAAAAATGTCTGGGTCTGGAAGTAGAATGCAAGTTTGTCATGCTTGTCACGCGTGGCTCGAGAATCTGTGTTGCATCGGCACGAAATGGCCCTCTTACCTGTCATGCAAAAACGCAGTTTGCCATGCGGAATACGCAAGACATTGCAGCCAAGATGAAATTTGTCAGGCATAGCTGCGTATTGCAGCGCATCTAGCATTCACTTGTAGCATTTGCATTACAAGTTTCCAGACCCAGACACTTTTGCATTTGATAGCCGACCACTGTCCGCGTCGAAACCGGTGCCGCAGTTTTCCGATGGAAAGAACATACTAGAACGACTCCAGGGGGAGGACACGGAGAATCTATGAAAGTGCACAACCCCCCCTCCCCCTCATTTGTCATGGTGCAAAATTCCAAGTCCACCCTTTACCTGTTCGCACTGTTTGCATGACAGATTCCGGCAGCACTACAATCCTCTAGGAATTTGTCATGCAAAAGTTGCATCTTTGCCAGCGCTTGTGTTGCCGTTCATGCAACACAAATGAGGGGGAGGGGGAGTTGTGTGCTCTCATAGAATCTCCTGTCCTTCTACAACTTGAAAGGAATCATGGGCACCGGCGATATCGTGAGGAAAAATCCTGCTCCCTCCCCATATCGAAAAAGAAATTTGTGTTGCTGTATTCGAGTACACAAATCGCTTTGTATTGCTAGAAGGCCAAGAGACGAAGCTGGTCCCTCTTTTGCAGGCAATTTGTCATGCTGTTCCCGTTTCCAGTTGCTTCCTGTCATGCTGAAGACGCAAGGCTTTCCCGCGCCAGCCAGCACTACAATCCGCATCTCTTCCCTTCTAGCACGACAAAGCTGATTTGTGGTCACAAATCCGCATCACAGATTTCCGTTTTGATATGGGGACGAGGCGGGATTTTTCTTCTTGATAGGCGAGGGGGTGACCTCCACGAGACCACAGTCCGCGGCTATTGCAAGGAAAAACCCCCCTCCCCATAATGTCGAAAACGAAATTTGTGCTGCTGTAGTTGACTACACAAATCGACGTGTGTTGCTAGAAGGCCAAGACCCGCAGTTGTGGTCTCGTTTGCAGGTGGTTTATCATGCTGTTTCCCACTTCCAGCTGCCTCCTGTCATGCTGAAGATGCCAGGCTTTCCCCCGCCACCCAGCACTACAGTCCGCATCTTTTGCCTTCTAGCATGACAAAGCTGATTTGTGTACGCAAATCCAGCACGAGAAATTTCGTTTTGATATTGGGAGGGGGGATTTTTCTTCTTGAAAGCGGCGTCCCGGTCTTCCTACGCGACCGGCACCACGGGGGCTCTACTGAACAATAACCGCTACAGTGGCAGAGTGACCCTCCCCATGGCGGGAGGGGGCGTCGCGGTAGAGCAAAGTGATATTCATTGCAAATATGTCTGGGTGGTCTGGAAGGTTGCAACTTGTGATGCTGTCTCTGCATTCTAAAAAAATCTGTATTGTATGACCAGCAAGTAGAGGGGTCCAGTTTGTGCTACGTGGAGAGAGCATTTCTCATGCGGAATAGGCATCAGGAAGCCCTCCAAAAATCTGTGATGCTAGGTTGTGCAACATTACAGGCGTCACGGGTCATGTAAGATTTGCATCACACGTCTTGCATTCTTCCAGACCTCCCAGGCAGTATTTGCATTCCATAAGTGAGGAAGAGCCACCACCACCGGTAAACCCCATGCCGCTGCAGGAGGCGTGGAGCCAGAGTGTGGGGAACGCAAAGTTATCAAATGCAAAGATGTCTGGATGTCTGGGCGGAGGTTGCGAGATCATTTGTCGTGCTAGTCGGGCATGACTCTGAGCTCTGTATTAATTCCGTGGCCGCAAAGAGCACGTCTTGCCTGTCATGTAAATAAAACGCAGTTTCTCATGCGGAGTTATTTGCAACTCAGAATCACGGAAAGAGTTGTCATGCTGGGCAGCGCATTACAGTGTGCTCACTATTCCCTTTCTTGCATCACAAGTTTCCATACCCAGGCAAAGGCATTTTTGCAATGCATAAAAGTCCTCATCCAACAATAACCTTGGAACAAGCGGCGCGACCAGCAGCTCGTCGAGACCCGGTACGGGCCGCGGCGGGGGAAAGCAAGGCGGGAGTGGCGGCGGCCTGGCGGCGCTGAAGGGAGTAAATCTAAACATATGCATTGCAACAGTATCCGATACTAGTATACATAGATCGCATGACAAATTTCCTCAGCATGAGAAATAAAGATTTGTAATGCGGATGGACCTTGAGAAAGAGATTTGCAATGCAGGAATGCGATTAGTACAACGAGTGTGGTGCTTTTGCAATGCATAAAACAAGGACGTGGACGATTTACTGAATGAACAGGAGTATCCAGTGCAAGAAAAGGATCGTACTCGTATAAATGCATTAGAAATTATTTTCTCAGCATGAGAAATAAAATTTGTTATGCGGATTGACCTTTAGAAAAAGATCTGTAATGCAAGGTTGGAATTACTACGAGTACGGTCGCGATGCTTTTGGATTTCATAAGGAGGAGCAAGGGGAGCCGGACGACGAAACAAAAAAGCTATCCTGTGCAAAAGTATCGTACTCGTATTGCAATCATGCATTACAAATTTCCTTGTTAGGTCAAATCCGCATTACAAATTTTATTTCTCATGCTGATGAAATTTGTAATGCATTTATACGAGTGCGATACTTTTGCAATGCATAAAAGCCACTCTTCAGCAATATCCTGTGCAAAGATAAAGAAAAGCATCGTACTCGTACGCAACTTCCCAGGAATGCATTACTACAAATCGCGATCTTCAGGTGAAACCGCATTACAAGAAATCTTAATGCTTCTCAGGCTCTACTAAATGTCATGCTATTCGTACTATGCGATACTTTATTTCCTTTTGCACTGCATAGGCAAAGACGACGTGCAATTTCTGGCAGAGGAGTTCAAGAAACTGGACCAGCGGTTTGCCATCGCGAGCATCGACCGGCAGGAAATGGCAAAAATTCAGGCGGAGCTGGCAGTAAGCAGCGAGAAAGCGAGCGACTTGGAATCGACTTGCAAGGCAGCGCGGGACTTGATATGCATTGCAGCTACGTCTGGGTCTGGAATAAACTTGTGATGCTAGGCTACGAGGAGTGACTGCTCTGTGATTTTGTACAGCCAAGCATTATGAGAAATAAGATATACGTGTCGCGTCGTGTAGTTGCTCTTTCCGCATGACAAAGTGTGTTTTTGCGTGACAACAAGCAAAAGCATCTCTTCATCTTGGACACGACGCATCACAAACTCTTCAGTCATGCCAGACAAGCATGGCAAACAGTTGCATTCTACTTCCAGACCACCCAGACATATTTGCATTGGATACTTGACGCAGAAATACCAAGTCGAAAAAACCAAATTGGAGGACGGCATGAAGAGAAGCAAATCGGTACCATCAAAATTTTTGTTTGTCATTGTCATGCGAACAACAAGAGTGCTAATATAGTGTCAATAACCTCTGTAGTCAACATCATGCGGTCTGTATTCACTACCAACACAAAAATTATTAGGTCGCCACCAAGTTGGCAGAGCGAGCGAACCTGGAGGACCAGCAAAATGACAGGGTACGGAAAACTATGAGAGTGTACAACTCGTACCCCTCCCTTTCATTTGTATGACATGAACAGCAACACAAACATAACTACACGTGGAGCCTGTGCATGACAAATTTATGTACCTACTGCTACTGTAGTAATGTTTGGGCTTCCAAATAAATTTGTCATGCAAACAGTCCCACAACGCAGCGATTGGGTTCTGTTGATTTTGCATGGCAAATGAGGGCGAGGGGGGGTTGCGCACTCTCATAAAAACGGTGAGAAAACATGAAGACCACATTGCCTACCTTAAAAACCAGATGAAGGAAGCCAACGAGAAAAACGGAAAAGCTATAGCGAGAAAAAACTGTTTCACTGTGAACTTGTGATGCAGAAAATGGAACACAGAACTATTTGTCTTGCTACACGACCTGCAAGACATTGGATTTTCAAACGTGTTTTCGTCCCCTGGGAAGTGCGCGTGGCAAGTTTTCTTTGTCATGTAGGAGGAACTTGTGAAGCGAAACTCACAAAATGAAAATCGTCACAGTGAAACACTTTTTTCCCACGATAAAAGCGATCAAAGATCTACAGGCCGAGAACAGTAACCTGCGCAAGAAAAATATCGTACGAAAAAAGTTTGTCACAGTTACTAACTTGCAGGTTTTGCATTACAAATTTTTTTAGCATCACAAGTTTTCCTTGTATTGCAGAAACACTAGGAAAATCCCCTATGAAGCTTGGCTGTGATGCATTTTTACGCATGACAGAAAATTTTGTATTGCAAGGATGCGCATGAGTGATCGTGACGAACTTTTTTTGTTTGATAAAAAACATGGAGCTGGAGCAGCAGCTGCGGACCATATGAACTGCAAAAGTATATCGTACTCGTATAAATGCATTACAAATTTTCCCAGCATGAGAAATTGAATTTGTCATGCGGATTTACCTTAAGAAAAAAATTTGTTATGCGTGACTGCAATTACTACGAGTGCGATAGTTTTGCACAGGATAAACCATATCGTCGAACAACAAGCAGCTGGAGAAATCCATCAACGAAAAGCAAACTGAGGTCGGGCTTCTTATGGCGTTCTCAAATTGGTTACCCTTACCCTCTCAGCTGTTGCGTGATCTGTCATGCAAAATTACCATCAGAGCCGACACGGCCAAGCAGCTTCGCATGACAAATTCTCGAAGGAGTGGCAAAGAGGCTGATAAAAATCTGTGCCATCAAATCTGTGATGCAAGACGCGCAAGATCCCCCCCTTTCATCACTCTTGCCCTCCGTGCATCACAAATCCGTGTAACAGTTGAGACGGTAACCGATTTGAGAATTCCATACTTGTGGAGCAGTGGCGGTCTCTATGACAGTGCACAACTCCTCCCCGTCGTTCTCATTTCTCATGCAAAATACCAAATCCACGGCCACGCTTTCCCTCCTGTCACTATTATGCATGACAAGCTCTGGTATCCCAAGTAGCACTGGTGATGTACTCCAGTGCAACTTTGTCATGCAAATCCGGCACTCTTGCTGACGGTTGTATTGCTAAATATATAATGCTATACAAATGAGGGGAAGGGGGAGCTGTGCACTGTTATAGTCTCGTTCGGGGGAGTACTTCCGCGAAAAGTACGACTACGAGAACTCGCGGATTACCAAATGCAAATATGTCTGGGTCTGGAAGAATGCAGATTTTTCTCATGCTGTTTTTGCATGACACAGCAGGTCTGTTATGGAAGTCCTAGCATGATCACAGATATTTCATCGAGAACGTTCGGCAATGTTTAATCCGCAAGACAAATTCCCCTTTTTGGTGACAGGAAGTGGGCGCGTTTTGCTGCCTATGCATGAGACGAGATTTGCGCGTCTAGTGGAATTCTCATCACAAGTTCGGATCCTCATCCTTCCAGACCCAGTCAGACATTTTTGCAGTTGATACGGATCACCAAGCTGCAAAACACGAACAAGCTGCTGCAAAGTCAGATCGCGGCGGCAAATGCCGGCTTCGACCGCTACTGCGAGCGGAAGGCGAAGATGTAGTAGTTGATGAAACGGGAACGCGATCGCGAACGGACAGAGTGGTCTACTCGAGGACCGCTACAACTACAACTACATCGTCAATAAACCTTCTACTCACTGAATTTGTTGTTTTTCAACTACTTACTTTCATCAATCTTTATCTTTAATAGTGAACCACAACCAATACCAATTGCAAATTTTTCATCACAATCTTTTTACTATCTTTAGTGCAGATATGGAAGTGTCAGGATTGAAATCGTCAAAGTTGAAATAATTTGTGATGCATAAAATGCAACCCACAAAGTGCCTGCCTTGCAGAGTAGGCAAGGGAGGCACATTGCAAGGGGGGTAGAAATAGAGCTGCTAAAGTAGCATGACAGAAGGCGTCTTCCTTGTTACCCAAACAGCAATACAAACTGGATTTAAGCACCGCCAAAACTTGTCATGCGCCACTTGAAAACTGGGCTCCAACTGGCATCCATTTTATGCATGCCAAACTATTTCAACTCTGACGATTTGTTTCAAACCTGACACATCCATAGCAGAGCCACAAAAACCAATTGCAAATTTTTCATCACAATCTTTTACTACTTTGTTCACCAAAACTATCCGTACAGTACTTCTGAAGATCATGGTGCACAGACAGTGCCATGAAGAAGGCCGTTGATGTGCATGGAACACCAGCACCACCAGAGGCGAGCATTTAGACTGAATTTTAGACACAATAAGGAGAAATATACCTCCACTCAAGTAGAGCTACCTTCAAGAAATAAAGTTTAGGCCACTTGATTTTCATTTTAGACAACTTTGACAGCGAGGAGAAGTGAAGTGCAGGATATCAGCAGTTTTTAGCTGTACTAACAGACTGTGCGCGACGGAGGAGGTGCGGGGGGGAGAATGCATTTCGAACAAACGGGCAGGTGGACGAGAGCAAGTGCTATGAGATTCGGCAATATGGTCGTGCTCTCGACGACGTCCGGTAATTATGTTGCGCCTGTTTCTAGTACTCCGCGACTTGTTATATCCTTTGAAGACAACAAGAACAGAAGTACTTCTAGACCCTGTATTTACACTACGTTGATTAGACCATTTTATTTTTATTAACTCAAGTTGGCATTGCCGTTGGACTTGGAGCACGACTGTGCGGCACCAGTACTACACCGTTTGATGCAACAATACGGTCGTAATATCTACTTCGTGCTTGATTCATCATGTACAGATTGATACGTGAATAGAAGGTGACGAAAGAAGAGAAAGGTAAAAATGGGCTCAGCCACCTCGTGTTGATTGCAGTTGTTGACTAGTATCGATCTTTGATGAAGAGGACAAGCAAGAAGTTCTGCGACGTCGCGTGTCATCTGGTTCATGACATCCCCATCAGAAAACAACGACCAATTGTTGTTTTCTTAGAAGATCTACACTAGGTCTTCAAAAAATACCAGAACGCCGAGAACGAGTGCAAGAAAAAATATAAGTGACTGTACTACTAGACCGCCGCGTGGCCTTCTAGTTGATGACGACCGAGGGCAAGAAGGGAGACCGTAGCTCTAGAATGCGTGGCTCGAGCGGGAATGAGGGACAAGAACTCGAGAGTAGATCTTGTAGTTCATCGTGGGTTATGTTTGTATTTCCTATCTTTAGGAAAGTGAACAAAGAGGACTTCATCTGATACCCTGCAACTACTACAGCACGTCGACTAAGTTGTAGAAACCAAAAGCAAAACACAAGCAAGGAGAGGAACAACTAGACCCACTAGTCTTCGTCTTCAGGGGTCGTGGTCGCAAAAGAAGAAACCATCATGCTCGGCCTCCGTCCCAACATCGCCAAACTGCCCGAGATATGCACTGCAAAAGTATCGTACAACTCGTATAGAGCCATGCATAGCAAATTTCCCCAGCATGAGAAATAAAATTTGTAATGCGGATTTAGCTTAAGAACAAGATTTGTAGTGCATGGCTGCAATTACTATGAGTGCGATACTTTTGCAGCTCATACGAGAGGGGTAACAGCTGTGCGGCAGAAACCGCAAGGAAAACCACCGGCAGCCTCTACTACGACTTTGCGGACAGAAAGGCACGAACTTTGTCGAGCGGGCAAGAACTTGCGGCCGCTGCTATAACCCGTTCAGGTGTTACAATCTCAAACGGTACAATAGAATTTGGATTTTGTGTTGCATGACGAGCATGACAGACTCGGACAGCATTCCACTTTGCGCAATACAAATTTCGCCAGATTGTAGCGCGGTTTGGGACTCCAGAACTTGTCATGCGCAAACCTATGAGAGTCGGCTACATAATGCACCTCTTGCATCACAGATTTCGATATTCTATTGTAACATTTGAGATTGTAACACCTGAGCAGATTATAGCTGCTGGTGCAACGAGTTCGACTTCCACCAAAACCACCAGATTCAAGTATCAAAAGGAAAAATCTTCCCTCCCCATATCGAAACGGTACGATTCCGAAAATTTGTGTTGCTGATTTGAGACCACAAATCGGGTCTGTCTTGCAAGGAGATAAGCGCAGAGGCTTCCGCGCCATTATGGAAGCGATTTGGCATGCTGTTGGGCCTAGGGGACGCACGTTTGTAATGCTAAACAACTAGACCCAAGCGCCCCTATCTAGGCTGAGGATCTGGCTGCGATGCCTTACTGCAAGACAGCGCGCATTTGTGTACGGAAATCCCGCATCACAGATTTCCGTGTTGATATGGGGAGCGGGGCTTTTTCATTTTGATATCAAGTCCGCAGCCGCGAAGCCGATCTCGTCGAACCCGCAGCAATTTCCAATCGCCGCTTTGTCCGCATTATGAATTGCAAAAGTATCCGATACTTGTATAAAAAATGCATTACAAATTTCCTCAGCATGAGAAAGAAAATTTGTAATGCGAATTTACCTTGACAAAATACAATTGTAATACAACGAGTATCAGATACTTTTGCACAGGATACGCATCCAGACTTGCTAAGGAAGAGCTGGATGACGGGCCTATTTTGGTGGCGTGCCATATGGGGATGTCAGGATCGAAATCGTCAAAGTTGAAATAATCTGTAATGCAAAAAAGCCATACCAGCTGGAGCCCAGTTTGCAAGTGGCGCATGACAAATTTTGGCAGCATGGAAATCCAATTTGTCATGCTGCTTGGGCAGAGAAAACTGCTTTTGTCATGCTATTTTAGCAGCTCTGTCTCACACCCCAAACAGGATTATAATCGGCCTCAGTTGGCTGCTCTGCAAGACAGGCACTTTGCGTCTAGCATTTTATGCATCACAAACTATTTCAACTTTGACGATTTCAATTCTGACGCTTCCATATGCCAGAAGCCGGTCGCAGTTTTGAAGGCACAAGAGGGCTTGAGAAAGAAGAGGCTTGGGGAGAAAATTTTGCCGGAGACCGTGAGGGCAGAAACGTAGTGAAATAAACTTTGATCATATAAGATGATGAATTTCTCACTGACAAAGCTATTTTAGTAATTTTTTTTGTATGATGCTCTTGCAGTTGTCTAGAATGCAATTTATCGTGCTACAGTTAACTTCACTGCATGAGACGAGAAGAAACTTGGTGTAGTCATGCGTCTTTTGCAATTACAACTGCGTTATCAAATGTAAAAATGTCTGGGTCTGGAAGATTCATGCTGTTTTTGCATGACACAGAAGGTCTGGCATGGAAGCTCTAGCATCACAGGTTTCGAGAAGCTTCCGCAATGCCGAACCCGCATGAGAAATCCCCTATTTTGGCGACAGAATTGAGCAGCTTTTGCTACCGATGCATGAGAGATTTTTCTGTGTTCGAAAATGCGCATCACAAGTTCGGATCCTTCCAGACCCAGACATTTTTTACAGAAAATTTTATAATCAATACGAGTCGTATTAGACCGACGCAGAAAGCGCGCGCAATCGTATTGGTCCCATTGCTCGTATTGGTCGCCTCGTATTGACGTGGCGCCAGGGCCCCCAAGATGGTAGGCCCGCCCAGCCGCCTGCCCTGATTGGTATACCGTAATCGCGTCGCGAAAAACGACCGCGCGCCGCTTGGAAACTTTTGAAAGTACTGAAGTAGCCACGCCACTAAAAAAAAAAACAACTCGGCGCCGCGCCTGCGGCGCGGCTTTTCCTTTTCCTTTTGGTAAACAACGGCTAACAAATTAATGGGAACTAGCGGGCGCTTGCTCTTGCTGGCGACGCCACTGTTTCCAAATACGCCCGCAGCGCAGCGCTGCTCCTTCTGCGCCCCTGACTCCTATGCTTCGCCATATGAGTTTGAGGGGCCGGGCAGAGTCAAGCATCGCCGCCATTCATCGGCGCCTGAGTTGGTTTGTTCCATCCTTGGACTCAGACTAGAAACAGGCTTCATTAGAAGTGGGGGGCCTCTCTCTCGAGATTTAGTTGTCCCAGGGGGACGAGGGCCCGACCGCGTATCATGTCCCGCGCCCGTCCTGTGTCATCTTAGAGGGGAAAGCCCCATGAAGATCGCAGCACCATGGAGCCGTGGGCCCGCACATTTTCGAAGGAAAGTTGAAGTGGCTATCTCAACGCTCCTCCATGCAGGAGAGTTGAAGGAGCCGCTTCAGCAACCTTTGCACCTCTTTTGTCCTTCATTTCTGCATGACAAATTTCCAAACTTGGAAACTTGGCATCCATAAATGAAGGGCCACAGAATGAAAGCCAAAGTTGTTGAAGTGGCCACTTCGGCTTTTCCTCCATCGGAGATAGGAAAGTTTAAGTGGCCGCTTCGTCAGCAGTGAGTAGTTTGTTTGCCCCTCATTTCTGCATTGCACATTGCCAATCATGGTGGCAATTTGTATAAGCTGAAACGAAGGACAAAGAAAAGCGCTTCCTTTGTGCTTCGAAAGTTCCGGCTCCCGCTCGTGGGAGAACGAAAAAGCTGTGACGTGAGTAAAGATTTTACTGCTCAGGTCCGGCGGCCTATTAAGTAAAACTTTTACTCAGGTCCGATGGCCTGAGTAAAATCTTCAGCCAGGAGGAGCAGGGCCATGCCGAAAAAATTGCTCGCGAGCGGTCGGGATGAGAAAAACCCGCTTGAAAATTCAGAAAACGCTTGCCTTGAGAAAATTTTGCCGGAGACCGTGAGGGCAGAAACGTAGTGAAATAAAGATAAACTTTGATATAAGATGATGAACCTGTTCCAACTAACAAATTCATTTTGAATTTTTTGTATGATGAGATGCTCTTGCAGTAAGTAGTTGTCTAGAATGCAATTTATCGTGCTATAGTTTTCTGCATCCGAGGAGCAAGCTGATGTCAGGTTGCGTTTTTTGCAACGACAACTACATAATATCATCAGGTACGTCCGTCTTCACAGCATGCTCTTCCCCGCTCCGGTACCCTGAGTAAAAATGTCGCGGACACCACCCCAGAGTTGTCATGCTGATTCGCAATTATGACAGGATCAAGAATAGCAACAGTTTCAGTTGTTGTAATGCGGACCCCCTTGTTGAGTGTGAGAGATACATATGATAAATTTCCAACACCCCCATGAGAGATACTTAGCTCCAATCGTTTTTTGGCATTTGTAATGCTGTGAAGAGGATGAGGAGATAGCTTTGTGATGTGGCTGATGTACTTGCTGAACTACACTACACCACAATCCGCAGAGGAACTTGGCATGCGCGACTCTTAATAAAAAACCTCTGGACTTGTAATATTGCTATTGAGTTTTGTTCATCATTGACTCGGGGTTGAGGACGTTTTTATACGGAATACCCGCCTGCCAGCGAAGACGAGCCTGCGTCAAAGATATGAATTGCAAAAGTATCGTACTGGTATAAATGCATGACAAATTCCCTCAGCATGAGAAATAAAATTTGTTATGCGGATTTACCTTGAGGAAAAAATTTGTAATGCATGACTGCAATTACTACGAGTGCGATACTTTTGCAGTGCATAAAAGATGCCACAGCTCGAAACTTTGAAGCACCAGCTGAATGTATCCCACGAAAAAACTGTTTCACTGTGATGATGATTTTGCAAGATCTGCATCACAAGTTTGTCACACATGACAGAGAAAATTTTCCATGCGCGCTTCCAATTGGAAATAAACACCCCTAAGGAGTCAAGGTCTTGCAGGTGTAGCAAGACAAATAGTTCTGCGTTCCATTCTATGCATCACAAGTTCACAGCGAAACAGTTTTTTCTTGCGATAGAATGCGGTAGCAGAGGCGAATCAGCTTGGAACCAAGGAGAGCCTGCTCCCACCCGAATTGCTGAACGAAATCGAATATCAAATGCAAATACGTCTGGGTGTGGAAACATGCAAAGTTTGTCATGCATATTTAGCATGACCCCCCGCCCCGTGATGCCTGTAATGCATGGCCTAGCATGACAGATTTGTAGAGGGCTTCCTTACGCCTGTTCTGCGTGAGAAATGCCCTCTCCGCGTAGTACAAACTGGGCTCCTCTTGCTCGCTGCAATGCAGATCTTTTTCGAATCCAGAGACTACAGCATCATAAGTTGCAACCTTCCAGACATCCAGGGATGTTTGCGTTTGATACCGAGCAAATTCTCCACGAGCGGTGGACCCAATATCGCGAGAAAAAACTGCTCAACTTGTAATGCGGACATGACTCGAGACAGTCAGATTTCAATTTTTGTCATGCTCGACATGCAGGAAGGTTGGTCATGAGCTTCACACACGTTTTCTCTTGCTGTTTGAAGCATGATCATAAGTTTTGTTTATCTTGCTTCGGGAATTCCAATTTGTGTTGCTGAGTCTGCAAAGATTTGAGACTGAGACAGTTTTTTCTTGGGATACCCACGACGTCAGGCAAGTTTTGTCCGAAATCGACAGCTGCGGCACGCAATTGGAAAACAGCCGCGTTTATGGATTGCAAATATCCCTGGATGTCTGGAACGAAGATTGCAACTTGTCATGCTACATCCGAATCATGCAAAAATCTGTGTTGCATGAGTGCCAAAAGCTGTTCACTTTCTACCAACTTGGCAAGGAGTTTCTCATGCAGGATGGGCATGACAGAGATGTTTGCAATGCATAGCGTTAGCAAAATCGCCGAACTGCAGCGGTTGGTCGACTATCTTGTGCAAAAGTATCGTACTCGTACAAATGCTAATGCAAGTCTTGCATTACAAATCTTGCATTCAAGGCAAATCTGCATTACAAATTTTATTTCTCATGCTGAGGAAATTTGTAATGCATTTATACGAGTACGATACTTTTGCAGTTCATATCGACTGTTGCTCTCTCGTCGGTGTTATCCTGTGCAAAAGTATCGTACTCGTATTGCAGTCCTGCATTACAAATTTTTTTCTCAAGGTGAATCTGCATTACAAATTTTCTTTCTCATGCTGAGGAAATTTGTGATGCATTAATACGAGTACGATACTTTTGCAGTTCATAGGTGTGGGCAAGGGGGCAAAAGGATCCGTGGAAGCGTCGTGCAGACTGAAAACCGACGACCAGCTACGAACCGAGGCGGAATGCGTACTGGAGACCCTGAAACTGGACTATCCTACTTAGTAAAAACGTCCCCACACGACCATAGTCAAGATGGGAATAAATCTGCTAGACAATAAATCCACAACCAAGGCTTGGTTGTTGCGCATGACAAGTTTGGGCGAGCAATTGAATCGTATTCAGCTAGTTTACCAGCATCACAAATCTAGAATTTCATGCTGATTGGAGAGCATGGCAAAATGATCCGCAACAGGAGGAGAAAACGCTTGTTCTCATGGGTTCTTCCGCATGGGAAACATCTTCAGCATGCAGAATTGCATTACAGCTAGGGGGCGGGGACGTTTTTACAAATGATATGGGCCAGCTGTGGTTCAAAACGACGGAGACTCTGGCGAAATCGGGTATCCAGTGCAAAAGTATCGTACTCGTATTCTTACAGTCATGCATTACAAATCTTTTTCTCAAGGTAAATTCGCATTACAAATTTTATTTCTCATGCTGAGAAAATTTGTAATGCATTTACACTACTAGTACGATACTTTTGCACTGCATATCGGCCGAGCGGGGACAACAGGGTGGCGAAGGTTTCCGTGCGGAGCTATCAAATGCAAAAATATCTGGGTCTGGAAGGTTGGAAGACTTGTCATGCAGGTCTTCCATGACACGTGAGGTCTGTCATACATGACCCAGCATGACAGATTCTGTCTCACCTCTATCATGCCTCGTCTGCATGAGAAACTTCCTTTCAACTTGGTCAAAAGTGGACAGCTTTTGGCATTCATGCAACACAGATTTTTGCACGATCCAGAATTAGCATATACAGGTTGTAACCTTCCAGACCCAGACATTTTTGCAATGCATAGGAGCAAGGGGAAGAGGAGTTTCCGCCGGCCCCTGAAGCTGTCGATGGTGGAGCAGGTAGTGCGGAGGCAATGACAGTGGAAAACGAGGGGGACGGAGGTATAAATTATATATTCGAATAAAATGATTGACTGTTTGTTTTTACAAGAAATTTTCCGCCACAGGAAGATAGACTGACATGAATCAAGCACGCATGAACATAGAAAATAACGGTGGACGCCTTTATTTTTTCATCTAATTTCAAGTACTTGTTCCTGCATCTGAATATTAAACGATGACGAAGCAAGCATCTTCATCAGCTTCACACAGAAATATATATTTTCGTAAACGTTTATCCTAGTAGGTGACAATGCTGTCGGTCAACCATATGGAAGTGTCAGGATGGAAAAAATCGACAAAGTTTGTAATGCAGAAAATCGATACCAGTTCCACTTCCACTTGGACCTTTTGGAACCCAGTTTATTCTACGCGGCGCATGATAAATTTTGGCAACTATTACACCTAGATCGAGTGCGCCATGCTGTTTGGCGGGCACGACGAAGACTTCTTTTGTCGTGCTATTCTAACAGCAACAGCCCTGTCATCTCAGACCACAAACACGCTTGCAATCGGCCTCACTTGATGTTGCCAGATCCCTGCAAGACCACTGCCACTTGATGCCTTCCATTTTGTGCATGACAAGGTGTTTCGATTTCGATCCTGACACCTCCATACACCAGCGGATGGCGAGGAAGTAGGTCTGACCGAGGATGCAGCAGTATTGGCGTCAGCGGACACGACAACACTCGAGAAGATGCCAGCACAACCATTCTATGCACTGCAAAAGTATCGTACTAGTATAAGTCGCATGATAATGATAAATTTCCTGAGCATGATGAGAAAAGAAATCTGTAATGCGGCTTTACCTTGACAATGAAATTTGTAATGCATAAATGCGATTAGTACAACGAGTGCGATGCTTTTGCAGCGCATACATTCGGGGATGCGAATGACCTGAAAACGCTGATCACCGCCATGGAAACGGCGTACAAATACCGCGACTCGGCTATGGCGTTCTCAACTGTTAAGTATATTCTCGGCTGTTACATATACATGGACTTGTGATGCAAGAATGGAAAAAGTGAACGGGGTGACATTCCGCGTCTTGCATGACAGATTTTGCACAGATTCTCAGCCTCTTAGGCTCTTCGAGAATTTGTCACGCGAAGCAGCTTGATGGTGTCGATTCTGAATCTGAAGGTAATTTGGCATGACAAATCATGCAACAGTATGAGAATGTAACACTTGAGAGCGCCATATCGGCCACCTACCTCTGTGCGCAGATCCAGCAGCGGGCGTTAGAAGTGTCGCGAATGTTATCCGACTTGAAAAATACACATGTTGTGATCGTGGGATCTTCTTCGACAAACAATAAAACTGCACTTTTTCATGATGATCCTGCCTTGTTACAAGAAAATTTCGTCATCGTCGCGTCCCTGGTGTTCTGTACAAGACACGAAATTTTTCTATCCTCTCCCACAGAGAAGATGAAAAAGAAAATGCACATCATGCAGTTTATTTTACTTGGTTTTTTTTCCTTTGATACCTATGGGTGACCAGCAGTGGCGTGTTATCTGACTTCCCGACAAATTTTCATCTTGGAAAAGTGATGAGCTACGGACTTCTCACTGCGTTTCCACCGGTGTTCTAGAAAGGAGTGAGAAGTCAGCGACTTCTCGTTTCTGAAGCATTTTCATTTGTGAGAATTCACTGATTTCTCACTTCTGAAAAGTTTTCATGTTGAAAAGCAAGAAGTCGCTTCGCTGACTTCTCACTTCTGAAAAGTTTTCATTTGGGAAAAGTGAGAAGTCACTGATCTCACTCGGTTTGCCGAACAATCCGAGAAACGGAGTGGGAAATCAGTGATTTTTCACTTTTGAAAGACTCTCACTCTGGTTGGAGTCACGCTGACTCTTCCCAGAGTGAGAATTTTTCAAAAGTGAGAAATCAGTGATTTCTCACTACTTTTCTCGAAGGTACCCGAGCACCGAATGCCCTTCGGAGCTCGGGTACCTTCGAGAAAAGTAGTGAGAAATCAGTGATTTCTCACTTTTGAAAAATTCTCACTCTGGAGTCGAACTCCAGAAAAAGTTTCCAGCCGTCAAGATTTTGCGAGAGTGAGAAGTCACTGATTTCTCACTTCTTTTCTCTAAGCCTTTCGGGATGTGTAGGTGACTTCTCACTCCGAGTGAAAAAGCCAGTGAGCTTGCACTTGGTTTTTTGAATGTCTTCGGGAGGCAGCGCGAAAGCTCGCTGCGTGCGAAAAGTTAATGGAATTTCATTCCCCCACTTCTCCAGCCTATTCGTAAAACGGAGCGAAAAGGCGCGGACTTTTTACTCCCTCCCTGAGGGGCCCTTTGGGCGAGCCCGAAGTGCAAAGCCAGCGCGTTTTCGCTTTTGCTGTCAGCGCGCTCGCAAAGTCAGCTGGCTTTGATTGCCCCCCTAGGGGGATTTGTTTTGTGCCGTCGATCTTCGTGCTGCTGCAGAGGTTTGCGAAGCTTCAAAAGAACTACACTAGCGCGCCAAACTGATCGACTTGGCGTGAATTCTGTCCCTCGAAGGCGTCCGGAGAAGTTTTCCGGCGAAAAGGGGGGGGGGGCTTTTGCGAGTCATGCATCATGCAGTTTATTTTACTTGGTTTTTGTTCCTTTGATACCTGTGGGTGACCAGCAGTGGCGTGTTATAAGCGAAAACCAAAAAAAAATACCAGGCAAGTCGCCAGCGATTTAGATGGGAGGGGGGGCACCAGCAGCAGCAACATGGGGTGTATAGGTGGTCGCGCGCTTGTTTTCCAATTTTGGACAGCCAGCATAAGCCCCAGAACGCGCATGGCCGGCGCAGGTTGCCATTGTGGCTGCTCTTACCTTGGCCAGCCCCGGGCTTGATGCGTGGGCAGTATGCCGGCGGAGCGATCGGCGCCGGGCGGGGGAAAACAATGCGCGGCCCGGAAGGATGGGCAACAGCTAGGGGGCGCCAGAAAAGAAAACGCTAAGCGCAAGCAGTCCAGCTGTTCCTTTTTTCAGGTTCATTGCGCTACCCATCTGCTGGCATTTGCTCGTGGTCCAGCCCTTCCGCCCCTGTATCTGTGGCTGCGCCCGCACTGCTTCGCCAGACGCGGTATGCGTCAGCGAGAGTATGTTTTCGTATGGCAGAGGTCAAGAAAACAGAGAAAGCTCGTAGCAGTAAACAACGAAAAACGGACCAAAGGCCTGCGAATTTGGCGGGGTTTCGCTTCGAAGACAATCATTGCAATTTTCACGACTTAAAAATTGATGCAAAATAGTAGCGAGCAGGTTCACCATCGAAATGAGGAAAGTTGGAGGTTTGTCCCAGCATAGTTTTTTTTCCTTTGATGCCTGTGGGTGACCAGCAGTGGTGTGTTATCCTGAGCAAAAACGTCCCCACCTCATAGTCAAAGATGGGGACCTTGCAACACAAACCTGATGAAAGTGTCGGGAGTCACGCATGACAAGTTGCAAGCCGTAGTGTATTGATACCGCAGGTTCTTAGCAAGGACAGTCGCGTTACAAATCCATCTCCTCATGCTGATTCCAAAACACGATGGAAAATGGCTCTCAATCTCATGTTGTTGGGGATGCGCATTACAAATGTTTCTGCGATTGCAAATTTGCATGACAACTACTCTGAGGTGGGGACGTTTATTTCACCCAGCATACGTGATGCCAGAGGACGAGCTGGAGGACTTGCAGCTACAACTGGACCAGCAGGGTAATATCATATTACTATCGATGTTTTTTTGTCATGCGTAAACATGCAATACAGACGGCATCTGTGATGCGGAAGCTGTATGCGTCGAGTGAAGATGATGAAAAATCATGAAAATGATGTCCACGACCTCCTCCAGGTTGGTCCGTCTTATCCTATCACGCGCTGAACGAGCACGCTCTGGACCCTGTGCTGTCGCCAAACCTCTGCTCCCACGGGGCCACGGCCTTTGCGAAAATTAATCCCAGTATTTTGCTGCAGATCTTGGAGTATGCACTGCAAAAGCATCGCACTTACTAGTATGAATTGCATTACAAATTAGCCCAGCATGAAAAGCTGAATTTGTCATGCTGAATTACCTAAGAAACCAGATTTGTCATGGTAGTCTGGCATTTAATATAAAAGTACGATGCTTTTGCGCAGGATATGGAGGAGCACAGTCAGGAACTGCAGATGTACAGAAACCTGTTTTATCACAGCTTGAAGGTATGAAATGCAAAAGTATGATCGTACTAGTAGTAGAAATCGCATTACAAATTTCCTCAGCATGATGAGAAATAAAATTTGTAATGCGGATTCACCTTAAGGTTATTTGTAATGCATGACTGCAATTGCTAAATCTAAACGAGTACGATACACTTTTGCAATCCATAAAAGGCCTTGAAGGACAACTTTGCGGACCCGAGTAACGCTGCGTTTATCCAGTGCAAGAGCATCGTACTCGTAGTAATTGCAATTATGTATTACAAATCTCCATCCCAAGGTAGAACAGCATGAGAAATTCCTTTTGTCACGCGGTAAGGTAATTTCAATTTGTAATGCAATTACTACTAGTACGAAGCAGTTTTGCAATGCACCGCGTTTCGGGAGAAATTGAATTCCGACGAGGTATTATCCCACGAAAAAACTGTTTCACTGTGGTGATTTTGCAAAATCTGCATCACAAGTTTGCTACGCATGACACTGAAAATCTGTCTGGGGGGTTCCTAAGGGAAAACACAGCTAGAAATCACTTGTCTTGCATGTGTAGCATGACACACACTTCTGCGATCCATTTTCTGCATCACAAGTTCACAGTGAAACAGTTTTTTCTTGCGATAGGTATTGCGGCTGAAGACGTTACTGGAGGATTTCATCCTGACCGGTGGCAACCCTGGGCAGGTGCTGCACAACATCGACGGTACCATTTTGCTATCCTGTGCAGAGGTATTGCACTCGTATAAATGCAGGTCTTGCATTACAAATTTCTTTTTCAAGGAAAATCGGCATTACAAATTTAATTTCTCATGCTGAGAAAATTTGTAATGCATTTATACGAGTGCGATACTTATTTTGCAGGTCATATTTTCTGGAAGCGCAGATTCTGTTCAAGCTCTTGATTCCTTTGGTCGACGGGGTGTGAAAGACAAAGAGGAGAAGGAATGGAGCAGATCATTGTGGCAAAAAAAGATATATGGTGCGGTACCAGAGCATAAGCAGGAGCAGCTGGTGCAGCCTCCATGAAGCTTCATGAATGAAATGAAACTACTATAATACTCTATTCTTGCAATAGTACTACACCCACGGGACATCAGATGAAATCTTGGATTTTGATATGAAAAAACTCTACTGCGCTACTTACGCGTCGTACACCAGCCTATGGAACGTCTCGGGGGTCAAAGAAAAATATAAGCGTTTCTTTCAACAAGACAATGACAAATCTCAGACACAAGAACTACCTCGAAAATGAATGACATGTAGAAGATGAAGAGACGGTCTACTTCTTCGCAGAAGAAAGTTGTAGTTGCATAAGCGTTACAAGAGCTCCTCGTACGAAGAGGTTCTTCTTTGGTCTCGCGCAAATAAAGTATAAGATCAGCAACGAAGTGAAATTCACGCTCTAGAAGCAAGAGCCTGGTATTGATCCCTCCAGCGCGGATCGTTAAATGAGCGGCCTGGATCTTGAGATGAACCAGTTATAATTGTATGACGATCTTCAAATTCAAAACGCAAAAATTCCAAAGTAGATGATCCTGATCGCGATGATTTTGGAGTTCAACTTAGCAATCGTTCCGACCGTGTGATGAATCTCATGCTAGGCTAGGGGCGAAACTCCGCCTTCATTGTGCGCAGGCAGTTGATGTCATGGTCATGCGTACGGCTACGGACGAACAAACGTATTTTCACCTCTAAATAAATTCAACAGGGAACAAGTTAGTCGAAGTCAGTACAACGCAGTTCATGCATTCTGATCTTTTGTCAGAACTGTTGTAATTTCTTGTGTGTCCTCTTCTATAATTTTTCCTCAAGGTAGTCGTAGTTCGTCGTAAATTTATTCACGCGCGATTTCTACACTTCCTCATCCCGAGAATAAAGTCAACAACTCGTGCCTATTTAAGACCACAAATAATACTTACCTCCTTCCACCACCAGACTTTGACTTGTCAGACACATCAAAATGGCGAAGTCAATTCGTTCCAAGATCAAGAAGAGGCTCCGCACCGTGAAGAGGCAGCGGGTGGATAAAATGGTCGATACCCCGAGGAGAGAAGCTTGCAACAACTCGCTGACGAAGCTGATTAAGGGCGAGGTATTAATACTTATTGCGATCATGCATTACAAATGTAGCTGCTAAGGCAAACCCGCATTAGAAATTCAGTCTGTAATGCTGAGCCAACTTGTATTGCGTTTTACACCAGTGCGATCCTTGTTGTTTTGTAATTCATAGAGCAATGAAGCTTGTAACAACTCGCTAACGAAGTTGATTAAGGACGAGACATGAAGGATTTTTGTATGACGATGAAGCGGTGTTTATTTTTTGCTGTAGCCAACATCCTGCTCCTGCAGCATCAAACAACAAGGAGCGTCGAGAACACCAGAACACCTCAAACAACACATCACGCGGTGTTGGTTTCCGACATGCAGCTTGCATCAGTTCTCAAAGGCGTCGCTTCATCAGTTTTTGCATCACAAAAGCTTGCTCTTGTGTAGCTTTAGGTTTAGGTTTCTGTAGCATTACAAATTTCAATTTTTCTTTCCAATCAGGTCACCCGACACAAGCAAGTAAAGAACGCGTTTCTTCACCCAAACGACCCAGAGGCCGAGATTCCGCAGAAAAGCGTGAAAAAACCGATCGACTTCCGATCAGAAACGCTGCCGATGGTACTGAATTCTTTCACTTGATAACATACATGCTGGTTCAGTGTTGTTCGATTTTTTTTTTTTCGTCTTCAACAAACACACTTCATGCATCCTGTTCAGCAACATGCTACCTGCTGTGTAAAATTTTTTACATGCTTTGCATGACATGACATGACATGACATGACATGACGAAGTTGTCGTAGAGGCCTAGATCGTTCTTGCGCAGCAGTTGTACTAGCATGACAAATGAAATAAAAACCACAGTCCGGCTTCGCCACTAATATGAACTGCAAAACAAAGTATCGTACTCGTATAAATGCATTACAAATTTCCTTAGCATGAGAAATAAAATTTGTAATGCTGATTTGCCTTGATAAAGAAATTTGTAATGCAAGACCTGCATTTATACGAGTGCGATACTTTTGCACAGCATAACTAAGGGTAACCGACGAAAGTACACGGAGGAAGAGCGGAAAGAATTGCAAAAACTCGCGAAATATGCATTGCAAATATGACTGGGTCTGGAAGGATGCAAGGTTTGTCATGCTAGTCTGGCGTGACTCTGAATTCTGTATTGCGTGGCCACAAACTACAGCCTCTCTCGCGTGTCATGCAAATACAACGCAGTTTCTCATGCAGAATACGCAGCACAGAAGCACGAAAAAACTTGTCATGCAGCTTGGTGGCGCATAATTATACCACTTATTCTTGACTGCCTTGCATTACAAGTTTCCAGACCCAGACATTTTTGCATTTGATACGAAATCCCACCCCGAGGAGAAGATACTCGCGGGCAGGGGCAAACTTGCGTACGAGTCCTGCAAGGTCGGTCAGGATAGTGCGAAACAAGTCGCTGCTGTTCTATCCTGTGCAAAAGTATCGTACTCGTATTGCAATCATGCATTACAAATTTTTTTCTTATAGGTAAATCCGCATTACAAATTTTGTTTCTCATGCTGAGGAAATTTGTCATGCGATTTATACTAGTACGATGCTTTTGAATTTCATATCTTCAGGAGAATAACGATTCCGAAGAGGACGCAGAAATGGAAGAGTCTGGAGAACAAGAAGCGAAGAAAGACGACGTGGATACAAAGCGCAAACCGGAACTGCCGAAGAAAAAAAAGAACGCCAGGAGTCGGGTACAGAAGTTCCGGCAGAAGAAGTGATAGTTTACTTCGGGTGAGGATTATTTCGTTATTGAAAATCGCTTTTATTATTCGCGATGATCGCGAGGCATTTGCATTTCGCTTTCCCTTTTCCTTTGTGCCTCATTGGCGGGCGCGGGTTGGGAGAAGGAGATGATGGCGGCCTCATATTAACATGCAACTACATCAAACTATCTAAAGATGCTCTGATGATGAAAGAATAGAAAACCTGTTTGGCCCTGGCGTCAGAGGCAAGCATTGGTGTTTGTGAGCAAGGTTTCGTGTTTGTTGTTGATCAGATGGCGCCCAGAGGCTTGCTCTGACTCCACTTTGTCAGCCGCGTAGATCGTATCGAATACGATGTGTTGTTGAAGACAAATATGAAATTTACAAAAAAGTCGGTCCACGTCGACATGATCCAGCAGATCGTGCAAAGCTGGTATAGTACTTCGTGCAAATTATACAGCTAGATCGTGCAGCAGCCTTTCGTGCGACGTCTAAGTTGTACAAAACTTTCGTCCTGTTACACGACCTTTCGCAGTCCTAGTTTCAGTCTCGGTTCTTGTTCCTGTACAATCGTGACAGAGAAAACTCGTCGCTCGGTTCTTGCTTTTGCTCGTTCAGTCACGAAAATCTGCTTGAGGCGGTTGTATTAAAAGGATATGCTTGTCGTCATAATTCGTGAAGCATTTATCTCTAGGCTCTTTTTGATTTGGGTTTTAAATGATGACAGCGCACCTCACGCTCACCCCATTTCATTCTTCCACCCCGTATCAAGTACTTATTTCAACATCGCTGGTGCTGTAGGTCCTGTTGCACTCTTGATGATGAAGCCCTCCAACTAATGTGGTACGACGACGTCGTCGCAACTATCGAGTTGCAATTCTTCCTTGTTCCAGTCTAGTAGTCTCGCATTCAATACTAGAAGCCAGCGTATTTCCACGACCACGACCTTATTCCAGCCTGATAAAAATAAAATGGCCTCGCCCACCCCAACAACCCCGGCCGCGCGGCCCAGAACATTCGGAGCGTCGAAAAGCGGCAGCCTGAAGATCTTGACAGAGGAGAACGACAAGAAGGATAATACCGTGCAGCCGGTTCTTATTTCCGAGGACCAACTGCCTGCCACAACGGCCCTCGACCGCCAAAGTTCTTCCAAGAGTTCCACCAAGTCCGCTCCGTTCATGCCCCCGGACAGTCCCTATCCTGTGCAAAAGTATCGCACTCGTATTGCAGTCATGCATTACAGATCGGTTTCTTAAGGTAGAGCCGCATTACGAATTTTATTTCTCATGACGAGGAAATTTGTAATGCATTTGTACGAGTGCGATACTTTTGCAATGCATAGTCCCCCTGGTTACTCAATCCTGGCGTCCTTGAGTAAAGAAAGCATTGCCACGCCGGGCTCTACTAGGAGTACTCCTGCTGGTGCTGCGCGCCGGGGGCTGCTGGTGCCCAGGTCTACTAGTCCGAATGATACAGCCAGTGTGAAAAGAACTAGAGAAGTAGTAGAGCGTATGAATTGCAAAAGTATCGTAGTCGTATAAATGCATTACAAATTTCCTCAGTATGACAGATAAAATTTGTAGTGCGGATTTACCTTAAGAAAAAGATTTGTAATGCATGACTGCAATACGAGTACGATACTTTTGCACAGGATAGAGCGTCTCTCTTCAGATCCAGCCTACGATCCCCAAAGCCCGGTCGCGCGAGCGGCTGCCGCGCGGCAAAAACGACAACGCGCTGGTGCACCTCCTGCGGACGTCGATGCTGTTGTTGAACTTGAAAGTGATGATATAATACGAGGCGGCTCTACAACTGGTGCCGCCTCTCCTGCTCCCACCAGCACAACTGGAGGAGGTGTTGGAACAAGAAAAATAGCCGAGAAGAACCCAGCTGCTGCTCCCGGTCCCGACTCCGAGAAGGAGATGAACAAGGCCAAGAAGCTGACGAAAGTGGAGCAGAACTCTGGCGGCCCAAGTGCTTCTTCTACCGATCATACGACAAGAGCGCCGGCTCCTTCAACAAGCCGAAGCCCCGCCGCCGCGGGGCAAGAAGAACAACTCTCCCCCTTGAGCAAAGCCGCGAAGGGGCTGGTACAGGGTCTATTGGGTGAAGAAGTGCACATGGCAAGGACGGCAGGCGGGGCCGGTGGAGGCGCAGTGCTAACTACTTCTTCCGGGGTCGATTTTGCCGATAAAGCGATTAATGAAAACCAAAGTGGACAAACCAGTCCTACTGCTGGCAAAAGCGCTATCCCACAACTCTCGCCAAATCAAGTTGTGCATGACGCGGCTCTTCAAGTAGACGACCTCGTCCCGCCGGAAGATGCACAGGGTGCTGTTGTAGTGCCCTCGTTTTCTACTACCTTGGGCTCCACTGCGAGAAGCCCAGCACGAGGACCTCCGAGTTCCGACTTTGCCGCACGAGAACCTCCGGTAGCAAAGGTGGACAAGGGGGGAAAGAAAATAGCGGACAATTATCGACAGAGAAATGAAAATGAAGAAGAAAAAACTCTGCAACGCATCCTCCACTCAGCCCCGCCTGTGACCACCTATAAATCTTCCGCTCTAGTCCAGCAGGTGGAAAAAGAGTTGGATCACTTGAGAAGGCAGACGGAAGAGCTCAACAAGATGGAATTTATCCGGCAGAAGGCGGTGAAGGCACAGCAGGACTTCACCGTGGATTCTATCCGGTGCAAAAGTATCGTACTCGTAGAAGTAATCGCAGGTATGCATTACAAATCTCTTTCTGAGGCTAAATCAGCACTACAAATTCAATTTGTAGTAATGCTGCGCTAATTTGTAATGCATTCATACGAGTACGATGCTTTAGCTTTTGCAATGCATAGATTCTTTGAGGAAGCAAATTTTTCAGCTGCAGTTCGCTAAGGACCAAGAGTATCAAAAATTGCACCACAAAGTGGCGTATCGGGTGATAAACACTTTGTTGAATACCGCCGAAAGCGGCCTGGAACAGCTGAACCAGGGGTACGATGGAGACCTTCTTGGCGGCGGGATAACGCCCAGTGCAGTAGGTCCGACCCGTGCGTCGCCAATAAACCACTATTTCGGGGACACCACGTCGACGCCTGAAATATTAAGCGATAGACCACCTGCTCCGCGAACAAGTAGATCTCGCTCACCTCCGCAGGATCATCGGCTCAACATTACGAGGACCACGTCGAGCGCGACGAGACAGAATAATTTGAAAGCAGACACGACACAGGCTCCTGTTCCAGCAGCAGCTGACCCCAGTTTATTAGTCGTGCCTGGACGAATCGTGAACACGAACCGCCCGTCCAGTCCGAGCAAGTGGCAGGATGAAGTGTTGCTGAGTTTGAGTAGTGAGGAGTATCACCATGGGACAAGAACCAATGACAACATCACAACACAGGCGAGAGGGACTACACAAGGTGAGCAAAGAAAGTTTGTTGCTCCGCGAGGTGGACCACGTAGTACAGGGAGGCAAAATGACAAAAAATTCGAGCAACCCACCACCGCGGAACGCTTATGGTTGGAAAGTTTGCGACGGAGGGAAAACATGCGGGCACCAGAAGTCATCATGCCCCCGACCGACGATAGTCGTGCAGCTCGTGTAGGCCAACTTTCGCCTCGTCTTATTTCAAGAGCTGCAACCAGATCGCGATCGAACACGGTCGCACATCAACCAGGAGTGACAGAAATAAAGAACAGACCACGACCACTGTCTTCTGCACCTCGTCCGCTTTCGACGCAGCACGAAGATGCTCCTCGTCGGGTGTGGCCTCTCGTGCCCCTAGAAATTCCGCCAACGGCAGCAGCTACACCAGCTGCAATGGGTTTGGGTCCACCGCCCCTTAGAAATATTAACAAGCGCAGGAGTCGCTCCTTGTCACCGCGGATGAACAATACAACTCAGCCTGTTTTCGATCCATATGCAGTGCAAAAGTATCGTACTTACTAGTATAAATGGCTATGGCATGACAAATTTCCTGAGCATGAGAGAGAAAATGCATGACTGCGATTACTTACTTCTACTAGTACGATACTTTTGCACGGGATAATCCAGTCGTGAAGCCCAAGCCGCTGATTGACGTGAAAGCCGAGGCCGCACGGATGTTGACACCGCTTCCGCCTGCATCGTTCTCCCGCGGGTTCTTTAAAAGTGGCTCGAAAAGTGCTCGATCCGTATCCGCGAAAAGCTCGAAGAAAACCAGTTCTGCTGCTGGCAAGGCGAAGAGTTGTGTAGGACCAGCAGCAGCCACAACGACTGCACCGCAAAACGCTTCGAAGCAGAGCGTGCCGGAAGAATTGATCGGCACGGGGCACGTGGCGGAGTGGAATGAGAAAACCCAGGCGTTCCAGTTTTCCGAAGTGGTGGTATCGACGTACCCAACAACAACAACAACATCTCCGCCTGTTCTTGCGCCCAAAACCGACACGACGACTTCTAATGTTGACAATAGTACCACGACGACGACAGCAGCAGGGAAGCAAGAAATAAGAAAGCCAGCAGCTGGTGTAAAAAAAGCCGTGTCAAATACAACCTCTATTAGTAGACCTGTAGTATTTGCCCCGGTCCCGCGGGCTTTTTCCCGAAGATCCCGCATCATGAAGAGTCCACCGAGTAGCATGATCTCCCGGGCAGACGTAAAGGTGGTACCGGCGGCGCTGCTCCAGAAAGAGCAGGAAATCATCATGAAAGAGCAGACAGCAGACCGCGATGGAGAGGAACTACAGCTTCTGCAGCAGGGAGAGGACTTTTTGGGGGAGAAACTTGTCATGCACGACGCCGAACAGGATGGTGGAGATGGACCACCGAGATCAAATGGCGCAACAAATATTTTTAAGCGGACTACTACTTCGAGCCGACATTTCGTTTCGCTCGACACTGATACTGCGCAGATTGAAGATCTCGATTTGTTGGACAAAGTGCACATCTCCGAGCACCGGCCGTCAAAGACGTTGTTAGACAGGTTGGAGATAACGGTCTCGAAAAGTAGTGGAGGAAAAATCGAGGACAATGGGACGTCTCGACCGACGGGCGGCAATGAAGGAAAAGCCAAAAGAAATGGAATTACTGTTGCGAGTAGTTCTCAGACCACAAAGAAGCCACAGAACAAGCCCGAAGAGCTGCATCAAGTAGATGCAGCAAGAAATATGAAGAAACTCGCCCGAAGAATTATATCAACCACTCCATCGCCCTACCACAGCATGGTAGTCCAGGCACACATATGAAATGCAAAAGCATCGTACTCGTATAAATGCATGACAAATTCCCTCAGCATGAGAAAAAAAAATTGTAATGCGGATTTACCTTGAGAAAAAAATTTGTAATGCATGACTGCAGTACAAGTGCGATACTTTTGCACAGGATACCACAACGCGAACCAGCTTTGCTATGTGGAAACCCTGCAGAAGCTCCCGTCTGGGAAATGTCTGACGCCGGCGAAAGACAAGTTGGAACAAAAACTGCTGGAAAAAAAGAGAAACGAACACTTTCCAAAAGGCCGGTCGAGCTTTGGGTCGTTGCTGACCTTTCCTAGGTGGAATTGTCCGGAAGTGGATGACTCGTTGAAAAAGTTGTTACGGAGTCTGAAAACGAAAACAGCGATGAATCAATGAGGATGGATTATATATTTCTTCCGTGGATACAAGTCAAGCCTTCTCAGTAACAGTAAGTATCTCGGTTTAATATTTTCATCACCCTCGTCATCGTCAGTCCTTTATTTCCAGCATCGAGTTGTTGTATCATAGTGCCAGCAACTAGCTCGGGGTCCTCATTCGGACTTTGTAGATTCGGTTTCGTTTCAGAGAAGTTTCTAAGTTGATGATGTCTACGCAATTGGACAACAAGTGTAGTTTATTTGCTCTCCTACTCCTGTGTTTAAATCTATTGTTATCATTTCGATGTGATCGCGCCATCGTAGTACGATGGCAGTGACGTCTTTTGATGTCGTTCCTATTTCATTTTGAAAATCCCTTTCTCGACGAAAAACTGCTTGCAACACCGCGATAGCGTGATTTGTGTCTCGACCGTTCTTGACTTCGCTGGTGCCGTGAAAGAAAGCCAATCAATCGCATTTTCTATTTTGAAGCCCAACAAGCCCATAAAAATTGTTGAGGCCGTGTTCTTCGCAGCTGGACTATAGAAATCCGTAGGTTATTAAAAGTGTCATCACTCGCGTATGTCGTATGAATGCGTGGACGTCGTTGTTGAGGAATTGTTGTGCAAAAGTGCTGGAAAAAATGCTCACGTTGACGGCAATCAAATGTGAAATTCAATGTGGAGAAGTTTCAGTGAGAGAGCATATCGCAAAGCGGCTAGACTCGCTCTCGCACTCGATCTCGAAGAGCACCAGAGATTTTCAAACGAGACTGCAGAAGATGCGCTACAACAACTGTGCGGTAATTTTGTATGAGGAAACCGTATGCTAAGTCGTGCTGGACGGAGCTGCAGGCACCTCATCAACCACTCAGACTAGTCGAGAAACCCACCAGTGCCTCTTCCAACAAGATGGGGCCGGGCGCAGAAGTGGAATTATGTAATCTTTTCGTAGAGACATTATAGAGCTTTGTTTGATTGAAAATGACGTCGATGTTGTCGATGCGAGCCTTATATATAATTAAGATCACCGGCAGCGAAAGCTCCTGCAAGGTGATGAAGATGACCACATCTTCAAAGTGACAGTTTGAATCCGGACGACGAGAGGTCTACTTCCAGCAGCCAACATTTGCAACATCTTCAAGATGCCCGGAGCTGTGTCGCTGGAGCACCTTCACTTGTATGAACTGCAAAAGTATCGTACTCGTATAAATGCATTACAAATTTCCTCAGCATCAGAGAAAAAATTTGTAATGCGGATATACCTCAAGTAGAAAAAGTAAAAGATTTGTAATGCATGACTGCAATGCGAGTATTGTGCGATGCTTTTGCACAGGATAACTTAACCTCCGTGTCAACGTCGTTCACCGCTTTTCATCAGGACGATGTGTATCGTGAGAAAAAAGTGTTTCACTGTGAACCTGTGATGCAGAAAATGGAACGCAGAACTTAACTATTTGTCTTGCTACACCTGCAAGGCATGGGATTTTCCAGCGCGTTTTCCCTTGGGAAGTGCGCATGACAATAAATTTTCAATGTTAATATGTGTAACAAACTTGTGATGCAGATCTACTTGCAAAATCACCACAGTTGTGAAACAGTTCTTTCTTGCGATAATGTGGACAGCAGCACCACTGTCTACCACGTCCAGGAAGAATTTAACTTCCAACTCCAGGCGGGAAAGAAGCCGACGCCAGGAAAACATGATCAGAACAACACCGGTCGTAGTTCCTTCAGGTGTTATGCCTGGGACGGTCGTTAGCATACAGAAGGGTGAATTTGCAGTGAATTTGTATTGCATGACTTGCATTTACTTCAAAAGAGAAGTGCGCTGCGTAAAGGGCTGGGCACGAGCCCAAGCAGCTCACGCAGCGTGAAGGGCTGCAGCTCGGTGCCAGGTGGCACTTGCAGCACCGAAAGAAGTAGTGGTAGGTCTTGCTGGGGCCCGCCGGACTGTGTAGTGCATATGTAGCCAAAGAGTGTGGGTCGTGGGGCTCTTGTTCATCTGCGCGTCTGCCTCAGAAGTTCCTCTCCGGAATGGTCGGGAGGGAGGGCGACGCCTGAACACAGGGGCACTAGTTCAACACGTGCGCTCTCACGAGTTGTGGTTGTGGCTTGGAATTGGATATCTGGGAGTAGCCTCGGGTGGAAAGGAAGGCACGACTCGGCTACGGGCACTAGCTTGCTTGGCCTGGTGTGCTCGGCTTACAACTCCCCAGGCGTGTTTTTGCCCCCGGAGCAAGTCTTTTTCGAGGTGGCTCTCAGGTCAAGAATTCTCTTGGTGAATTTTGAGGCTTTTTGTTTTTGCGACACTTTTTTGAAGCCCCCAAACCCGGAGTTTCTCACGCGCTAGCGAATTTTGAAAAGGAGCCGGAGGCCAAAATTCACCGGCGCCCTTTTCAAAATTCACCCCAAAATTCACCGGGCGCCCATTTTCGACCGTGATAAGCAAACTTTAGCGCAGAAAAGTGCTCAAAAAAGTGCACAGATAGGCCATGAGAAGGAACGCAAAGGGGGAAAAAGCGTAGTCCTCTGCTGCCCTAAGCCCGCCTGTATTCTGCTGAAAATGCCGCAAGATTTCACGCGCCTGCCGGGAAAATGCGTCAAAGCTCTCGGCCGGGTCCTTTCGTCCTTGCCTGCCTTCTTGCTTAGTTGTATGCGCTTCGCAGCCTTTATTTCTGGCGTCTTTGCCGCGGCTGCTGCAGTGCTCTTCTGCGAGAACCCGGAGGCGCAAAAACCTGCCCAAAGAACGGCGCCCGGGCCATGTCCTCTGGCTGCCCACTGCACAAAAGCCCGCGGCTGCTGTGCGGTGCAGGGCCTTCTACTTCCCAGAACAGGGCCAAGAGGGACAATGTCCCGGCGGGCTCAACTGCAATTTGGCATGCAAAATTCACTACAAATTCACCACTTCTCATGCTAACGGGTGACAACATGATCAGAACAACACCGGTCGTAGTTCCTTCCGGTGGCTCACGACAAACTTCGCGACAAGTGGCGGTCGCAGCAGCGGTGGTGGTGGCTCGTCTTCATCAACGTCTTCTTCTGGTTCCTACCACAAAGATCATAACCCGGTGCAGCACCACTTGAAAATGATCAAACACACCTCTTTCGCGATTCACCAGGAGAGTTTGCAAGTCCTCCTGCACAGCGTAAGAACTGCAACTGGGAAAGCAAAAAATGCCAAAACACGACTTGGCAAGACCTCCTTCAACCCACTGTGGCCCGGAGCGACTTTCAAGGATCAACAACTCTACTCCGCCGGACAGCGCAACCGGTCGGAAACCTCCACGGGCCTACTGGCCTATGAACAGCAAAAGTATCGTACTCGTATAAATGCATTACAGATTTCCTCAGCATGAGAGAGAAAATTTGTAATGCTGATTTACTTTCAGAAAAAGATTTGTAATGCATGACTGCAAAAATACGAGTACGATGCTTTTGCACTTCATATCGCCGGCATGAACGCCTGGCCCGCGGAGAAGGACGATGCCAACCGGATTACCAGCACGGCGAAGCACTTGGTTATGAACTGCAAAAGTATCGTACTAAGATGAATTGCAATACAAATTGGCTCAGCATTACAAATTGAATTTGTAATGCGGATTTATCTTAACAACATAGATTTGTAATGCATAACTGCAATTAGGACGAGTATGTACAATACTGTTGCAGTGCATATTGGAGCCCGGGCCGGAATCCTGTGAGTACGTGAAAGCGACCTCGAACGGCCTAGACACCACGGCGGCCGGGTCCCCCGAAGGGACCGCGAATTTAACAAACGACTTTGTGAACAAGAACGGCCTAAACACCCTGCGCGCCGAGGCGATCAAATTTGAAATGAAAAAGTCGGGCTCGAGCTGCACCCCCGGAAACTACCGGTGTTGCACGAACCTGAAGATGCAATCCCGGGCGGACCCGAATTTGTTCCGCGAGGGGCAGTATGTCAATTGCAAAAGAGTATCGTACTCGTATAAATGCATTACAAACTTCCTCAGCATGAGAAACGCTGATTAGCCTTAAGAAAAAGATTTGTGATGCATGATTGCAATACGAGCAATTTTTGCGATGCATAGTCCGTACGTCTTCATCCGGTCGGACTCCGGGGAAGAGGACGGCGACGCCTTGATGGCTAGGGTGAAGCGATTCGAGCCGGTGACTATGCAATACAAATTTCCCGCACATGCACAAGATGCATCACAAATTTCACCAATCAGGAGCGGAAAACTTGTCATGCTATTAACTAGGATCGAAGCCAAGTTTTGTCATGTAGAGACCTCCGCGTTTGTACGTCCACGTCGTGTACGGGAAATTATTTCCTGTGGATAGTGACACAGGGGTGGGTGGTGCAGCCGTTGCGGCCAAGAAGAGGTTCTCTCTTATGCATTGCAAAAATGTCTTGGTCTGGAAAAGTGGAACTTGTGTTGCATGTCTTGCATCCCTGAAGAATCTGTATTGCACAGCCAGCAAGAAAGGCGGTACTTTTTCGTCTTGTAAAAACGCAGTTTGTCATGCGTGCTACGCATCAGACGGCGTCAAGTATACTTGTCGTGCTGGGCTGCACTTGAGAGCGCCAGTCTTATCCATACTTTAGCATCACAAATTTCCAGACCCAGACATATTTGCATTTGATATCTCTCTCCGAAAGACGATCTGCAGACGGTGAATTCCGTGCAAGTAAGGTGTCAGCTATGAGAGTGCACAACCCCTCCTCCGCCTCATTTGTATAGCATGAACGGCAATACAACCACAAGCAAGAATGCCGGTTTCGCATGACAAATTTGAACTGGATCATTGTAGTGCTACTTGGGCTGCCATAACTTGTCATGCAAACAGTGCCAAGAGGCAAGGCCACCTAAATTAGGTATTTTGCATGACAAATGAGGGGGAGGGGGAGTTGTGCACTCTGATAGCAGCGGTCTGCAGAAAATCCGGAGGGGAAGAAGGATTTGGTCGTATCCTGTGCAAAAGTACTTATCGTACTCGTACTACTTGCAAATATGCATGACAAGTGTTTTTCTCACGGTAAAACAGCATTACAAATTGTCTTGCTGAGCGAATTTCTGATGCAGTCGTACGAAGATACTTTTGCAATTCATAGGTCGATGCCGGCGACTACAAGAGCTACTGGAGCGGCATGGAGCCCATCGCGGTGGAATCAAAAATCCCGGAACGGTGTCGCGGGGACGAAAAGACCTACAAGTGCGAGTTATTCGACAAGGAGTGCCGGGTCATGCCGGGAACCCCAAGCGAGGCTGAAACGCTGAACGCCCATGGATATGGATTGCAAAAATGTCTGGGTCTGGAAAAGTGCAAGGTTTGTCATGCTAGGCTAGCAAGACTCTTAAGTCTGTCATGCGCGTTACCGAAAGGCCTTATTTTTCTGTGATGCAAAAACGCAGTTTGTCATGCAGAATAGGCAACACTTAGCAGCTCAGAAACTTGTCATGCTGAGCCATCATTTGTGGCCTCCACATTCTAAGTCTTGCAGCATTACAAGTTTCCAGACCCAGACATTTTTGCATTTGATAATGGAAGCGACGACGAACCGGAAAGACCGCCGCCGTTACCGCCAACCATGGACCAAAACAGCCACATCGAGATGAAAGACGAAAACTTCGTGTCCGAAAACACCCCGGGGATCACGTGTAAACAACGGCTAGAGGCTTGTCAGTACAACTACAGCTTCCACGCTTCTAACCAGAACGAGACGGGGTGGACGCCGCCTTTGGGCTACCAGCCCGGGATGAACCGGGAAAAACCACTTGGCCGGGCGCACGATTTACGACGAAGAAAAATTCCCCCTCCCCGTATCATTATCAAAACGGAAATCTGTGATGCAGATTTGTGGTCACAAATCAGCTTTGTCATGCTAGAAGGATAGTAGAGATGCGGGCTGTAGTTCTGGATGGCGTGGGAAGGCCTTGCGTCGTCAGCATGACAGGAGCCAGCTGGAAGTGGGAAACAGCATGACAAATTGCCTGCACCAAACGAGGCCACGACTTCTGCGGCTCTTGGCCTTCTAGCAATGCAAGGCGATTTGTGTACTCAAATACAGCATCACAAATTTCGTCTTCGATATGGGGAGGGGGGATTTTTCCTTTTGATACGATGCGAAAAGCAGGAAGCTGCTGCTCGGGGAAGCGATTGACGAGTACATGTTTCACTACCCGTATCTTACAAAAAAACTGTCTCAGTCTCAAACCTTTGCAGACTCAGCAACACAAATTTGCGAAGCAAGAAACAAAAAATCTCTGATGCTTCAAACAACAAGGGAAAACACATTCATACATAGGAAAGATCGATCTTTCTTGCATCTCAAGCATGACAAAAAACAGTCTCAAGGAAGTTGCGCATTACAAGTTCTTGAGACTGAGACACTTTTTTCTCACGATAACCCGGACCCGAAGGGCTTTTTGGGCAACCAGCTGGTCGAACGGTTAAAAATCGGGCAGATGCCCGGGGAAGGCCTGGTGGCGCACTATCCAAGGAAAAAACTGTGTAGGTATAATTTTCTTGGAGGAATAGCATCACAAGTTTGCTCTGCATGACACAGAAATAAACCTGTCATGCGTAGCTAGTACGTGAAAACACGACGTACGAAAAGAGCCTCTGATGCACGTCCAGCATGACAAGTGTAACAGTTTTGGATTTTCTGCGTCACAGACCTACGCTCACATAGTTTTTTTCTTGCATACGCACGTGTCCGGGTTTAACAACGAAACCGGGAAGTACAAAATCGTCCCGGTCGGGAATCCAGCGCTCGACGCGGAAAACGAAAATTCCGTGATCGGCAAGGAAATATGTCAGTGCACGACTCCCCCTCCCCCCTCTTTTGTCACGCAAAAGTCCAAATCCAAGTGCTTTCCGGTGGCACTGTTTGCATGACAGATTCAGGAAGCGGCCCAAACAGAACTACACTATCACTAGGCGCATGAGCTTGTCATGCACACGCTCCACGTGTGCTAGTATTTGTATTGCTGTTCATGCAATTATAGTACAAACGAGGGGGAGGGGGGGGGTTGTGCGGTCTCATAGGAAATCGAAGCCGCACGGAACGACCCGGATACCGGCGAAAAATTGGAGCCGGTCGATGGCTATCAACTGCAAATATCGATCTGGGTCTGGAAACTTGTGATGCATGTCACTGAATAGTAACCACACTGTAATGCACCGCCAAGCATGACAGCTTTTCTCGGGGCTTTGTGTTGCGTATTTCGGATGAGAAACATCGTTTTTGCATGACAGACAAGAGGAGGTGTTCCGATGGCCCGACGCAATACAGAGTTCTTCAGAGTCACATGCCAAACTAGCATGAGAAATCTCGCAATCTTCCGGAGGACCCAGATCGCTATTTGCGATGCATAACGGCGTGTACGTTCGGTGTCACCGACAGGATTTCGGCTCCTTCTGGGACTGGGCCGACAACAACATCCCGGATGTATGCACTGCAAAAGTATCGTACTCGTATTGCAGTCATGCATTACAAATCTTTTTATTAAGGTAAATCAGCATTACTACAAAATTTATTTCCCATGCTGAGGAAATTTGTAATGCATTTATACGAGTGCGATACGTTTGCAATGCATAGGATGACAAGGGCGACTATACCGCAATCTACGGAGCTAACAACCAGAAAGCAACGAATTCTATGCTCTGCAAAAGTATCGTACTAGTACAAACTGCATTACGATAACGATTACAAATTTGGTCAGCATGAGAAATGGAATTTGTCAAGCTGTTTAACCTTGGGATGGAGATTTTTGATGCATGAGTGCGATAATTACTACGAGTACGATACTTTTGCACAGGATAAATTCCTGGTGGCCGGCCCCCATCCGGAAGAGCGACGACTTGCCGGCCGAGTGCAACTACCGGCGGGGCAACGACTACTACCCGATGTGGATGGAGTTCAGTAACGTTCCCTATGAGCTCCGCAACCACCATATTACAATGAAAAATGCCCCCTCCCCATATCAATACGGAAATCTGTGATGCAGATTTGTGGTCACAAATCAGCTTTGTGATGCTAGAAGGCAAAAGATGCGGACTGTAGTGCTGTCTAGCGTGGGAGTAAACCTATGCAGCTCCAGGATGACAAAAGGCAACTAGACAAGCGGGAAACAGCATGACAGATTGCCTGCGATTTAGGCCGCAGCTTCGTCTCTTGGCCTTCTAGCAATACAAGTTGATTTGTGTACTCAAATGCAGCATCACAAATTCGCGCATCTTCCGTTTCCGATATGGGGTGGGGGCTTTTTCCACTTTGATACGCCACACCATCTGGAAGGGCAAGGCCCGCGACGCGGGAGGCAATCCTATTCTGAGGAAAAATCCCCCCTCCCCATATCGAAAAGGTGTGCTTCCGAAAATTTGTGTTGCTGATTTGACGTCACAAATCACGTCTGTCTTGCAACAAGACAAGCGCAGAGGCTTCCGCACCATTATGGAAGCGATTTGGCATGCTGTTGCGCCTAGAGGGCACCCTTTTGCAATGCTAAGCAGCTAGACCTATACGCCCCTACCTAGGCCGAGGATCTGGCTGCGATGCCTTACTGCAAGACAAATCCGATTTGTGTACCCAAATCCTGCATCACAGATTTCCATTTCGATATGGGGAGGGGAGATTTTTCCTTTTGATAAATCCGGGGCATTGGTTTCCCGAAGAGCGGCCGGGAGACCAGAATGGCTTGGGTACGGGGAAGTGGAAACTGCCCATGCCCGGTATCAAAGTGAAAAAAGCCCCTAAGAACCCATACTCAAAAGACAATTTGTGTTGCTGGATTTGTGTACACAAATGAACTTTGTATTGCAGCCAGAGCTTGTGCTTGTCGGCATATTCTAAGCCCATTTCATCTTGGGCACGCATCCGGCTAGCAGGTGCGCATGAGAAACAAGTCTGACAGAGCAGGCGAAAACGCATGACAGACTGGATGCACATCAATGCGCCACATGGGTGCCGTTTGCATTGTACAACGCAAGACAAAGCTGATTTGTGGTCACAAATCAGCATCACAAATTTTCTTTTCGATATGGGGAGGGAAATAAATTTTTCCTTACGATACCCGGGGTGGACATGCCGAACTGGGTCTGGAAGACGGACAAACAGCGGAAAGACATGAACCTGAACTGGAAAAAACTTCTCGTCGACGCGGCCCTGGTGCGCGTGCGACACTGGTATCATAAGGACCGGGAGTATGTCCGCGACCAGCACGTGTCCGCGGAGTATGCATTGCAAAAGTATCGTACTCGTATAAATGCATCACAAATTTCATCAGCATGAGAAATAAAATTTGTAATGCTGATTTGCCTTAACAAGATGATTTGTGATGCATGACCGCAATACGAGCACGATACTTTTGCACAGGATACGGAGAAATACGAAGGAAAAATTTTGGGCACGATGGACCGAAAATTATGCAAGAAAAAAACATTGTTACGTGTAACTTTGTGATGCGCATCAACATGCATATGCAAGATGATTGCATCTGTCATGCTGGGCATGCGTTGCAAGGTCCATTCAGGAGCGTTTTCACGTACCATCTGCGCATGACAGGCTTTTGCTGTAATGCAAGACAGATTTGTCATGCTGTTCCCCCAAGATCAGAGTTACACCTACAATCTTTTTTTCTTGGATAGAAATTACCGCTGGAACAGTGGGGAGACACGGAAATGGTATAGTGAGTAGGATCATTTTTATTTGTAGTAAGTTGAAGTTGATACTAGCTCGTAGTTACTTCCTGTTCCGGTTGCTGTTCTATTGGTGTGAGGCAGATTTAAGAGGTTGCTTTCTTGTTCGTCATAAGAAAGTCAACTACTACCAAGCATGGCACCTCATTGTAGCATGCCGGTACTAGTAGTACCGCTTAGGAGAAAAAACATCAACATATATCATAAACGTCTCTCCCGCTCTACACCTACAGTATGACCTCCAACACTTCCGACCGGGGCCGCAACCCGAACTCACCATTCCGGCCCGCAACCTGCGCGCCATCGAGGGCGGACTGCGGATAACCTGCGGCGACAACAGCGAATGGGGAGATCGGGAGGGCATCGTGACCTCGTGGCGGCAGGTGCCGGAAATTTGCAAGAAGAACTTCAAGTGGAAGGTGCAGCTGTGGGGCAATCTGGACGACGATACTTCGGTTGCGGAAAAGCCGTATCAACCGCAACTACGTCTGGGTCTGGAAGCTTGTGATGCTCAAGTATGCATGAGTCAGGCGCTTTCAAGTGCAGCCAAGCATGACAAGTTTAGTTGACCACGCCGTCTGACGCGTAGCGCGCATGACAAACCGCGTTCTACTTCTTGCATCACAAAAAAATGGTGCCTTTGCTGGCTATGCAACACAGATTTGTTTTCAGGAATGCAAGACATGCAACACAGGTTCCACTTTTATTCCAGAGCCAGACATATTTGCGATGCATAAGCCGGCAAACTGGAATCGGGAGCAGAAGGAGTACCGAAAATTCATCGAGTCTGTCCTCGCGAATCAGGCTATGGCCTGGCCGGCACCGCAGTCCAACATGCTCCAAGTCGACGCGATGTCGGAGTTATGAGAGTGCACAACCCCCCCCCCTCCCCCTCATTAATATTTACATTGCTTGACTTCCGGGTTCTGGTCCCGCCTACCCCCCGGCGACAGGTGACCTTGACAGGTGACCTTGACAGGTGACCTTGACAGGTGACCTTGACAGGTGACCTTGACAGGTGATCGTGACAGGTTACCGTGACAGGTGACCTTGACAGGTGACCTGGACAGGTGACCTGGACAGGTGGCCGCGACAGGCGAAGCGTGAGGATAAAGCAAAGGCGAGGCCAGCGCCTGGGCGCAAATATTTATTTTTCACGCCAAATGCCGCTCTTGACGTGAAAAATAAATTAAAAGCGCCAAAAAAAAAAAACGACGCAAAAATTGAAAAAGATTAAAGCTGTAACACAAACTGCCTCCATAAGCAAAGAAGTCTTTGCGTTCGCGTTGCCATGCAAAAATAAAAAAGCGGCTATCTCTGCAATGCACGGCCAGGAAACAGCTGCTCTCTTTGCTCTGTGGAACCGGAAAGGCGTTGCGCTTCAATATTAGAGAACTTTTTTGCAGAAGCCACACAGAGATATTCACTTTGCTTCTATTTTTGTTTTTTCTTGCAAAATGCAGGGCGCCTAATTCGCCCTTTTTCCACTAGCGCTTCGCGCACTGAGCCACTACGCGCGCGCCTGGTGTGAGGCGAGGGGCGGACGCTGTCCGCCCCGATGCCGAACACCCTTCCCCCACTAGCGCCACTAGGGACGAGCACAAGGCCCCAGCGTGGGGACCCTGTCCCCACGCTCGGGTGGGCCTTGTTTGTCATGCAAAATACTTAGCTTACGCCTTGCCTCTTGGCACTGTCTGCATGACAAGTTCTGGCAGCTGCCCAAATAGCACTACACTCCTGTCCACATTTGTCATGCGAAACCTGCATTCTTGCTGACGCTTGTATTGCTGTTCATACGATACTAAAAATGAGAAGAACGGGGAGTTGTGCACTTTCATACGAGTTCGAGTGCTCGAAGAAATGCTGTGGAAATCGGTTCTGCAAGTCGTTTTCCTATTTGAAAAACAAAACGAGGAAGAACAACTGCTTTATCAAGTGTAAAAATGTCTGGGTCTGCAAGAGTGGAAGATTTGCGATGCAGGTTTTCCATGACTCATGAGGTCTGTAATGCATGGTCTAGCATCACAGATTTTGAGAGGGCTTCCTCGTGCCTGTTCCGCATGAGAAATGCCCTCTCGCCGTGGCAAAAACTGGACTCCTCTCGCCGGTCATGCATTACAGGTTTTTTTTTGAATCCGAAGACAGCATTACAAGTTGCAATCTTCCAGACCCAGACATTTTTACATTTGATACGCTTGCTTTTCAAGCAACTCGACGCGGCGGTCATTTCCACGAAAGCTATGCATTGCAAAAGTATCGTACTAGTAGAAATGGCATGACAAATTTGAATAGCATGACAAATGAAATTTGTAATGCAGATTTACCTTAGGAAGCAGATTTGTATTGCATGATTGCAACTGGTACGAGTACGATACTTTTGCAAAGCATAAAAGCGACGGAGCTGCGAAACACCCCCTGCGGTAAGGAGGTCTCGCACATGCAGTTTTGCCGGCAGACCGAAAAATACTGCAGCTACTTTGCCGACCCGAACGTCTCGCCGATTTTTTCGAAAGTGGATGAAGCCTCCCCGTTGACCACGCTAAGCGGAGATATGAAATGCAAAAATACCTGGGTCTGGAGACTTGTGATGCTGGGTGGCGTATCATGAGGAGGCCACAAGTGCTGGCGCAGCATGACAAGTTTCTGAGCTTCTAGGTGTTGCCCACTCTGCATGACAGACTGCGTTTCTGCACGACAGAAAAATGGGTAGGTGGCTACCGTTTGAAGTTTATAAACGAATGGGACGCCCTGCCCTTAGCCTTCCAACATGACAGAAAAATGGGGCTGCTCTTGGGTAACGTGCATGACAGATTTATTAAGAGTCATGCCAGACAAGCATGACAAACGTGCACTCTTCCAGACCCAGACATTTTTGCATTTGATAGGAGAGAACGTGAAACAAGCGGCCGCGCCGAAGTGTCAGCAGTGTCCCGATTTCAAGAACGGAGAAACCTGTGCGTCCATATGAGAGTGCACAACTCCCCCTCCCCCTCATTTGTATGGCATGATCAGCATTACAACAACCAGCGCACGTAGGGCCTGCGCATGACAAGTTCAAGCTCACGCGCGTACTAGTGCAGTACTGTTTGGGCTTCCCGAAAAATCTGTCATGCAAACAGTGCCACAATCTGGCGCTTGGATTTGGTCACTTGCATTACAAATGAGGGGGAGGGGGAGTTGGGCAATCTCATACTCCATGGTGCAGAAGCAGAAGGAGGCCGGGATGTTCGACGTGAATATTTCGAAGAGGATACTGTGAGGAAAACCGTTCCCACCTTAGAGCCAAGATGGAGATTTTGCAACACAAACCTAAAGAGTTTTGCGAGCCACGCATGACAAGTTCAAGTTGGAGGCTGTATTGTAGTGCAGTTTAGCTGGTGCAACGGAATCTTCCGCATAACAAATCCACCTCCTTATAATCCTGTCTACAGCATTACAAGTTTCATCAAAACACGATTGGAAGGGCCTCTCTACTTGGGGATGCGCATCACAAATGCTCCTCTGCTTGCCAATCTGCATGACAACTACTCTGGTGTGGGAACATTTTTCCTCAGGATGGAGGAACGGGCAGAGCGCCGACATCGACGAGCAAGCCCGGGACATGCTGATCTCCGAGTCCAGTGCGAACTGCAACATCAATTGCCAGTTCGATCCGCGGCCGTGGAAAACGTGCAAACTCGACACGGTGGATATCCAGAGGAAATTTCCCGTACACGTACAAATCAGGTCTCTGCATGACAAAGCTTGTCTTCCATCCTACTTAGCATGACAAGTGGCATGCTCTAAGTTGGCAAAATTTGTGATGCATTTTGTACATGTGCGGGACATTTCCTGTGGATAGTGGACGCTACCTACGAAAAAGACCCACTACCCGTCGTGTACGCGAGCGTCCGCCTCCGGCCCAGGATCAGAGAGTTATCAAATGTAAAAATGTCTGGAAGAATCCGAATTTTGTTATGCTGTTTTTGCATGACACAGAATGTCTGTCATGGAAGCCCTAGCATCACAGATTTTTAGAGGCCTTCCTGATGCCTATTCCGCACGACAAATGCCCTCCACGCGTAGCACAAACCGGACTCCTCTTGCTGGTCATGCAATACAGAATTTTTGTAGAGTCCAAAAATAGCATCACAAGTTTCAACCTTCCAGATCCAGACACTTTTGCAATCCATAAGAGTGGGTGCCAGACGATTGCTGTGGCGGTGAGTGGGTGTGGAACTGGAATCAGCACGGCCTATGCATTGCAAAAGCATCGTACTAGTATAAATTGCAATACAAGTTTCCTTAGCATGAGAAATAGAATATGTCATGCGGATTTGCCTAAATAAAAAGATTTGGAATGCAAGACTTGCATTTATACGAGTGCGATGCTTTTGCACAGCATACGGGCCCTGGACCGACTACCAACCCATCCGGGACATCTCGGACTTTGCGAAGTCGCGGTTCAAATTATCAAAAGGAAAAATCCCCCGTCGCCATGTCGAAACGAAGTCTGTAATGCTGGATTTGCGTACACAAATCACATTGGTCTTGCTGGAGAAGATGACTGTAAGTCCATATCAAGTCGGAGTAGAGCGGTCATGGCCTAGGCACTTAGCATGAGAGACGTCTGCGCTGTAGGCCCAACAGCATCACAGACCGCCTGCATAATGCGGCGGCTGTCTGTGGAATTGCCTTCTTGCAAGATGACTGAGGCGATTTGTGGTCGCGAATCAGCATTGCAAATTTTCTGCTCCGTAGCTTTTTGATATGGGGAGGCGGGGTCTTTCCTCGCGATACAAATTTCAGGGCAGCGAAGCGGAGCAGTCTATCACTATTAAAGGAAAGGATAGAGACACCAAGATGCGGCTGGGCCGGTCCAAACCCACGGAGGGGTTTGGTTCTTCCTGGGAAAAGGTCCTATCCCAGAAAAAAAGATTGTAGCTGTAACTTTTTTGGCTGATTAGCATTACAAACCTGTCTGGCATGACAGCAGAAACCTGTCATGCGCAGATAGCATGTCAAAACGCGCTTGAATGAGAATGAACCTTGCAATGCATGTCCAGCATGACAGACGCAATCATCTTACGTGTTGCGCATCACAAACTTACACTAACAATGTTTTTTTCCTGCATAGGTGCCCGTAAGCGACGAATACCCGGACGGGTGGCGGTACCGCGGGAAGGTCGGGGAGATGTTTATCAAAGTGAAAAATCCCCCCTCCCCATATCGAAAAGGATCGCCTCAGAGAATTTGTGATGCTGATTTGTGACCACAAATCATGTCTGTCTTGCAAGAGAGCGACGGCATGGGCTCCGCCCTATTATGCAGGCGGTTTGTAATGCTGTTGGTCCTACACCATAGACGTGCCCCATGCTAAGCGCCTAGGCCAGAACCTCTCTCCATTGGCGTGGTATGGGCCTGCAGTCCTCTACTGCAAGACCAATCTGATTTGTGTACGCAAATCCAGCATTAGAAATCTCGTTTTGATATGGGATGGGGGCTTTTTTCACTTTGATAATGTTGTTTCCGCGGCCCTCCAAAAATATGGCGGTAGACCTGCAGTTTATGGTCAAGAACTCCGACGGCCACAAGATATCCTGTGCAAAAGTATCGTACTCGTATTGCAATCATGCATTGCAAATATTTTTCCTAAGGTAAACCAGCATTACAAATTTTATTTCTCATGCTGAGGAAATCGAAATTTGTAATGCATTTATACAAGTACGATGCTTTTGCACTGCATACAAGACCACCGTGAAAAATATCGTGGTGCCGGGGCGCAACGAGAAGCTGCAGCAGAGGTTTTTGCCGTTTTTCCCCACCGACTACTTCAAAAAAGTCCAAGACATCTATGACAGTGCACAACTCCAACCCCCCCCCCTCATTTGTATGGCATGAACAGCAATATAACCACCAGCACACATGGAGCCTGTGCATGACAAATTCATGTGCCTAATGTAGTACTATTTGGGCTTCCGGAATTTGTCATGCAAACAGTGCCACAAGGCAGCGAGAGCGACTGGATTTGGGATTTTGCGTGACAAATGAGGGGGAGGGGGAGTTGTGCACTGTCATAATATCGGCGGGGTGCGGAAAGTCATCCAGAAAGCGTGGCGGATGAAGAACGAGATCAACCCGGTATCCTATGTAAAAACGTCCCCACAACTTCCGCCCCAGAGTTGTCATGCAGATTTGCAATGACAGGAACATTTGTGATGCGCATACCCATGATAGTCATCTCATTGCCATTTCCAATTGTGTTTTGAAATTTGTAATGTTGTAAACAGGATGAGTAGATAGCTTTGTGATGCGGCTGTCCTTGCTAACCTGAACTACACCACGGACTGTAGCGCGTCATGCGTGACTCCCAAAACTTCTGGATTTGTGTTGCGCACTGCCCAAAAATCAGTGACTCCGGGACGAAGGTGGGGACCACGTTTTTCCACAGGATACCCGGACCGTGGAATTTTTCGGAACGCCATTGTGGAATTCGTGAACCGGAAGAAGATACGCATGGCAAAAGCATCGCAATCATAGTGGGAACAATTGCATTACAAATTTGCGCAGCATGAAGAATTGAATTTCTCATGCGGATTCGCGCACAAAGATAGATCTGTCATGCGTGCTTGCAATTGATTCCACCTGTCCTGAATGCGATGCTTTTGCACAGGATAGAAGGCCAAGGTGCTCTACTGGGACCCGGTCCACGAGGAGGCCGTCTTGCAGGACTTGGCTACCTATGGATTGCAAATACAGAATTTGTGTTGCTGAAGCGCGCATCGCAGAAGGTGTCCGCTTGTACGGCATGATAACAGCATGAGAAATTTTGCGAGGCTTAGGTTTGCAGATTCACTCCTCGTGATAAAACGCATGACAAAGAACTTCACAGCATGACAAAAAAAACTAGCGACTCGTATTCACGCATCACAGATCTTGTAGTCCTTCAAAGCTCGCATGACAAAGACCGTCGATATTTGCAACGCATACTACCTCGCGCGTGTTCTACCAGCAGCGACCGGAGGTGCACTTTCACGCCCCGAGGGCTAAGGACAACTACACCTGCCACGAGGGGATCCGCGTGCAGACGCGGTTATGCACTGCAAATATGTCTGGGTTTGGAAGGATGCAGCTTGTCATGCTAAATTTGGATCATGCAAAAATTTGTGTTGCATGATTACCAAAAACTGTCCATTTTTGACCAAGTTGGGAGTGAGTTTCTCTTTCTCATGCAGGATAGGCATGATACAGATCATCTCACAGAATCTGTCATGCTAGATCCTGCATTGCAGACCTCATGTGTCATGTGGAACCTGCATGAGAAGTCTTGTATTCTTCCACACCCAGACATATTTGTACTTGATACCGGTTGCACGAGATCAAAACCGTGACCGCGCCGTCGCAGGAGGAGTGCGCGGTGCAGTGTGTATCCTGTGCAAAAGTACCGTACTCGTATAAGGAATGCCAGACTAGCATGACAAATCTGGTTTCTTAGGTAATTTAGCATGACAAATTATTAATTATTAATTTTTCATGCTGAGCTAATTTGTAATGCAGTTTATACTAGTACGATGCTTTAGCTTTTGCAGTGCATAGTGTGACAAGCAGACCAACTGCGAGAGTTTTGACTTTTTCAAAGGCGAGGAAAAGTGGCGAACGTCGAAGCAAATGAACTGTCATCTCTACTCGAAGAACGGGCACACGAAAGAGCTGCTCTTGCGGGACAGGTATCAAGTGCAAACGTGCAGCCTGGGTCTGGAGGAAAACTGTGATGCCGGTTTGTTAATGGTAGGCGCACTGCAACTTCTATACGCGGCGAAGCATGACAAAATTTTCAAAATCCTATCACACCCAGATCCATGTTTGCAATGCATAACAGGCAGGGGTTGCGGAAGGAAAAAATCCATTTTGGAAGACGCAAGGCGGACATTAACATGGACTTGGAAAATATCAAACAAAAAAAGTTCGTCACGATCATTCATGCGCATTTTTGCAATACAAAACTTTCTGTCATGCGTAAAAATGCATCACAGCCAAGCTTCGCGAGGGATCTCCCTAGCGTTTGTGCAAGACAAGGACAAGCTTTGATGCTAAAAGTTTTTGTAATGCAAAACCTGCAAGTTAGTGACATGACTGTGACAAACTTTTTTCTCTTCATAGAAAAGGTGCTGCCAAACTACAAGCAGAGCAAGCACAGCAACGAGTATTCCCGGATGGGAATTTAGGCAAAGAAAAAACTGTTTCACTGTCAACTTGTAATGCAGAAAATGCATCTTAGAAGTGTTTGTCTTGCTACACATGCAAGACACTGGATTTTTAGCTGTGTTTTCCCATTGGAACCTCGCATGGCAAATTGTCTCTGTCATGCGGAACAAACTTGTGATGCGAAACTTGCAAAATCCTTACAGTGAAACACTTTTATCCTGTGATAGAATTCCGTTCCTCGAAGCACCTCTGAAGCCCGACAAAGAGCAGGAGAAGACTTTCATTTTCCAAATCCCGTGCGTATAAACTGCAAAGGTATCGTACTAGTATAAATTGCAATTATACAAATTAGCTCAGCAGTACAAATTGAATTTGTAATGCGGATTTCACTTAAGAAAAAGATTTGTAAATGCATAAAAGCAATTAGTACGAGTACGATACTTTTGCACTGGATAGTGCGAGGCGTGCATCAACTCCTGGGCCCGACACGGCATGGCGGTCACGGAAACCAAGGATTTCAACCAGGATATCGCAAGGGAAAATCCCGCCTCCCCATATCGAAAAGGTATGTCTCAGAAAATTTGTAATGCTGATTTGTGACCACAGATCGTCTCTGTCTTGCAAGAACGCGGTCGGTTTGTAATGCTGTTTGCCCTACAGCCTAGACGTTTGCCATGGTCAGCGACTAGCCCAAAACATCTCGTCTGCTCACTCTTACTATAGGCATGCAGTCCTCTCAAGCAAGACAAATCTGACTTGTGTACGCAAGTCCAGCATTGGAAGCCTCGTTTTGTTGATATGGGGAGGAGGGACTTTTCCTTTTGATACAAGACCTGGACCCCGACAGCGCCGGCGATTTTTCCAAAAGCGTCCACATGGGCACCGGCGCCACCAGGGGACTGAACGGCGCGCGAGACCGGCTGTGGTGCAGAAACGGGAACGGTGCCTTGGTCAATAACCGATGCTCGGTGCAGGAGCTGGGGCACGCACGGCGGTATCGAATGCAAATGTATGTCTGCTGGGTCTGCTGGTGAAGACTGTTGCAACTTGTGATGTGCTACCTTTGGACTGTTCTATTAGAACAGTCCAAAGGTAATTTTTATCAAATAAAAATCTGTATCGCCTGAGCAGAAAGAAGAACAGTCCAGTTTTTGCTACGTGGACGACGAGGAGCATTTCTCATGCCCGGATGGACATCAAGGCGGCTTCTTCAAAACGTCTGTGATGCTGGGGCCTACGTTACAGATCGATCATGCGTCATGCAAGATGTGCATGGCAATAAACGTAAACCTTGTATCCTTCGTGCAGACGCAGATCCAGACACAATTTGCACTGCATAGGGGGAACCGGCAGGCAAAATGGTATACGAAGGGCACGTATCAACTGCAAAAATGTCTGGGTCTGGAAACTTGTAATGCTGCGTTGGGAATAGTGAATGCTCTGTAATGCACAGGCAAGCATGCGAAATATCTGCGCACCTTTGTGTTGCGTTTTTCGCATGACAAACTGCGTTTTTGCATGACAGGCAAAAGGGTCTCTTCTTGGACACGCATCACAAACTTTTTGGTCATGCCAGACAAGCATGACAAGTCTCGCAATCTTCCAGACCCAGACATATTTGCAATCCATAGCACGTTGGATTACGAGGAACAGGACGAGAAGGGCCGCATGGTGAGAAAGGAAGCCATATCCCGTGTAAAAACATCCCCACCCCAGAGTCAAGATAAGTGGCCACATTATACCATAGTTATTTCCGTACTTCACCTACGTCATTCTCTCCTTTTTAACTTCAACAAAGTTCGAAACTTCTCTGTGCTTTAAATTTGGTCTTTTCCAGTACATAAAACACCCCAGAGTCAAGATGGCGACTTTTTGCTACACAAGTCAACAAGTTTAGGCTGTTCTGCATGACAGATTTGAGCTCGTAAGTAGGTAGTCCTGTTCAGCTAGTGTGTTCGTATTACAAATCGACAACCCTATCCTGCTTGGAGCATGACAAACTCCCAGGTAATATTAGAAAACGCTCCAGCTCTGCATGGGGCTGCGCATGAGAAATGTTCTAGGCTCGCAGATTTGCATGACAAGTCTGGGGCGGGAGCGTTTTTGCGGAGCATAAACCAAAGTGATTGACAGAGTGCCAGATGAAGGCATGTACACCGAGCCCGCAGTTGAGGCGAAAGACGGGCGCCACATGTATCCACAGTACTTCTAAATCATTTCCCGTACTGCGCACACAGTGACAGCAACAGCTACAGCTGCGGTTTCTACTGCATCACAAAACTTGCCTTCGATCCTAGAGTCAGCATGACAAGTCGTGTTACACTCTAGTACGTCATGGCGAACAAGTTTGTCATGCACTTTGCACATCGTGTAGTACAACGGGAAAATAAAGATAAATTTGTATTGCATAACATGGTACAGGACCACATTACGCCGTACAGGAAGTATCTTTGGGGCTACGGCCGTGTAGAGATGGGTCTTAACGAGGACGCACCGGAGTACTGGCACCATTGCGACCGGAAAAAACCGCACACCGGAATCTACCCAGAGTAAACTTCCCGTACGCGTACAAAGCTGGTTTCTGCATGACAAACTTTTCTTCCAATTCTACTCAGCATGGCAAGTGACATGCTCCAACTTGGTAAAATTTGTCATGCATTTTGTACATGTACTACAGGAAATTTGTATTGCATAGAATTATCAACAGGAACAGTAGCTCCGCTGTCATCAACAATTCCATGATGCAGGAAATTTGCCGACCCGCCTGGGAGCGGCCCGGTGTGGCGAACGGAGTCGATATGTGCCACTCACGGTGTGTGTTCGAGTTGCAGGGAAACGGGAAGGAGACATCCTTGGTGGATGGAAGCAAAAACGAGAAGCCGGGGGGTATCGACCAGGATATTTCCTGCCGCAAAATGTGCTTGGACCATGCGATTACGCCCTACAACCCACGGTGGGACGATTTGGACGAAAACATGAAGGCGGTGCTGATGAAGGATCAGTACGTGGAGTCTCCGGAGGGAACGAACACGGGGAGGAACAGCAACCCCGGAGCCATCAAGCTCCGGCCGTACCTGAACAAGAAGTGCAACGCCATCTACGACTTTTTCTGCAGAAAAGACGCTCCGGGGAGGTCCCACTGGGAGAAGGGGAACCCGCCACCGCACCCAAAAGACAAGGACAAACCCCCGTCCAAGTGGCATCACGGGAGGTGGCCCTTCACGCACGACAGCTACGAGTGCATGGACCTCCACGACCCCATTCGCGACGAGCCGAACCCCATCGACCCCAGCTGCTGTGGCGGCTGGGCCGAGCCGTTCTCGAACAACCACGGGCGGTACAGCAGCTGGTCGCCGTTTCCGAAGATTTTCTGCAACCAGTTCTACCGCACCGATATGGCGTTCGGAAAACGATTTGGGCAGGAACTGGGCGCAATCGACAAGGAGCACGACCCGGTGGAGACGCCCAACGTGCCGGAGGGCGAGTTGAAAGCGGTCGACCCGGTGACCGGAGACACGACTACGTTCTCCGGCTTCAACAAGCATCGCCAGCGGGGGCACTGCGAGGTGCCGGAGCGTGGGAAGTATCATGAGGAAAAATCCCCCCTCCCAATAATCAGGCGGAGGTTTGTGTAGCATGATTTGTGATCACAAATCACATTGTCATGCTAGAAGGGAAGAGATGCGGAGTGTAGTGCTGGCTGGCGTGGGAATAAACCTTTGCGTCTTCAACATAACAAAAAACAACTAAAAGTGGGACACCGCATGACAAATTGCCCGCAAACGAGGCCGCGACTGTGTCTCTTGGCCTTCTAGCAAGACAAGTCGATCTGTGTACGCAGATCCAGCACCACAAATATCCTTTTCGACATGTTGGGGAGGGGGAATTTTTCCTCACAATAGAAAGCCGATGGATATCATCTACCCCTGGGAAGACCACCACGGGGATACGGTCGGGAAGCGAAATATGGATGTGTCAGGATCGAAATCGTCAAAGTTGAAATGATTTGCCATGCATAAAATGCAAGACATGAAGCACCTGTCTTGCCGGGATGGCAAGTGAGGCAGATTGTGAGCCTATTTAGGGTTTGGGATAGAGCTGCTAAAAGAGCATGACGAAAGCAGTCTTCTGTGCCCAAACAGCATGACAAATTGGATTCCGGTGCTCCGAAAATTTGTCATGCGCCGCTTAAAAATTAGGCTTCCAACTGGTATCCATTTTATGCATGACAAATCATTTCAAGAACTTTGTCGCTTTCAAACCTGACGCTTCCATACGAAACAAACGATACACCATGGACCCAGATATGAATCGCAAAAGCATCGTACAACTATTAGTATTTGCATTACAAATTAGCTCAGCATGGCAAATGGAATTTGTCATGCTGTTTTACCTTGGGATGGAGATTTGTAATGCATAACTGCAAGAATTACTACGAGTGCGATACTTTTGCAGAGGATACCAGAGTCCTGTCTACAAATGGGGCATTCAGTGTTCAAGGAAATGGAGGACGCGTATTACGATTTCGCGAGGCTGCAGTCCGGGCACCAGGGGTCCGGCCGCATGTTCGCGTGGGACGCGGTAGATAAAAGGGCGTACCACGGAGGCATAAGAGATGTTCGCGGCATGCGGTGGCATGAAAACAATACGAAGGTGACCATGGAGCAGTGCCGCATGCCGGTCGTCATGGTAACGAAGCACATGGGCGATCAGGAAGCTAGCTCCTTTGACGTGTCTCCCATGAAGCCTGCCTGCCGGTATGCGAAGAAAAAGCTGTTTCACGGTTTTTACACATTGTGTTGCAGGCATCGCAAGACAGACAAGTTCTGTCATGCCGAAGAAGATGCTCAGGAGCCTAGAGTTTCATACGTGTTTATTTCCCTACCGATTTTTGCATTGCAAGTTTTCTCTGTCATGCAAGGCAAATGCAAATTTGTGATGCTGAGTTGTTCATTACAGATGTGTAACCTCTGCAACACTTTTCTCCTTTGATAGCCGGGTGCACATCGCCAGTAAGGATTTCGAAGATAAGGACCCGAACGACACAGATACGTACTTGCAGCAGTCGGAAGCCCTGGGCGTATCAACTGCAAATATGTCTGGGTCTGGAAGGGGACAAGTTTGCCATGCACATTTTCCATGATCCACGATGTCTGTTATGTATGCCCTAGCATCACAGATTTTGTGAGCGCTTATCGATGCGCACCCCGCATGAGAAATGCCCGATCCACGTAGCCAAATTTGGCTGCTCTTGCTGCTCATGCAATACAGATTTTTTTAGCATCCACATGCAGCATCACAAGTTGCACTGTTCCAGACCCAGACATTTTTGCAATGCATAGCGCGCCCTTCACGACGAGACAAACAACGGAACCGAGGGTGTGGAGGGCATCCCAGAGGACGGGGCGGACCTACCGGAAGGAGTCTCGGTCTGAGTTGGTCTTTATGCAGTTGTGCAAATGGAGCAATATGAATATCCTCGTACCCCTACCTGTATACAACCCTGCAGAACATTTTTTTTTGGAACTCTGTTTTCATTTCGGAGCAAGTTCTCCAGTTTGCAAAGTCAAAATTTAGAGCTCTATTTTGGTACAGGTGACGTTTCTAGCACAAAAAAAAAATTCAGCTTAATTGTTTGCGTTTCGGAAGTAGACAAAAAAACTTACTAGCAAAAATTTTCAGCAGAGCAGATGCAGAGCTTTATCCTCCATTTCATTGTAAATATTGACTAGATGATAAAATTGACGATGATTCATTTATTTTCGAGAAGTGTGTTTTATCCGTATTGAAGTTGTGCAAAGTACTATTTTGGATAGAAAAGAAGAACACTATTTTACGTTTTTCATTGTCTCGGCAGAATTAGTGATCCTTAAAGTTGTTGATGCAGAGAATACAGTGCGACGTTCACGTTGAAGATCTTGATGTACCTACTCCAATATAACTGTAGTGAGGTGCGACTTGAGCTTTGTTTCTAGTGCCGTAGTCATTGATTCCTAGAATTACTTGATCGACGCGGGCTGGGTGGATTTGGTTTGAGAATAGAGTGTACTTACTTACTATCAGAAGCTGCAAATGTTGGCAGACTCAGCTTTGCTAAAACTCGATTAAGACGACACCAGAATTTTTAGTCCGTGGATGAGAAGTGTGGCTGAGATGGATACATCAATCAGGAACTGATTTTGTGTCCCAAGAACTTGAACTTGTATTTGATTGGATCAAAGAAAAAGCTGTACCCAGAAAAGCAAAACGATTATTGATCAGGTGCACACAAGGCCCCCTTATGTTCTGCGGGCGATGCCGATGCCGATGCGGACGAGAAGAAGGACCTGTTGGCCTCAGTGTCAGTAGTACTAGTTAGTACGCTGGTGAAAAAAAATATTCTAAATTTCCTTTTCGTCGTCGTGTCTGTGTCTCTCTTATGTCTATTCGCTGCGTGGTGCGAGCCTTTATATTGCGGAATACAACGTCGGTGAACAGGATGAAGATGAGTGGCCAGCTGATGGTTTTTTTCGGGTTTGATGATCGTTGGAGATGTGATGCTGCTCTTTGTCGCTGCTCAAGATGATCTGCTGGAAAAAAATGGAAACGGCACACAAGTGATGTTGGCTTTTTTCTGGTGAGGCTGAGAATGGCGTGGTGCTGGTGCCTGACCACCAGAACCTCGAGGAAGTAGATGGATCTGCTTTATTCCCAACCTCTGCTAAACTCGTGTAGTAGAAGAACCTAGTTCATTATTCGGAAATGGTATCAGCATCAAGTTGTCGTTTTTTATATCCCGATCCGATGTCCAAGCGTGCGCCGTCCCAGGATGTGAGCTTGTTCTACTCCGTGCTGTGGCGCATGATCTCTTCTGCATTTATGAAAAGAGAAATTCAAATTTTAGCATAAGTAGAGCGCGCCCTTTTAAAGGTAGTAGCTCTTCTTCATCTGGTGGTGTTCCGTATACAGAACTCGGAGGTAGAAGCTATGTGTGTAGTGATGTAAAAGTAAATACAAATAGCTATCGCGACCACGCGAAAAAATAAATTCGCCATGCAAATAGACGAGATCGAGGAGGTGCCCTCCAGCGACGAGGACGAGCCGGAGGCAAATCCCTATGTACAACCTCCACCACAACAAGCTGCACTTCTTACTCACGGAACGCCGGGCCACTTCAGCTCGTCTGAGATCCCAAAAAGATCCTATCAAGATCCTGGCCGCTGGGCTACTTCGGCGCCCCGAAATTACGAATCAGGCCCAATGTTTTGGCCTTCGCTCTGCCTCCTTTGTATAGCAAATTTGCGCGGCCTTTTCTGGGCGTGTCGCATAGCTGCCGAGCTTTTCCTGGCCCCTCCCCCGCCTAGAATCTATGGATTTGGCGGCGCAAAAAAGTGGCCAAAAAAGTGTCCTCTGGACAGGATCTTGATCGGAACTTTATCGGATCTTGAACGGAACTTTTTAGGAACTTTTTTTTGGCCTCTGAAGCTTTCGCCATACCGCCGTGATTGGCGACTTTGAACATTGTTTGAACATTGGCCGGATCCTTTGTTCGGGGTTCAAGAAGTGGCCCTTCTCCCTTTGAAACACGGGCTGTTTCTTTGATTCAACAAATTCAGCGGCTTCGTTTCTTTTTGAATCAAAAAAAAAACTCGCTTTGGGCTAGTGCGCCGTCTTTTGCTGGACCATTTCCGACCTGGCCTTGTCCTCGGGCTCAGGTATATCTGGCCCATGGAGGCGAGATGGACCCTGCGGACGGGGGCAATTCCGTCCATTGCCGGGCCCCAGATTGTTCCGCGTCGCGCCAGGGCTTTTACAACCGCGCGACCACTCGCTCGCCTTTGTTGGGCGTGGTTATTCGTCACTCCCAGCAAGCTAGCGCCTGTGGCAACGCCCGCGGGGCGTCTGGCCCTTTCTCACATCTACCATACCTTCGTGTAACGCGCGTTACACGAGCGGTCTATGCTTCCCTTTCGTCGGCAGGCTGTCCCTGGAAGCTACAGAGGGGCGGACGCTCCGAATCTTTCCGACCCCTCCCCCTGGGGTGTCGGGGGTAATCTTTTCAGGATCTTCGTGGGTTCTCAGGGCGTCGTCTGTGGCCCGTCGTGCCGCCAGTAAACTTCGGAACAACAACTTTTCTACCCCAGCACAGCCCTTGCAGGATGAAAATAACAGCACCAGAGGACCTGCTCTTTCACGACGACCACCGCATGATTTTTATCAGCCAATAAACCAACTACCAGGTCGTGGACCCCCGGTAGGAGGAGGAGGAGGAGCAGGAGGCGCTCATGCTCAACCCCCACACCACCACCTCCCGTCAGCGACTGCGTATGGCGCAGCGCCCGGGCGGCAACCGCGTGGTGGTGGACTGCAAGAACTGCAAGCGGCAGCAACAGCTTCTGGTGTAGGTTGCACTTCTACGAGTACAATAAGCGGTGGGCAGCATGTTGTGTTTTCCGCACTGCAGCAACCCCCGGCGCAAAAAGGCGCCTCTCTATTCGGACCAAGTACACTTACACAAAGTACTAGAGGGCTACACCGGCACATGTTACCGCCGCCGCTGGTGCCGGCGGGGCAAGTGCAACCAGGCCTTCCTGGCGGTAACAGCACTAGCAGCACCGCGGAAGGAGCTAAAAAAAATTTCCAGGAAATTATACCTGGTGTAGTACTACAAGAACCCTCGTCAAGTTCTTTCCCTTTCTCTGGACCTTCGCAGATTAAACCCAGCTCTGCTTCTGCTGCTGTCGTGCAGCCAACTAGATTTGGAGGTAGTAGCGCCTCTAGTGGGGCTGGGTTTGGATCATTTGGTAATCATAATCCCGCTGTAAAAATAAAACAGCAGCCGTCAACGCCCGTCGCTCCATTCGGTGCCGCTTTTGGAGGACCTAGTGCAGCTGCTGCGCCGACGTCGTTCTTTGGGGGTTTCGGCAATTCAAGTAGAAATGCCACTGCTAGTGGAACAAACATAGCGGTGGGGAATGCGGCGGCGCCTTCCTTTGGCGCCGCAACACCGGGTATTAACAAGCAGGCAACTAGTTCAAGTGGAAGTGGTTTCATCTTGTCCGCACCACAAGCGCAACAGCAGTTCGGCAGCTTCGGTGCGACGACGACGAGCACTAACACTGGCCGCACCACCGGATTTGCATTTGGCAACACGAGGACAAACAACGCTTTTAATACCAACCAGCCGGCGCAGTTCAACCAGTCGACCTCGCAATTTTTCCAGTCGACCTCGCAATTCGGACCAGTGCAACAACCACAACTAGGAAAAAGCGGAAATAATGTTACAGTGAACAACAAAAATAGCACCACAACACATCCAGCTGTTTCACACCTACTACAGCTTGGGGCCCCGATGAGGAACCTGTACGAGAAGAATGTTCGCACGGCTGAACAAGAAATAGCGGAGATGCTGGGCGACAAGTACGTGAATGAAAGCGAACTGATGAACCGCCTACAGGTCTCCACCATGCGGCTGCTCTGTCGCGAACTGAAACTGACCATGGGCAACAGCAAGAGAGAGTGCGCGCTCGCCTTATCGGGTAAGGTTTTGCGGAAACGGGTGAATGAACTCGCGCGGGACGGGTTCGGTGGGGGAGTGTCGGGTGGGGGATCGACGACCTTCTGGTGGGCGCGGGAAGTAGTCGGGATAGGAGGTGATGGTGCTCCTGACAAAAGCAGCACAGTAGGTGAGAGGAACGACCACCAGGAAATAAATGCAGTGGATGCTAGTATTGGAGGTGAAGACCGTTTCAATATGTTTTCCAGATCACGAACTCTTGTTCCCTATCCTTCGTCACCCGAGAGAACATCAAATAAAGCCCGGATGATGAGGAGATCCTACAGTCCGGAGATAGTGAAGTACCGAAACGAGTTCCACCAGAAGGTCACCAGCGGTTTCGACACGGGGCAAAAATTGCTAAAAGTCATCATGAAGTGGCTGGATACCAGCAAGGGCGTGCAACGCCCCCGGATCAAGCATCTGGGTTGTTGGACGCCAATGTATACAAATTACTGCCCCCCCACGGGAACAACTGGAGGAGGGGCTGCACCTACTACAGGTGGACCGATGCAGACACGCAGCTTTGATGTTCATCGCGGCGGCGACATTTTCGTCTGCGAGGGCACGAAAAAGCCGGGCATTCACGACGTGGTTGCGGGAATTACCGCGAACGGAGAATATCAAAAGGAAAAATCCCCCCTCCTCATATCAAAACGAAGTTTCTGATGCTGGATTTGCGTACACAAATCAGATTTGCTAGAGAGGACTGCAGGCTTAGGCTGAGCCTGAGTAGGGAGGTTTTGGGCTAGGCGTTGAGCATGGCAAACGTCAAGTCTGTGGGGCCAGCAGCATCACAAACCGCCTGCAGAATGCGGCGGAGCCTGTGGAGTTGCGTTCTTGCAAGACAGAGGCCATCTGTGGCCACAAATCAGTATTGCAAATTTTCTGAGACGTGCCTTTTCGTCATGGGGAGGCTTTTCCTTACGATAGAGAAAAGGTGGACTCCATTCCCTGGCTGTACGCCGAATGCACAACGTGCAGCGGGAAACAGGACAGCCTGCTGAGTAACTTTGTCAACTACAACATGCGCGGCGGGAAGTGGTTGGCGAAAACCGGGTTTGCACAGCTGGAAAGTTTAAAATCTCCGCGTTTACTGCTGCTCTTCCGGCCGCGGATATGCATTGCAAATATCCCTGGATGTCTGGAAGGATGGAACTTGATGTGATGCGTCTGGTGGATCACACAAATTTTATCTGTCTTGCGTGATCAACAATGAGGCCCTTTCCTGACCAGCATGAGAGGGAATCTTTCATGCAGGACAGGCATGATAGAGACCTCGCAGATGAATCTGTCATGCTATGTCCTGCATTCCAGACCGTATGGGGCATGGAAAGTCTGCATGACAAGTTTGCACTCTTCCAGACATCCAGGGATATTTGCACTTAATAGCGGAGCGTCGCCGACAACTTCTGCTGCGAGTTGCTGATTGATACCGATTATGAATTGCAAAATCACCGTACCTACTCGTAGTAATTCCATTTTATATATGCATTACAAATCTCTTTCTGAAGGTAAATCAGCATTACAAATTAAATTTGTAATGCTGGGCTAATTTGTAATGCAATTTATACGTAGAAGTACGATGGTGCTTTTGCAGTTCATACCGATTCGGAAGAAGGAAAGCGGTGGATGGAGTATTTTCTTCTGGAAAAATTTCAGTTCTCAGAACAACAGCCAGAACTTGGCGTTGTACAGCAGCGGGGAACAGAAGTTGCACTTCCGCAGGAACAGCGCGGTCTTGTCTCCAATACAGACCTACCATCATCTGGCATAAGCGCAGCAGCAGCTATTGGAGCTCCGGATCATCTTCATGTGAACAAGACGTCCACTGGGACGAGCTCTTTCAAGGATTATCTGCGTGTGGTGCACAAGAATGTTGTTCCTCCGGCGACCACTTCGGCCAATCAAAGTCTGGCATCTGCTAGTTCAACATCCGCCCAATTCTTTTTCAAGCTCCAGGATTACGACCAGGTTTTGCGCATGCTGCAAGAGTTCGTTTCCGACAAGTGGCTCCAGAAATGGCGGTGGTGGAAGATGAGACCGCAGAACGAAGTTGTTATACACCACGTTGACCAGGGGAGGGCTGCGCCTTCCGTAGAAGTACGACACCAACCCCATGCTGCTCAGCAGGGAGGGACGGTGCTGTTAAACACTGGAGCTGTACCTCCATCCAGTGCAAACGCAATGCATCAGTTTCAGCCAAACTATAGCTATCCAAACAGTAACTCCGCGCCCCATCGTCGATATAATCTTCATGCTGGTGCGGGTGCGCCACCGCATGTTGTTCACCAGAGCTATGAACGGCAAAAGTATCGTACTCGTATAAATGCATTACAAATTTCCTCAGCATGAGAAATAAAATTTATTGTCATGCGGATTTACCTTAAGGAAAAAATTTGCATAACTGTGATTACTACGAGTGCGATACTTTTGCACAGGATAAGAGTGCAACCACCACAACAGCCTCGTCTGCGCAACCGGCCGCATCGTCCTCTTCGACTTTGAAGCAGATTCCCGCCCATGAGCTGTGGGACAGAATCTGGATCGACCCGATTCCCGCCTTGCACTTCGAATTGCTGAAGCGGGACACCAGTTTGTTTGATGCGAGCAACAGAAGCAGGGCCTCGTCGAGAGCCACGAGTGTGCTGGAATTAGTGCTGAAATTTTGCAAAAAAGTCGCGCACTTGAGTTGTAGTGTTTCGGAAAACACAGACCCGGGTGAGGAGGACATGAATTTGGAGAAAGTGCAAGAAAATAAAGATGACGTTCTTGCACATCAAGTTCTACATCTCTCCTTCAAGGAAAAGCTGACAAGGGCCCGGGAGCAGTTCATTGAGAACCACCGACATCTCAGCCTCGGGACAGACACAAACGAGATGGAGAACAATGTGGCACTTTACCATGTATGCATTGCAAAGGTACCGTACTTGTCCCAATTGCAAATATGCATTTACAAATCTTCTTCTTAAAGGAAAATCCGCATTACAAATTCAATCTGTAATGCTAAGTCAATTTGTGATGCAATTTATACTTAGTACGATGTTTTTGCAATGCATACCATGACATTCTACTGGACATTGATTCCTATGTCCGACAGCTCTACGACTCAAAAATCTGGACCCGCCTGGCCCGCTACCAGCGCGAGGGGGTGCTGAGGATGTTGAAGACCAACAACTGTCGTGCGATTTTGGCGGACGACTGCGGGCTGGGGAAGTCGGCGCAGGCGCTGGCGACACTGGCGGCTTTGCCCGCGGCGGAGGCTTTTCCGTATCGAAAGGAAACATCCCCCGTCCCCATATCAAAACGAAATTTCTGATGCTGGATTTGTGTGCACAAATCCGAGCTGTCTTGCTGGAGAGCACTGCAGGCCCATACTAAGTGTGAGTAGAGAGGTTTTGGCGGCCTAGGCGCTTAGCATCAAAAACCTCCGTGCTGTAGGCCCAACAGCATGACAAACCGCCTGCACAATGCGGCGGCTGTCTGTGGAGTTGTCTTCTTGCAAGACAGACACGATTTGTGACCACAAATCAGCATCACAAAGTTCCACAAATATACCTTTTCAGTATGGGGAGGGGGGATTTTTCCTTTTGATATCCCGGTGTTGATCATCTGTCCCGCGAGCTGCAGGAACACCTGGGCTATCCTGTGCAGAAGTATCGTACTCATATTGCAATCATGCATCACAAATCTTTTTCTCAAGGCAAATCCCCATTACAAATTTCATTTCTCATGCTGGGGAAATTTGTAAATGCATTTATACGAGTGCGATACTTTATTTGCAATGCATATGGGCGCTGGAAATCGAGAAGTGGTTATCGCCCTTGTTGAATCCGCTGGAAGTGTTCTCGACGAGATCGGGCGCGTTTGAAATCTATCAAGTGCAATAAATATGTCTGGGTCTGGAAGATTGCAAGAGTTGTCATGCTAGTCTGGCATGACTCTGCACTCTGTATTGCGTGGCCACAAACAGCCTCTCTCGCCTGTCATCTCATGCCGCAACGCAGTTTCTCATGCGAAATACGCAGCACAGAAGCACGAGAAAACTTGTCATGCTTGGCTGCACATTACAATTCACCTATTGATCCCTGACTTGCATCACAAGTAGCCAGACCCAGGCATATTTGCAATGCATAAAATCTTTGAGGAGTATCGGAAAGCGGAAAAAACCGCGAAAGAGCGCAACGACCCGGAGTATTTGAGCTCCAAGAAATTTGTCTGCATCACCTCGTTATCCTGTGCAAAATTATAGTACTCGTACTAATTGCGTTTATGCATTACAAATTTCTTTTTCAAGGTAAATCAGCATTACAAATAATGCTGGGCTAATTTGTAATGCAATTTGTGCTAGTACGATGCTTTTGCATTGCATACTCGTACCACCTTGCTTCCCGCTGCCAGGACCAGTTTACGCAACACAAATTTCATCATTTCCCCTGCAAGCACAAACTGCATCACAAATTTCACCAATTTATTTGGAGCGCATCTGTCACTTGTCATGCTGAACAGGATTGGAGAAAAATTTTGTCATGCGGGAAACCGCATTTTTATGTGCAGTACGGGAAAGTTAAAAAATTTACGTGTGGATCCTTTTCCACCGGATCCCGTGGAAATTCGCGATCGTGGACGAGATTCACCAGTTTCTCTATGCATTGCAAACACGTCGGGGTTTGGAAAAGTGCAACTTGTCATGCTGCCTCTGGACTCGAAAAAAATCTGTATAACTGCACGAGCAGCAACAGGAACCCAGTTCATGCTGTGCGGAGATGGCATTTCTAATGCGGGGTAGGCATCAAAAAGCCCTCAAAAGATCCGTAATGCTAGGACATGCATCACGGACGTCATGGGCCAAGCGAAACATGTGAACCAGTACACGAAGGGTACCCAATACGCGAAGGGTACCTACAACATACGAAAGGACCAGAATACATACGAAAGGAGAGAGGAGCAGCGAAATCCGCTATACAAAAAAGCAGTTTTTGTATGTACTGCCGGACGCAGACAACGGAGTTGTATGGTCCAAGAAAAGCGAGTAAAAAGCTGGCCGTGAGTGTGGCAGAGCAGCAAATTGCTACTCAAAGCAGGCCACAATGCACCGCGCGCGAAAAAATCGCTCCGCGGAACAACAGAAGAGCGCAAAAGGGGGCTTGCGGAGAGCGCACTGCGCACAAGGAGCGACACAAGCGGAGAAAAGGGGCGCTAAACCAAAAAAACTAGCGGCGCGCGCGCGGTGAGGACCTATTGCGGATCGATATTTTGTTAGCAGGCGGTGGGGGCACGCTTGCAGGCGGCGCTTCGAAAACATACAAGGGCCGAGCTTGTTTCGTGTGCGCGCTTTGGTAGCTAGCAGAGTTATCTCGCTCCTTAGCACTCTTGCTGCAGAGTCTACTGAAAGTGGAGAAGACCGAGGTGTAGCTCATCTTTTTTCAATGTTATTCACTGAGTGGCTGTTTTGTTTTGGCTACGCAGCCACGTATTGCAGTCGGACAAAACCAGGGCAATAAAAAACGAGGGCGCAGGGGCATCGTAGGACCAGTTGCGTACTACGGGGCCCCGAGTAGTTACTGGGGGCCCCGTACTTGACGGCCGGGCCAGTGCTGGAAGGGTCCGGCGGGACCAGAAGGGGCCAGACAAAATGGCCATTTTATATGCACTGGCGATTTGTATGTGGCGTTTGTTCTAGGACAGGAAGGGGCAGGGCCCTTCGTGTACTGGCATACAAATATATTATGGGGGTATCAGTAATTACTGGTTCACATGCATGATAAACCAGCGCGCTTTTTCTTTTCCAGACCCAGACGCTTTTGCAATTCATATCCTTTGTCCGGAGCTGAAATCGAAGTACCGGAGAAACCAAGCGATCGAGGAGTGGAGAACGCAGAGTCGCGTGGCCCAGGTGGATCGCAACCGAAACGGGGGTGACATCTCGAATATCCGGAAGCACACGATGGAGCTATTAAAGCGCATGTCGAAGATCCTGCTGCTGTCAGGGACGCCCCTAGGCTCCAGTAGCAGCGTCTCTGCGATTTTTGGAATCGCGCAGCTGATCGGAATCCCCATGACCAATGAGGGTGCTGCACGTGTTGGCGCAAGTGCTTTGATGTCCTCCCCGACCTCGTTTTCAAAGGACCTTGTCCAAGTGGGACCAACGAGAATTCCAAACTTTTTCGACACCCTGAACGAGGAGCACTTCCTAAAACGCAACTGGGACCTGTGCGAGCACACGTGCGAACGAGCCGACGAGCTGGCGTACCTGTTTCGAAATTACCTGCCCATTATCCGCCGCGAAAAGCACGAGGTGCAGGGCGAAATCGCACGGTTGCCGCCGTATTTTACCAAAGTATATCCAATGCAATATAGTACGTCTGGGTCTGGAAGGATGCGAGGTTTGTCATGTTCGTTCGGCACGACCGAAGAACTTGTGATGCGTGTCCAACTAGAGACCCTTTGTTTTGCTTGTCATCCAAAAAACGCAGCTTGTCATGCCGAAACTGCAACACTAAGAAAGCAGCGCAGATACTTCCCATGCTTGGCTGTGCATTACAGAGCATTCACTATTCTGAACTCAGCATTACAAGTTTCCAGACCCAGGCATATTTTCTCGGAATAAAGTAATTCCGGTGAAAATTTCCAAGGAAGTGTTTGACTTCGTAAACGACTTACGCCCCGAGGTGGTGTTTCTAGAGGGAGAAGAGAGCAACTACAATACAGGGAACAACGCAGGAGATACAAACAAGAGTGCAGTTAATTCCGGAAGAGCAGCAGCACAAGCTGCAGTCGACAAGACAAATTTCGTTATCGCGACCGAGTATGAGCGTACCGGGTACATGAAAATCCGCGAGCTGTTTGCCCAGTACAAGAAAGACCCGTCCCATGGCACGGTTTCTGCGGGCGCCGCTGCAAACTCGGAGTCCTTCGCCTCAAGGGGTTTGTACGAGTGGCTCAAAAGCGACATTTTCGGGAAAGCGAGAAACCGCCGGAACAGTGTGGGAGAGACAGTGGAGGAGATCGGTCAAACGTTAGAAGATGACAGTGATCCGGAGGACCAGGACGCGGACCGTTTTGGTTTTCGCTCTCAACCTGAAGCAGCTGGGCGGCATGATACAACTGGCCAGAACACCAATACACGACAGCACGGACCACACGGAGTAGAAAATAAATTCTCAAACCGGCACAAGAAATTCATTTTTTTCACGCGTCACCACCGGGTCACCGACTTTCTCGCACAAGTCTTGCTGGAGTTGCGACACTATGAACTGCAAAAGCCAATCGTGCGTAATAGTAATCGCATTACAAATTTTCTCAGCATTACAAATGGAACTTGTCATGCCGATTTACCTTGGGATGGAGATTTGTGACGCATAAATGCGATTACAACTACGAGTGCGGTACTACTTTCGCACAGGATAGTCACAAGCTCCGTATCGACGAGATCCGACAGATTGACGGTAGAACGCCAGAGCAGGATCGCAAGGAGACGGTCGAGGAGTTATCAAATGCAAATATGTCGTCCTCTGGGTCTGCCGGGTTGCCGCAACTTGTGATGCGTATTTTGGATCGGACGAAAATCTGTCATGCGTGGACAGCAAAAATAACTTATGATCTGTCATGCGTGGGCAGCAATAATAATAGCTTACTTCTCGTACTCGTCACCAAAATCTGGAATTTCTTATGCGGGATTGTAGGCATTGGGGAAGCTCGTCAAGACCTGTGATGCTTTTGCTCGCATGCCAGAGCTTCTTGGTCACGCAAAAACAGCATGACAAAGTCAAAGTCCGCACTCTTCCAGACATCCAGGGATATTTGCTGTTGATAGGAATGGTTCGCGCACGAGGACTACGCCGAGGAGACCCTGGCTCTGGTTTGCGGTCAGGAAGTATCGTAAGGAAAAATCCCTCCTCCCCATATCGAAAAGGAAATCTGTGATGGTGATTTGTGACCACAAATCAGCTTTGTCTTGCGTGCAAGGCAAAGGGCACCCATTGGCGCATTGTACAGCGAGTCTATCCCGCGTTTTCGCCTATGTCAGACTTGTTTCGCATGCTCAGCTGCTAGCCGGATGCGTACCCAAATGGGCTTAGAATATGCCGACACGCTCTCGCTGCAATACAAAGTGCATTGGTGTACACAAATCCAGCAACGCAAATTGTCTATTTGACTATGGGGTGGGGGCTTTTTTCACTTTGATAGGAAGCCATGGGGACGGGAGTCAACGGGCTGCAGATTTCTTCCTGTGCGATTTTTGTGGAAATTCCGCTCTCCGCGGACCTATTTCGCCAGTGCTTCTCGCGCTTGCACCGGCATGGGCAGAAGGCGAAGCAGGTGGACATTTTCGTTCTCTCCGCGGAAATATCCTGTGCAAAAGCATCGTACTCGTACTAATCGCAGTCCTGCAAGACAAATTTCTTTTTCAAGCTAAATCATCATGACAAATTCCATTTGTCACGCTGACCTAATTTGTATTGCAATACTACGAGTACGGGACTTTTGCAATTCATAGGAAAACTCGAGCAGTATCGACGGGAGCTGTGTCGGCGACGGCATTGAGGACCGAACCCGCTGGGAAACGATTTTGGATCAGCAGGGCAAAAGCTCCGACTTTTTCTACAAATTCGACGACACTCTAGTGCCGGCGAGTCAGCATCTTGACGGGGGTGGGGGAGGTACGCAAATATTGAATGCGACAAGAAGACCCGACGATCAAGATCATCCTGGAGCTTCAACATTATGTGGGACGACTGGATCAATGCTACATCCAGTGGTCCCAGCGGCACTACACCCAGGTGGCAGTGCCTCGATAACAACGACCTCCTCGCAATTCGTTGCGCAAAATAATAGCCTCCACCAACCCGCCCAGTTCCTCCCTTGTGGTCATCCACCAGCGACGGCCGTTGTTGCGGCACAATTCTACTCAGCTGCGCCGGGTCGTTCTGCTGTTTCCGCGCATCAAGGTGGGACGTCCAATCCGACCGCCCATCTCTCTGCCGCCGCCGAACAACCTTCTGCGGCCGCAAGGAGAACAAGCAAGAACTACACAACTACTGCAAACGATAGCAGAAGCGGGGTTTCGAAAATCCAGGAGATGAAGCTGAAAATGGATTCCGCTCTGCGGATAGCCTCGAACGCGGAGAAAGCTGTCTACGAGAAGCAGGAGTTGAAGCTGCGAGATATGGGATTCTCAAACCTTACATTCTCAACTGTTTACATGTTTTATTTTTGTCATGCAAAATTACCATCAGACAGCATCGAGATCGACGCGATCAATGAGTACTTCTACTTCGCATGACGAATAATTATTGGTTGAAGCGCCGAACATAGCATGGAGATTGATCTGAGCCAAATCTGTCGTGCAAGACGCGCAAGTAGTTTTGTTTGCAATGCACTTGTTTTGTTATTCCTGCATCTTCACAAATTTATGTAAGCACAAACAGTTGAGAACGTAACGTCTGAGAACGCCATATGGGAGAGAAACCAACTGCGCAGTGGAGATCCTGCTTCGTCCGGCGACTTGCAGCGGCAAAAGTGGATCGACAAGTTGAACTTCAACGAGGACAACTACCGATTCCTCGTGCACCCTCTGACAGAGCACTTGCACATGTTTGAAGTGCTGGCCCCAGAAGATCATGTTCTACTTGACGAAAAGAACGGAGCTCGTTCAGGGAGTGCGGTAGTGGGGAGCTACAACAAAGACGAGGAAGGAGGAGCAGCGTCTCCAAGCGAGGGACCACCAGCACGCGGGGACAATCATTTCATAGCTGCGACCACAACGTCGACATCATCCACTTCAACCACGAACCAGGTTTTGGAAACCATCGACCACAGCTTTTGTTTTGACAGCCAGGAATCCCGGGTGCTGCTCGATGTCGGTCAAGAAATATTAAGCCAAGAGCTCGTCGCTTCGCAACCTCCGCCGGGCGAGGTGGGTACAAAGCAGGTGGGCAGCGGTACTGCAGCTACTGCACCTGTTCTTTCCGCTGACACGACGACGGTTGGTAGCACGACCAAGGCACGTCACAGGAGAGTGACGAAGCGACTGCGGTTTATTCGGTACTTTTCGCAGGTTTCCAACGCGGATATCGGGGAAGCGAGGGTGCGGGCGGAGGTCGCGGAGGATAGAGATACCGGTCGTGTAGTGGCACCATCGGCGGCTGGTGGTCGTGCAGATACTGGCGATGCGATCAACACTAGCAACGGGACAAATCAGGACGAACGAGATCATCTTCCGTCGTTGCAGATCCAGCAACAGACCGCCAAGAATGAATCCGATATCAGGAATATCCAAGAAAAAAACATTGTAGGTGTAACTTTTTTGGAGGAACAGCATTACAAATTTGTCTGGCATGACAGCAAAAACCTGTCATGCGCGGATAGTACGGCAAAACGCCCTTTAATGGACCCTATGATGCACGCCAAGCATGACAGACGCAATCATCTTGCGTGTTGCGCATCACAAATTTACACTAACAACGTTTTTTTCTTTGATAAGGAACTTCCTGCTCCTCACCCTCGCGCGCGATTTTTATGACCTGCTCAAATCGGTTACCATCTCAAATCGGTTACCATAGAATCTGGATTTTGTCTTGCATGAACAGCATGAGAAACCAATAGAGGGCTCCGCTTGCTGCAATACAAATTTCGCCAGATTCTCATGGGGTTTGAAGCTCCGGAACTTCTCATGCGCAATCCTATGGGACTAGACTAGATCATGCACTTCTTGCATCACAAATTTCCATATTCTATTGTAGCGTTTCAGATTGTAACACCTGAGCAGGTTATAATTTTTGGGACACGTTTCTCCGCATTCCGGGTATCCGCAGGTGCGAGGTGGCCGAGTACCTGACCGCGAAGGAGCTCGTGAAGTTCCTGCCGAACTACTGCGGAACACAGGAGGCGCTGAAACGGTATGAACTGCAAAAGTATCGTACTCGTAGTATTGCAACACAAATTACCTCAGCGTGACAAAAAGATTTTATTTGTCATGCTGATTTAGCTAGAAAATGAAATTTGTCTTGCATGACTGCGATTAGTAAGTACGAGTGCGATGCTTTTGCACAGGATAAACGGCCGGACGGAACAAAACTGTACCTAGACGACACGGACGAGAACAGGCTGGCCCGATTAAAGGATACGCATCGCAAGAAATATGTCTGGGTCTAGATTTGTGATGCGAAATTTGAAGGACAGCGAGGAGATCTGTAATGCATGAATGCGATGGTCAGGCGGTTTTTTTGTTGTTGTACTGTAAGCGAGTTTGTCATGCGTTTTGCAATTGGATCGTGCAAATAAGCCTTGCGAAACTTCTGATGCTGTTATGCCGTACAACACTGGGACACTCGACGAGTTTCAGCAACACAAATTTGTTCCAGACCCAAAAATATTTCCATTTGATAAAGGAGAAGAACTTTGTAAACGGAGAAATCTGCGAGGAGAAGATGCGAATGATCAAAGAGAAGGGACTGGAAAAGGTAAGTACAAGTAGCATTGAAAAGGAACCAGGCCCCGGAGGGGCGAACGAAGGAGATCATGATCATGATGGAAAAAACACAGTAAAGACATCAAGTGGGCCGCACCTACACGACGTCGAGGGATCCTCGAGCCGGCACCCGGAAGAGATGAATAACGAAGTGGACGAGAACATCAAGCAAAGCAAAAGACGCAGGCTTTCATCGGATAATATGGAACAAGGTGGACCAACTTTCGTCGACATCCGTTGGACGGAAGCAAAGCTTCTAGCCCGCGGACACCAAATGGGAGGGAATTCCAATAACCAGGGTGGAGGTGTAACAACTGCTAGAGCTGGAGGTCCGGCGTCATCTGGAAATCCAAATCCACCTGGTGATAATGATCATAGTTCCTCTCTTGTTAAAGACAGCACCAACACCAATACCGTCCTTGTGCCCTTCTGCCGCACAACGAAGTCGCTGTATTGCAGCAAGGAATCCTGCTTGAAGTTTGCGATTGCGCACGACCCCGAAAAGTGGGAGAATTGCCGCGGTGCGGAAAATAACAACTGGATCGTCTTCGGGCACTGGAACGTCATGTACTGCAGTGCGAAATGTTACGAAGACACCCGGCTGACCGTGTCGCGTGCGGAAGGCAGGGCGCAGTGCTGGCGGTACGAAAGAGGCGTTTGTCAGGCTTGTAGGTTAGACACGGAAAAGTTGCGCGAAGCCTTGGTTCGCAAATTCCGTCCGATGGCTACGTTGACCGATTTGAGTTATCGAAAGCAAAAATCCCCCCTCCCCATATCAAAACGAAATTTCCGATGCTGGATTTGTGTACACAAATCCGCGCTGTCTTGCTGGAGAGCAATTCAGCCCCATGCCAAGTGTGAGTAGAGAGGTTTTGCTGGCCTGGGCACTTAGCATGAAAAACATCCGCGCTGTAGGCCCAACAGCATGGCAAACCGCCTGCACAATGCGGCGGTTGTCTGTGGAGTTGCCTTCTTGCAAGACAGACACGATTTCTGGCCACAAATCAGCATCACAAATTTCCAAAATGGGGAGGGGGAATTTTTCCTTTTGATATGAGTCGCACCTTCACCGCGGAGGGGCTGTTACAGGGGTGTGTGGACGAGAACGTGGACGAAATAAACAAGGGCAGTGTATTATCAAAAGTAAAAATGTCTGGGTCTGGAAACTTGTGATGCTGGGTGGCGTCTCATGATGAGGCTACAAATGCTGGCTCAGCATGACAAGTTTCTGAGCTCCTAGGTGTTGCCTATTCTGCATGACAAACTGCGCTTCTGCATCACAGAAAAACGGAGCTCTTGAGTAACGTGCATGACAGATTTAAGAGGCGTACCAGACAAGCAAAACAAACGTGAATTCTTCCAGACCCAGACATTTTTACATTTGATATGTATTTTTCGCGGATGACGGAGGTGGAGATGACAAGTTGGATGAACCAGCAGGAGAAACAGGTGATAAAAGCGACGTTGACGAAATACAGCTAGATGAAATGGCAACAAAAGCAAAACCAAGAGAAAACGAGACGGAAGCGGAGAGACTGCAACGGGAGTTGGATGAGGAGCTGGGATTAGGCGGCAAGGATGATCTTCAGCGCAACGCGAAGAACGACATCAACTCTTCCGCCAGCGGCGCTGCATCAAGCTCTTCCTCTGCTGCGATAGTACAACATAACGGCGGAAACAAGCGCGCTGCCGGTGGTACAAACAACAGCAAGGCAAGGCCGAAGAAGAAGCCGAGGCACTTCAAGAAAAAGACGAATCGGGCCGCGAAAATAAATCCGCATGATTTCTACTGGGATTTAGAGAACGATGATGCGGATCAATATTTCGAAAAGCCCGTACCGGAGGCATGGAACTACAATTTGAGCACGATATCGCAGCACGAAAAAAGTGTCACAGTTACACAATTGTTGTGAATTCAGCAACACAAATTTTTTCTGCATGAGAGAAAAAGTTTGCAATGCAGAGAACATAAGGGAAAACACGTTTTGAAATGAGGCTCGCAAGCATTTTGCGCATGACAGAGCGTGTCTCTGTTACTTGGTTTGCAGCACTATGTATAACTGTAACACTTTTTTCTTTCCATACACGAAGCAATGGCGACATTACCTAACCGAGGTCATCACCGGCCGTGCGCATCGGTCCGGACTGCTAAATCCCCTGTGGCAGGCGGACCACGTTTTAGGGGTGATGTTTGGGGGCGGACAGTGCAAGAAGGACAATTTCCAGACCCTCTGCATCTCCTGCCACTATCAAATGCAAAAGTGTCTGGGTCTGGAAGACCGCAGAAGTTTGTCATGCTGTTTTTCCGTGACACGAAAGTTCTGGCATGGAGGCCCTAGCACCACAGGTCTTGAGAAGTAGGCATCTCAATGCCTAATCCGCATGACAAGTCCCCTCTTTCGGTGACACAAAGTGGGCCACTTTTGCTGTCCGCGCATGACAGATTCTCGTGTGGTTTGAAATGCGCATGACAAGTTCGCATCCTTCCAGACCCAGACATATTTGCAATGCATAGCCACGCCAAGAAAACGAAAGAGGAGCAGGCTTTGAGGAAAGAACAGAATCTAGCCAAGAAAAAAAAGGCTATCAAAAGTAAAAATGTCTAGGTTTGGAAGAATGCGCGATTTGTCATGCAGCTTTTCCATGACCCATGAGGTCTGGAATGCGAGACCCAGCATGACAGATTCTGTGCGACCTTTCTCATGCCTATCCTGCATGAGAAACTGCCTCCCGACTTGGTCAAAACTGGACGACTTTTGGTAATCATGCAACACAGATTTTTGCATGCTGCAGATTTATCATGACAGGTTGCATTCTTCCAGACCCAGACATTTTTACACTTGATAAAGGCGGAAGAGGAACGACGGGAAAAAAAGCGAGAAGAAAAATTGCGTATCAAATGCGAATTTATATGTCTGGGTTTGGAAGAGTCGGAGTTTGTAATGCTAAATCTGATCGACGCAATTTTGTGTACTGTTGCATGACCAGGAAAACAAGAAGCTTGTCAAAACTTGTTAAGATGCTAGGGCCCGTACTATTCCAAATCTTCCTGGCCGTGTGCAACCTGCATGTCAAACCCCGTTCTCTTCCAGACCCGCGGACGTATTTGCAATTGATAATGCGGGAGAAGGAACAAAAGCTAGAGATCGGCGGAAAAAGAGCGGACGAGGGCATGGATAGTGCTAGTGCAGCTCCTGTGTTAGTTCAACACGAATTGAAAAACGTCCCCACCACGACAACGTCGACCACTACGAAGCGCGGCCGCGGTAAGAAAGGCAAAGGGCCGCCGGCGAAAGTGAAAAAAGAAGAACTGGCACAGCAACTACATCAACCAGAACGGAACCAGAAAGAGCAACATGATTCCCGCGGACACCACCTGCAGCAGCTTCAGCACGACGATACCAGCGTTTTTGGCAGGTTTTTGATGGAACAGCAGAAAAAAGAGGCGGACGAAGCACGGGCTGGAACAAGCGGTTTTATTTGCCGTGCGGATGATGAAGATGACGCAGCTGCTTCTGCTTCGGTGCATGAGTATAATGATAATCTTCAACATCATGAGCCGGCAACTCATCAGGGAAGCAGTTTAGTACGACCTGCTCAGGGCAGCTACCAAGTAAAGAGCAGCAGTAGCAGCAGCAGCAGCAGTTTTGTCGTAGATCCTGCAGCTTCCGCCAGACCAGGAAGTCCTGCGGCGCTAGAAAGAAATCCGAACGTCGTGGTACCGCCAACGATGAACAAGCGGAAACGCGATGAAAGACCGGAAGATGGTGTTTTGCATGGAGCAGAAAATCACGGTCAGGAGGAGCGGAAGCAAAAGCGAGAACAAGCAGCAGGAGTACAGCGATCTTCTTCGAAGCAGGGACGAGATCGTGAGCCTCCTGGAAAAATAAAAGTGGACGCGAGGAAAAACGACGATGGTTCTACTTTTCCAAGTCAACCGTCAAATCCAGATAGCATTTTCGACCGCTTTCGGAAGTCTACTAAGTCGAACACACCCCCCGAGCAGGAGCGAGCCGCTGATGTGTTGCGTCAAGGCACCAACAAGAAGCTGTCGGCAGCTGCTGGTGCTGCTAAGGCGAGTAAAGCGACCACAAGACCGTCGCGTATAGAAGTCGCCGAAGACCCCGAAGCAGTTCCAGTTCTTATTAGGGTGCAAAACTTCCCCTCCTCGTCCTCATTTGTAGTATGGCATGAACATCAGCAGCAGATGAAAATGTAAAAACCAGCTTTCGCACGACATTGTAGTGCTGTGTGGGCGAGGACCAAAATCTGTCAACATGCAATCAGTGCCAAGAGATAGCATAGATAGTGGGTCAACGTCAAGTAGGTATTTTGCATGACAAATTAGGGGGAGGGAAAGTCCTCGTGCACCGCCATAGCTCCGTCCACCCGTCGACGAGGTGCTGGGAAAAAAACAACGTCCGAACAAGCGGGACGACCTTCTCACGGCCGTGGTTTACATGTGAAACAGGACGAAGAACACGAGGTGATTGACTTGATCTCCTCGTCCTCCGACTCTGATAACATCATCGTTATGAGCGATATCCATTGCAAAAGTATCAGTATCGTACTATTACAAATTGCATGACAAATTTGGTCAAAACGAGAAACGCAATCTGTCATGCAGATTTAGGTTGGGATGAGCCACACGTGTCATGCGTGGCTGCGATCAGTTGTACGAGTGCGGTACTTTTGCAGTGGATAAGCGACAGTGAGTAAAAACAAGTCCTGCAGCAGCTTCTTGTGAAACACGACCCAAGGGTTGCAGTTACAGTGCACGCGCTTCCCGAATTCCATGCAGTACTATCCCTCTGAGAAAATAAATGTTGACAGCACTACGACTTCATCCTTGGTGTATATTTGTTCAGTTGTTCTGTCCTTCTCCTTGCCCTATTGAAAAGAGTAGACACTATGCGGAAAGTCGGTTGGCAACTTCCTCTTGTCGTCCAAACATGAAATATTGTTAATATGACTGCGAGAATTTTACTCGACGTCGTTGAGCAGTACAACTATGACTTCATCTGCATTCTCGGTTTCGCTGCTTCAGACCTGCTTTCCCCGACGTATTTTCGTGGTCTGTCGGTCATCATCTTTTGGTTTACTTATTTGGCCCGCAAAATTGAGTGACGTACTATCATCGGTCGTATTTTTCTCTTCGTTCTTCTGCAGAGCAGTTTTTTCGTACTAGTGCAATTGTAATGCTCATCGGTGTTGGTCGTACCTTGTTGCTTATCGCGGCGCGAACTACCCGTGTATGATCGTATGTCTTCGTACAACCGGAACCGTGGTAATTATAGTCGTGACAACCTGTAGAACAAGAAAACAAGAAGCAGTAAAAACTTATCTCGTCGGTTCGACGTGCACGTTGCTCGTACATCAAGTACCTAGAACTACTGGCCGTTGCTCGTCCGGAGTCACAAGTTTCTTGTGACAACTTCCAGCACCAGCGTATGACGTGGAGCGCTGTATCTCATGCGTCTTTTTCCACAAGCAAACGAATTTGAATTTCTTACAACTCTCAGGAGCTTCAATCGCCAAGCTTTGAATAAACAAAGTTTTCGGTCGACGACGCCCCTCTCCTACAACAACTTTTTAAACTCCTTTAAACAAGCATCGAAGAAACTTTTTCCGTTACAACCGCAAACAACTTAAAGAACTTTTTCAAAAACAAATCACAATTTCCCTACTTACTTACTTCTAACAAAACGATATCAAAGACGACCCAGAACTGCCTACTAACGACCTCCCAGAATTCCTTACTAACGACCCCCCAGAATTTTTGCTATAACATAACAAAGACCTCCCAGAAGTACTGCAACGAAACGACCAAGAATTTCTACAACTAAACGACCAACCCGATATCAAATGCAAAAGTGTCTGGGTCGGGAAGAGTGGAACTTGTAATGCTGGTGTCTGCGGATAATTCTAAAAGAAAAGTATCTGTGTTGCATGAGCAGCGAGAGGAGTCCAGTTCTTGGCACGCGCTGAGGGCATTTCTCATGCGTGATAAGTATGAAGAAGCTTTCGAAAAATGTGTGATGCTAGCACCTGCATCACAGACCTCACGGGGCATGCAAAAACTGCATGACAAATCTCGCAATCCCCCAGACCCAGACATAGTTGCAATTGATATCCCAAGTACTGCAACTAAACGAACAACCCGAAGCACTGTAACGAGAAGAACCAGAATCAAGTACGCATCAAGCCGCAAGAGCACTCGAGGAACGAAGCGCATTAAGAGGAGTTTAGGTTTACAACCAAGACGAAGAGGGAGAACCGCAAGAGGAGTTTACAACCGAGACGAACAAGAAGAGAACCACAGCAGCTGCAACATTTTGCAACCGAGACACGACAGGAAGGTGGAGGACAAAAAAACAATATCAAGAAGAAGTAGGTGTTTTTCAACATCAGCCTAACGAGACCGGCAGGAGAAGACGAGGTTGGAAAGCCTTCACGTATTTTTCAGCAGGTATTGGAATTATCGTCGTAGTAAATCGCTGCTCCGACCTACTCTGTGTAAAAAGATAGGCGGAAACAGGGACACAGCGTCCCAGGTGAATGCACTTCCAGCTGCGTCATCGATCTTTGCACCGCCGGCGCGCTACACTTGCATAGCCGTGTAGGTACTGCATGATGGCGGATTAAAAAAGAATATTAGGAGAAGTCGCGTCTCCCTACTTTTTCTTCACCCTGTTGCTTTCCCACATCTGTGAAATTTAATGTGAGCAGCTTGATGCGGCATGACCATGGCAGAAAACCCTACATCACGATCGAACAACATCACGCACAGGAAAGAGACAAAACAAACTTCAACCGGAATCGCTCCCCGAGCATCAACAACGCCGAAAAGACTGGGGCGACCACGACACGTTGCCTGAACCTGAGGACCAGGTAATTACGTTTGATGTACATCGACAGTCGATTCGACATGCTTAACCTTATGCGTAGGTGATTTTGAAAGTAGAGGAAGCTGCGTTACACGGTTTGTATTTCTTTGTAATGCGAGGAAAAGTTGATGTGAGTGAAACTGTAAGACGTTGCAAAAACGAGCAGAAGAACCTGAGCAGTCCCGAGTGTTACCGTCCAGCGCCATCGTGAAAGCATGTGGTTTGCCTGGACGCAGGCAAGACCTAGTGCTAATTACTTCATGGACTGTCGATACACTATTTATAAGTACCGAAGAAAAATTGCATATTCTCTATCGATCTTTCCAACAGATCAAGACGCTGACCTACCGCTCTACTCCGATTGGAGGTGGATTAGATTTAGTACGACTTGCACAACACGTCCGTGGCCAAAGAAAAAAATAAAAATACGTTTTTACGGATTTTGTATCTGTGAAGAGATAGTCAATCCTCGCCGCACCATTTGCAGCACAACCTTTGCCCAGCCTCGCGGCTTTTCCGAATCCCAAAAAAATCCTCGTGCAAGGGCATGGCGCGCCGTGGGCTGTTTCTCGCGTCGGCCGGGTGTTTGGCGGTCTTCGGGGCCGAGGCTGTCAACCTGCCTGACAATATCAAGAATGACGCTCAGGGCGGGAAGAAGGCGAACCTGCCGGAAGGTGGGGAAGGAGGCGCTGTTGCGTCTGCGCCGTCGGTTCCCGGAGGTTTCTCAGAACTGTGGCGGTCCGCGCGATTTGGATATGAGTCCGACCTTGCGGCCTTCTTCGGCGCGTCTTATGTGTTGAAAGGCGTTGACGATAAACAAGCCAATGGCGGGGAGCTGACACTAAAATTGGCCGGAGGCACGACGAGTAAGTATCCTAGACACGCACATTGTCGCAGCTGGCCCGCTCAAGCTTTTTCTTTTTCGGCTTTTTGTTCCTTCCAAACTATCGCAGGAGCAGCCTGCGCTCGCCTTGTTTTTTTTTTGGCTTCTTTGCGACATTCCCATTCGCAAAAACCCTCATAGACCGTCCTCGCAATGTTGTTTGCCGGCCTGCGTCGGAAGTATCCTGCGGGCATCTACCTTACAAGGGGCGGAAGCCTTGCGGTCGTGGGTTTTTAACAAGGCCCCCTGCGGAGTTGCGTGGGGCGTTCCAAAGTTGCGCCGCCCGCGACCCCGCACCCCCCCCCGTCTTGTGTGGTGTTTTGCATGAAAGCGTGGTGGCCTCGCAATAAACGCCACCGGCGCCCGGCGCTACGAGGGCCGCCGCCGTCCCACCTTCCTCGACGTGGCCGGGCCCCTCATCCCATGTTTGGCGCTGCAGCCTGAGGCGGGCCCTCGCGGGCGACAGTACAGAAAGAATTTGGGCCCTCCGCGCTGGTAGCGTTATTTCCACGCGCTGGGTGAAGGGCGCAATAGGTGCGCCACCCGGTGGGCCGCCAGCCTGGCATGCCCGGCGCGAGCCTGCCCCGCCGCCTTTCGCCCTCGCAAACCCCTGTGAGTTGCGTGCCACGCACCTGCCCGGGAAGCGAAGTCGCGAAACCAATGGGCCGCTGCAGCGTTTTAAACAAACTAACAAAACATCCCAAAAAACTTACAAAGCCGGGCATCGGCTTTAGGAATGGCAGGGGGGGCGCCCGGACGGTGGATGCCCCTGAGCGGCCCTCCGCCGCCTGCCGCCGGTGGGGGGGGCCAGCCTACGTTCATACCAACTTGGCCAACAATGTTGGCAGCGCGCGTTACACGCGTGGGGACCATTGAAAGGCGCCGGCAGTGCTGTTTCGAAACGGCCGGCGTCGTGTGGAGCGCGCGCGCCCTATCTCGGCCGGCCCCTTTCTCTGGGCCGGCGGGTGCCCAAGTCGGTGGGGGAGGTGGGCCGGCCGGCCAGCCTACCTGCCAACCGGACAGAGCCAGGGGGCTTTAACGGGGCTGGCGCCCACTGGTCACAAAAGCAAAATAGAGATCGCAAACACCGAAAGACCTAGAAAAGCACGTTGCCCCCTCATCTTCTCCGACCAGCCTCCTCACTCTTGTGTGCGTTCTTGGTATTTCACGCGGCCTGGTCGGCGGGTATCGTTTCTTTAGAGGTGTGTCTGGCCTGAGTGTGGGGGCTTGGAGAGAAAGGCAAAAACCTACCCCATTGCCGCCCCAGCGCAGCGAACCCACCAACCCGGCGCCCGGGCATGGCAACCGCCCGGACGCCGGGGGGGTTTGGGAATGTATATGTTGCGTTGGGGCGGTTGGGCGCCCAAAAGTAGCTTGTCAGTCACTGGCCTTCTTGCTAAAGAATCCAAAAAGCAAAAAACCCACAAGAGCCGCTCTTGTGCGAGGCGTCAGACCTCGTTTCCGCTTTCCCACCCGGGTATCGGAAAAAATTCGCACGCGCGCCGTATCGCACCGCGAGGCAGGCCGCCTCACGAGTGGCGCAGAAAACGAATCGGTCTGGTGCAAGACAAAGCCAGCGCCCTCTCCCCTCCAATCGCCTCGCTTCCAAAACAAAGCAATCGCTAAAGACTGCGCGCCCGGCTGCCGGGCTGTAGCCCTGATTGCCCCCCTTCCGCCGGAGCCAGTGTGGGCCGCTGTTCGGCGGCCCCCCGGGGCCTGTGCCTCTTCTTTCTTCGCCAGCCGCGTCTACCTGTATGGCCGGAAGGCTAGGCCCCGCCCCGGTCTCGCTCTCGCAGGGGTTCTGCGGATTTCTTGGTTTTTGCGATCTGTGGCCTGGCATCCCCGGCCCGATCTGGTTGGCTCGCTGAGGAGGCGGTCTCCCCGGGTTGGCAGGCCGAGTGCTCAAACGAACAGGGCGGCTTACCGGTCGGCCAGCCTGCGTGCCAGCGGGCAGCGAGCGTGGGTGGGTGCCCGCCTGGCAACCTTTGCCCTTTGTCTCAGCGTCCCAAAAATAAGCGGAAAAGGCTTGAGCGCCTCTGTAGCGGCAGTCAAAATGGCTGCCCGCGATACCCATCACGGCGGGGCAGGAGGAGCAACGGGAGGAGAAATCGAGCTAACGGGATTGGCGGCATCAGGCACGGAAGGCCAGCGATTCACCTTTTGGCGAGGAGAAGACCTCCGGGCGTCATTGTATTGGAACTACGTCATCGGAGACCTCCCACCCGAGTGCAGCGCTGCCGCCCTGGCAGCAAATACTTGCGGCGGAGGCGCCGACGAGGGCGACGCGGGCGCCGCCGGCCTATGGGATATCGCTGGTGGCTGGATCTTTTTCCTGCAGGTGCCAGTCGAAGGGGAAGCCGCCCGGATGGTCCAGGATGACGCGGTCAGGAAATTGGAAGAGCCTGGCAAGACCTTCCACTTCGGTAATACCAAGAGGCGCACAGCGTTTAGTGGCCAGGCAACCGAGATCCCGTTCGAGACTAGTGATTTTTACACGCCCGTCGAGATCTTTATAACCGACTCCGACAAGAGAAATGCAAATGGCCTGAGCGAGAGTGCCAAACTGTTGCGGACCGCTTTGCTCATTCCAATCAACACAGTGACCGGGGAAATGGGGTGGGGAGCGCTGCAACGGACTGAGGGAAACGGCAAAGCGCGGGAAGAGTGGGAGAAGAAGCTGCCAGAAGTCTTTCACGGTGCCAGGAGCCAGCCGGAAGCTGGCCCAGTTTTCGTTGCGAGGCCGGTCGGGGCACCACAGCTAACGACGACCGGGAAGGCCGCTCCACCGCCTTTCACGCTGTATGTCTTCACCGATCCAAACGGGGACCGACAGTATGCCGTCACTGATCCAAAACCAAAGGCCCACAACGAATCCATGATCCAAATTGGGACGGCCCGGCCGGTTCACGCTGAAACCCACCAGGCCGCGCCGGATTCTGATTCTTCGTTTTTGGCAAGGTTTTCGCATGTTTTCAGTTCCGCGGCCGCGGCCGGCTCGCCGCTGTATGTCTAGGCCCGCCCGCCCTTCCGGGCTGGCGCGCCTTTTTCGCTTGTGCCTGGTTGCCAGTTGCAGGCCGGTGTCGGCGGGGGGCGTTGGGGGCCTGGGCGGTTTCGAAGGAACGTTTTCCGTGCACTACGTGCGTTTTCAGAACCACAAACAACCTGAAGAATTTTTTAAAAGCAAATCTAAAGGCCCTGCCACTCCCATCAGTGGTGAGCAAAGTATCTGTTGACGCAGAAAAGTAGCAGCTCGGTTGTCTAACTGTTATCGTTGCTTTTCCTTTTACTGCTGTTTCCTCCATCATCACAAACGAACCAGATAAGCGAACTTCTTTGCTGTCGGTTCTTTTTTTTTGCGTGGCAAAAGGATGTAAACCTAAAACCATGCACGTTTTTTAATCCCATTGGATTGTCCCAGAAGGGTAGTTGTGCGAGCCCAAGATCATTTCGGGGAGGAAACAAATCGGCCACGGCGGTGGTCCTCCTCCTCGCCGTAGCTCGACCCTGTAGCTTTGCTTGATGTCCTACCTCCATTTCGGTTTGTATATTACTTGCCTCCTACTTTTCTGAGCGTTTTGCATTATGTTTTGAATCGCACTTCTCTACATCATTTCTATCTCCGACTCCGCGCAAAACATTTTGCAACTCAACAAAAACTCGCGTTAAGAGACGAACAAAGAATCAGGTCGCTCATGAATTTACAGCCCCGTCGCTCTTTCTTTTTTCTGTAGAATAGTTTTTGTTTCAGTTTCTTGCAAGCCTGCTCACTTTTTTTCGCTCTTCTTACCGACAAAAGCTTTTGCGTTGTTTCATTTAGGATAAACGTTGCTCCTCGCACTGACGATGGTTTCTTTCTGCTCTACACATCACGACCCCCGCTGTCGCTCTGCATGGCTCCAGTGTGGGGTGTGGCCTGTATTTTTCTCACGAGTGCCGCTCTTGTGTGGCGCCCGTCGCCGAACGAAGGGTGCCTCCGTACTCTCTGTGAAGCCACGCGACTCTGTTGAGTGAGACGCCGCGCGCGCCGAGATCCGCAGTAGGCGCGTTCAGCATTTCAACTACGACGGGCCCCGGGCTTCATTTGAAATTACTTGTCCAGTGAGAACAACGAAGGCCCCACTTCGAGGTGTCTCCACTACCAGCTTGATCCTAACTTCTCAAGCGACTTCGGGTCGGTTCATGTGAAGAATTACCTTTCGTCCGCATAGTGTTGCTCGACTATAAATTCTCTTTCCCTCATTTTGATTTTCACGTCCCTGCTTTCGCAAACACCAAGATGCGATAGTCTTGTCTTTGTGTACATTGTAGCGATAGACGGCATGACCATGATCAAGGTAGGACGCACATGCTCCACAGGAGGGGTTGACGCAATGCATGAACAAGGAGATTCTCAGTGGCGCTCGAGATCAGGATCCAGATCCGTTTTTTTCTGTCCTAACAATAAGGTGCGGACCTGCCAGCGTGAAGATGCAGTTAGCATTGTGACATCGCCGCAGCTTGGACATTCTGTGCGGACAGAGATAAAGATCACCAAGAGGTTGAGTCCCACACGAAAAAGATGAAGATCGCTACAACACGAAGGTCTTTGCGAAGTATTACGCTCTACCTTCGCCGTCTTTATTCATATTCAGTCGGTGTGGCAACGCGGACGCCTATGAGAGAATGCAAGTATCACGGAAATTCATTTCTTTCCTCTATGATCCTTCCATCCGTTGACGGACACGGATGATGTTGTCCCACTGTTTCTGAGCCTTTTCTTCCTCTAGACGATACTTTAGTCGTACTAGTAGAGTATAAGAATTCATCGGACTACTTACTTAGCTATTTTACATAGTCAGCCTGCTGACGAAGAGTGCGCCGGATAGTAGAGTGGTCCACGCATAATTTTTGTCCGGGATGGCGATTTATTCTCGCAGCTGCTCTGATTGTGGCAACAGCGCAGCCCAAGCTTGACTCGGAAATAAGAAAATTCGTTGTGTAGCAAGCAAAACCAACCCAGGCAAACGAATTCGTCTCGCTTACAACATACTTTTGAATAGATGCGGTGTCAAGTAGTGACTAGATCACGACTTATTTGGTTGAAGACTTCTTTTGGCCGATCTAAGTGAAGAAAGTGGCGCGTTTTTTCTTCCTGTCACAGAAGTTGAAGTTCATATTTTTAATACTACCTAGGAGCAGGTGTAGACTTTGAATTGCAGCTATTATGCAACAAGGGCGCGAGCAGCACCTCCTGCTTCTCGAGAAGACAACGCACTCGAAAATCATTGCTGCTGCCCCAGCACATCAGCCGTACGAGTACAGCTCCTCCTGAGACCGTGCACAACATCGGGCCATCGTACACCACGAATCGTAATTCGTGTCTGTGCAGCACGACGACGACGACGCACGTATACAACTTTAGTAACGACTAAGTACAAGTTCACCTTTAACACTCTCAGTCGGCCACTAAATTTGGAGGGCCGAAGCAGACCCTTGTCCAGACGACCACCCAGAGGCAGATCGATCTACCAACCAGAGTCTACTTTTGGTGATGAAGTATTGAACAGATCGACGATAATGAGCCCCGTCGGTTCAACAAATAATACTCCGAGCAGACACGACGATATGAGAGAGGAAGAAGGAGATGCAGGAAGAGAACATGATGAAAATCGTTCCTCGCCCGCAATAAATGACGAGGTGGCCGCACCTATCGAGCGCGAATACGTCTGGGTCTGGATGAAGGTTGAAACTTGTGATGCAGATTCTGGAATAGACAAAAATTTGTGTTGCGTGAGCAGCAAAAGCCGTGCCTTTCTTGCTACCGCGAACACATAGGGAATTTCTCATGCGGGATAGGCATCAAGAGGCCTGGGCAAAATCTGAAATGTTTTTGCGTGAAGTAGAGAACAGCACGCAGTTCCATGACCGCCCAAAAGATGCTGCATGACAAACTCCGGCACGACTCATCCAGACCTAGACACAATATTCGCAGTGGATTAGAGCTGCACCTCTTGCTGCTTTAGGCGAACAGGAAGAGCCGGCGACTTCTTCTCGACCGGAAGCACAAGTTCCCCGTCCGAACGAAGATGATGGTCCAGGAACGTCTATCCAAGAAAAAAACTGTGTAAGTGTAACTTTGTGTTGCAGACAATGCAAAACTGTTAGACTCGTCATGCTGCACATGCATCAGAGGCTATTTTCGTACGTGTTTTCAAGTACTAGCTACGCATGACAGGTTTTCTGCGTCATGCAGAGCAAACTTGTGATGCTATTCTTCCAAGAAACTTTACATTGACACCGTTTTTTTCTTGCATAACGTCGCCCCAGGAACGCGAACGTAAAATCAGTCATACCATCTGCGCAAAAACGTTTTCGCCCCAGCTGTCATGGAGATTTGCATTTCTCTCCGGAACACTTGTAACGCGCATCCCCATGATGTGTATGAGAGGCATTTCCAATTATCGTCGTGTTTGGTCGCGATGGAATTTCTATTGCTGTCAATAAACAGGGTAGTCAGATGGCTTTGTGATCTAGTACGGCTGTCCTCGCTAGACTGTACTACCGAATACAGCAAAGGACTCGTGGTCATGCGTGACTCCCAAAACTAACTTCGCGACGTGTGTTGCAGTTGTCTTGAGTGTCAGGTGGGGGCGTTTTTGCTCAGGATAAGCCTGGACTTGGACGAAATGATGAAAGATGATGTAAATTTTTATCCTCTGCAACAGCATAGTACTCATACGAGACTCGAATAGCTTCGCCCGCTCGGTGTGACATCGCAAACTTGCGCTAGAGGGAGCATTTTTCACAAAGTTCACCCCCCCGCTGCGGGACGCGCACGTTTTGCGTATCACCTGGGAACAACACTGCTGCGTCTCGCGCCGCATCCCCCCGCGGCCTAGTGGATGCCTTTTCAAAGTATGTCGAGCCGGAAACGCGGCTAGAGACGCCTCCGCAGTGCGTTTCTGGTTGGAAATCTAGCAAGCGACGCCGTCTCAGTGCGTTTCTAGCTGGAAACCCACCTAGGGACGCCGTCTCAGGGCGTTTCTAGGCAGAAAGCCAGCTAGCGACGCCGCCCCGGTGCGTGTCCAGCAGGGAATCCAGCTAGCAATGCCGTCTCAGCGCATTTCTAGCTTGGAATCCAGCTGTGGGGAACACTTTGAAAAGGCAGCCGCGGCGCATTGTTAGCTGGGATTCCAGGTCAAGGCGCCCCAAGGTGTTGCCAGGTGGATAGATTTGCGGGCGGAGATGCCTCGGGGCATTTCCAGCTGTCAAGAATCGCAAGGCAGCTGATTTCTTTTCGATTTTCCGGGGTTTCTTCCCGCGTTAGCAAAACTCTTCTGGCTACCCGCGTTAGCAAAACTCTTCTGGTTTGCCTAGAAGGATAATGGGTAGGTATTGGGAAGCTATCGGGAAGGGGTGGCAGAACTGAAGCTCTTCTCGGGTTGTTGTGCTTAGCACGGCTCTTCAGGCTACCCGGGGCAAGGATCTTCTAGTAGGGTCGCGGGAGGGTGTTCATTGGGATAGTGGAAATGTATTGGGAATTTGTTTTATGATCTAAGATTATAACTTCAAGATCTAAGATCATGACTTTTGACATTGCGCCCCGATCTGTAGGAATGGTTTTAAGATCTAAGATGATAAGAGCTAAGATTATGACTTTTGAGATGAAGACTCACATGCGGGGGGCCGGGGGGCCCTCGTCGCCCCCCCCCGCGCCCCCCCCGCCCTTTCGACATGATGATACTGCGCCCCAATCCGTATGGTTAGTTTTCCTTTTTAAGCTGAAGACTTAAATGC